CCTACGCAACGCTCTACCGAACGCGACACAAAAATCAGCGTCAAATTCGGCCCCAGTCCATTAGAACCGCCTAAAACTTACTCGCAAGTACCGTACTACCCAAAGCCAGAGTTACCCCGTGGATTTTCCCACCCTAATATCCGCGATCCCCATATCCGCTCTAATGGCCCGGGCTCTGCAGGGATCGTCTGTCAATAGGTGTACGCCGCAATACCCAAAAAGACAGGTTCGACTTTTACGCGGCGACCCGGCCATGGCCCATTTGTCATATTGCCGTGGGAACTTGAAGAGGTGTTCAAAATGGGGTGGTAAAAATGGCTAATCCAGGGTCGGAACTTGGCTTTGAGCGGATTTCGTTGGAGGTATTTTGATTTGAAAAAAAACTATTTAGACCAATCCGGTGCTTACGCATTATCAGGGGGGGGAGGAGGGGGATTTTTCTATATAAGCCCAGTGGTCTTAGTTAGTATAAAGTAACTTGATCATGTTTTTGGTAAAATTTAGCCATATTTCAAAGGGAAAAAAACTATTTAAAAGATCTAAAAAATGTTTATAAAATCCCAGATATTTTGAGTCGAAAATCGCAATTTTTTGGCAATTTTATGAAGAATGTAAGCTCTTCGCGCTTACAAGTAAAAGCAAACAGAAAAGCCCCCCACCACCCCCGCTAATGCAAAAGAACCGATATTATCGGCTTTTATGCTATTTCCTACATTGAAAAATCGATATTTTTGAGATATTTTCCGTAAATAGCAGATACACATCGCAAAAACCCCACAAAAAGATGGCGGCCCGAGATAGTGATGGGGCATGTTGTGGAATGGATATAGCATACGTTAGCCGGGGGCAATATTTAGCATACGGTGAGTAGGGTGGATGGGGGGGGGGGGAGATCATCGCTCATTCAGCGGCTACCTTCACAGAGTGGATCTAGATCTTATCTATAAACCCCCGAGAAGAATATCTAACCTCCTAAGCCTATTATCACTAAAAATATCACATTTTCAATTATTTTAGGTAGTGTTTTTCTTGTGTTTTTTTTATCAAAAACCCGACAGGCGAAGATGCCGAGGGGCAGAATGCCGACAAGGTAAAATCTCGACAGCCATGATCCCGATGGCCAGAAGCCCAATGTCGAAAACGCCGACAAGACAAAATCTTAATAGCCAAAATCTCGACACACTAAAACCTTGCGTCTGGAATTTTTGGACGAAGAGCTATATTTTTCTATTTCCGAACATAAATTTGTAAAGTCAAAGTTTTCGAATAGCTGGAAAAACAGTCTCAAAAAAAAACCCTTCATCGATTTAGATAAGAAAAAAATCGATTCTAAGCAAGAAAGTTGATCTCCCGGACAATACGAAAGCTCCTAAAACATGACGGAGCCTTGAGTTCCGTTACATTTCGGTCCACGACTGTACTACGAAAAACGTAAACAATATCCAAAACGTACGCAGATTCGTATACTCCTAGCTACCGTACCCCAGTTCCTGACGTTGACCCCAGGTAATCCGTTGTATTGACAGAGCGCGCGAAAACGGTTGCAAGGTAGTAGATGACAATTAGCAGTCCCGTATTACCGGATTATAATTATTGGGATTATAGCTAGGGGGTATTTGCAATGGCCACTGGGTCCTAGTGGGTCCTATTTGAGGACAGGCAGGATGGGCCACTCGACACATCCACTAATTGCTTCGGTAAATAGCCCAGAGTCGTGTCAGGTCGATAACCCCGGAAATCTTGGAAATTACATATTTGGAAAGGGGCCTCAGAAAATATTAAAAATTGGAGGAATTTCTAGGGTTTGTCAATGCGTTAATCACATCTTATACCATAAAATTTCGTCTTCATTTTCATGTGTAATTTGAACTTTCACGGGTACTGGACTCTTAGCGCGGGGGGGGGTAGCGATTTGGTTCCGGCACCCACAAGTCATTTCTATGGATTTTTGGAGTATGGATACCATAGCGTAACGCACACCCACACGCTAAAAATCTATAGGAAATCCAAAGAAAAACCCTCTGCCTTGCCTTGCTCGTTCCTTTAAACCCCACTTTCAATGCCCTTAGCAAACGCTCTTTTGTATGCAAAACATACCGTACTCCCAGAGCTCTGCAAGGACCTGTCACGATTCCTACACTGCCAAATGGCATTCGGTAGAAAATTTTACGAGCTGCCCCCATATCTCTCTCTCTCTCGCTCTCTCTCCCTCTCTCTCTCGCCCATCCGGGGGTCAACCCCGAGTTTATGATAGGGCCCCGGATCACAATAACTCATCTCACCGGGGCGCTACGCTACGCTCCTTTGTACGCGACAGACGGGGACTCTCGTGTTTTATGGTCGATGCGCCGGGGCCACGCGCGCCGAACACAATGACGGACTGTCACAATTTAGGGGAGGGGATTAGGTATAGAACGGAATCGAGGGGAGGGATCGGGAAATTATAGGAATTAAGTTTTTGAGCTTACAAATACGGTATTTCCGGCACGGCACTTTGCAGCCTGTCGAAAATAAGGATTTTCCGTTTGAAAAGTAAAATTTAACGAAATTAAACAAATTCCAGAGAATTCCGGAAGCAGGAAAAAGCACAGAATTCCGAAAAATTGAGCCCACGAAATCGGGCGATACTTTGACACCCCTTTCGGTCGATTTCCTGTTTTCATCCAACCCATCGTCTCTTACAGATTGTCTTCTCCGGCCCATTGACACTCGATTTGACGACGAAATGGGGGAGGGGTGTTGAGGGATCGTTTGCAGGTGGCGAAGGACATCCCTTTACCACTGTTTTTTTAAGCAGCCGCGTCTTCAAATCGAGATTTTATACAGGCGCACTAATTTCCGGACAGTTCCGACCTTCCGGTTAATTCGAACCGGTCATCTCCGTTCCCTAAATTGCCGCACCTGCCAGGCCGATAAAGCTAGAATAAAAGAGGGAGTCAGAGAGAGAGAGAGAGAGAGAGAGAGAGAGAGAGAGAGCGAGAGAGTCAATAATCCGGGTCATGAATAAGCTTGAATTCTGTCGGCATGCCGGCATGGTTGCGTCGGGATTTTGGATGTCTGGGATTTGAAATGTCGGCATTTTGTTGGTCGGGTTTGGCTGTCGGGATTTCCGATGTCGGGATTTTGAATTTGTCGGTATATCGCGCTTGGCATACCGTTTTTCGAGATTTGGATGTCAGATTTTTGGTTGTCAACTTTTTTAATGCCGTTTTCAATTTCGGGATTTTCAATGGGGGATTGGATGTCGGGATTCTTAATTTGTCGCGGTACTGCCCAATTTCTGATTGTCGAAATTTTGCATGGCCAAGTTTTGGAATGCAGGATTTCGTATTTGGGGTTTTGGCTGTCGGTATTCTGCTCAGAATTCCTGGCCTACCGTACCTCCGTGCCGACAAAGGCCACGGAAGCCCGATGTCTCCGAGGAGCTCAACCCTTTAATCCCTACCATGAATAAGAATGAGCCGAAAGACGTGTGCCCCTAATCCCCCTCGAAAATGACAGGGTTGTCACCGGGACACCTCCCTGCTGACAGTTTTACCATTGTTTTCGGGTCAACCATCAGCTCTTGAGGATTATCCTCCTCCTTGGCATATCCTAGGGGCACCAAAAGCCCGCATCCAAAGGCAGGCCGGGGTCGCATGCTAATTATGGTGCTGGAAAAATCGACAGGGACCTACGGAATTTCTCAAAATGTCTCGTTTTCTCGCAATCGAGGCGCAGGGCGCCATATGCAAATTAGCACGTGGAAAAGAGGGGGAGGCCTACGGTAAAATTCGGATAAAAATCTCGTGTATTCCTGCCTTGATCTCCAGCAATCCATTATGCGAGGAAACGCGGCATTGAACGGCATGTAAATTAGCATGTTGCCGAAATGATGATGAACTTACAGTTGAAATTCTGAAAATTCCTGTACTATTCCCTTTAAAATTGCAAGTTTTCTTTCTGCGGAAAGAGTGAGAGAGACAGAGTGAGAAGGAGGGAGAGTGAGAGAGTCAAGAGCGAGAGAGAGAGCGAGAGAGCGAGAGAGAGAGAGCCAGAGTGAGATTTCGACAGTTAATAACGAGAGTAAAGGGTGAGTGAGAGATCGCAGTAAAACCGGCCTAATCCGTTACGCCATAAAAGTCGGTTGGACTCCTCAACTTCAGCCAAGCCCTTCCCGTCACCACCCCTTTAAAACTCCACTCTGCCCCTCTGGGAATTCCCAGCCTACCTTTCCCCCAAGAAACCCTGCCCAACCCTACCCCAAAAAACGACAGGGGGCCCTTGGTGAAAAAAAAATCGAAAAAGCATCCAGGAATCGGCAGTTGGCACGTGGCCAACGAACGGTTGGTCAACGAGGGAAATCGAGAGACACAAGAAGAGAATGGCCCACCTGAGGGCCCGGCCGGGTCAGCTGTTATCTCAGTGGCCACGGGCGGACGGTCGCGCTTCTGCCTGCACTTCACACGACGGTCCGAGCCCGAGATATCGTACGGTGTCTTCTGGAAAGTCGCGGAATTTTGGGGTGAAAAGCAAAAAGTATGTCTGCGTCCGGGTTCGAGACCTCGACCTTTAGATTGAGAGGCAAGAGCGCTAGCCACTAGGCCACGAAAATTCGTCCAAAAATTTTTATTTTCCAGATTTTTAAACTTTAAAGGAGTGGAGACTAGCACTGGATCGAGGCAAACTCGCAGAAAGCATTTAGGAAACCAACGAATTTCTTGTCGTCCTCCTGGTCGGCCATCAATTTCCGCTCTTCCTCCTCGACAATCAGCCCCTCGATGCGGGTGAGCACGGATTTTTCTTCTTCTTTCATTGTTTTAGAAATAGCGCATACTATACAAACTGCAAATATAAAATTTAATAGGAGAGCGAGAGAGAGCGCGTGGGACAGAGAGAGAAACAGAGCGGAAAAAGAGAAAACTACAGAAAAAAAATTCGTTGAATGTTTTGATCGGCGCAAAACCACAGCGAACCTGGCATTCCAGTCAAAACCCAAAAAATGCCCGCATCGAGTTGAGATGATAAATGAACGGAATGGAGGTGGATCGGGGGTGAGACAAAAATGATTGGCATTTCGGGGATGCTGACAACGCAATAGATACGGTATTTTGGGCGACGGAGAGACATAGAGCGAGAGCGAGAGAGAGAGACCGTGGATCGATTCGAATTCGCTCTCAACCCAGCTCTTGTAATGCGAAACTCGTTCGCAGCGCTTAAAACTATGTACCTTAAGCGTCAACATTTGGCAATGTGCAGATGAGAATGAGCGAGGGAGAGGGAGAGACAGTCAGCACGAGAGTGAGAGATAGCGAGATAGAGAGAAAGAGCAAAGACCTGTAGAGACAAAGTTGTTTCAAAAAAACAGTACGTTTCAAGCAAAAAATATGGAAAGCTGGAGAGTGAGTGAGCAAGAGCGAGCGAGAGAGCGCAAGACTGAGCCCGAGCTTTTTCAGGGGGACAGCGACAGCAAACCCTTACGAAAAACCCCATCATTGACCCCGGGGGATCATGCGCACCCAAAAATGAGCGGCATCTCGGGGATCTCGAGTAACCTGGGTTACTGTATGAGAGAGAGGGAGGAAGAGGGAGAGAGAGAGAGAGAGAGAGAGAGAGAGAGAGAGAGGGAGAGAAGCCCCCTCCAAAACGAGGCCTATCGATGGTGATGGGGTGGGGGGATCACGAGGAACAGTCAGTCTCTTCATTCCCCTTCCATTTCACACAGTTCCGCCACTTTCCACTGGACACGCTTGGAATGTGCGCGTCGCTCTTGCCTCGCCCCCCCCCCCCTCCACGCCCATCACTGGTGCTCCTTTCAGCGCACAGATTATCGATGCGCAAATTGGGCGCTGGCGAGAGCTGCAGTCATCTTTTGGGCGAACAGCTGCTGACCTACTCAACAAGGGGGAAGAGCCGGATTTGGACCGGGGATTTTTGGGTTTAAAGGAACTTTGAACTGATTGTGAGTGAGTCGCAGCTTGCGAGAGAGCGAGAGAGAGAGAGCGAGAGAGTGAGAGCGAGAGAGAGAGAGCGAGAGAGTGAGAGAGGGCGAGAGAGAGCGAGGCGAGGGTGCGAAAAAGCTATAGAGGGCGACCGAGAGTGAGAGAAAGAGATAGAGAGAGAGAGCGAGAGCGAGAGAGAAAGATAAAAAGAGCGAGAGAAAGAAAGAGCAAATGAGCTAGAGAGAGAGAGTGAGAGAGAGAGAGAGCGAGAGAGAGAGCGAGAGAGAGAGCGAAAGCGGAGCCGTAGCGCAACGCCGTCGCAGCCTTGCCAATCAGCGCGCCTGCGTTGCGTGTCGCGGTCTCGGATCAGTTCCGACACCACTACGCTACGCACCTATCGACGACGACCGGCAAAAGACTTGAAAATACCTCCGAAAAATCACCCAAAAATTGAGTCATTTGTTGGCCTAGTGGCATAGAGAGGAGGGCAAGAGACCCTTTTGGATCAATCAACAGCCGCTCTCCCCCCTTCAGGGCATGAGACAGTCAAAAGGGGGAAAATAAGGGACAAGAAGCTGAAAGATCTCTAAGGGAAGGGAAGGAAGGGATCCGTTTTCTCTCAACTGCCACCCCTAGAGAAAAAGACAATCCTCCATTCCACTACATCCCACAAAACCAACAGCAAAAATCTTTATCAGAGCTGGAAAATCGAGACTAGAAAGTAGGGGGAAGGTTTGTCACTCCACCTTTAAAATCACAGAAAAGTGGTCGGCTTAAGGTCTGGAGTGGCCTAAGCTTGGCTCAGGCATGGCTTAGGCTTGGCTCAGGCTTGGCCAGGCTTGGATCAGGCTTGGCTCAGGCTTGGCTGAGGCTTGGCTCAGACTTGGCTTAGGCTTGGCTAAGGCTTGGTTTAGGGAATGGTTTAGGCTTGGCTTAGGAATGGTTTAGGCTTGGCTCATGCTTGGCTTCAGGTTGGCTTAGTCTTGGCTTAGTCTTCGCTTAGGCTTAGTATAGGCTTAGGCATAGGCTTAGGTTTGACTTAGCCCTTGCTCGGTTTTGGCTTCGCTTGGCTTTAGGCTTGGTTTTGGCTTCACATTTCCTTGTTAGCTTAGGCTTCAAAAATCCTAAAAAATCGCTATTTGCATATTTTACCAAAATGGCGATTTGAACACGATCCCTGGCATATTTCCCGCCACAAAAAATTCAAGAAATTTCATTCCCATTTTTCTACTCGCTCGACTGTCGATACTGTATGACAAGAAATGCTTAACACTTGGTTATACGCTATTCTCTCTTACACCCTGCAACCGCTCGTCTTTTCCATCGCGCTGCTGATCATTGTGGGAAATTGGTCGATACCTCTCTTCTCTCTCTCTCTCTCTCTCTCTCTCTCTCTCTCTCTCTCCTTGAAATTCTAGTCCGTTTAGACGATCGTCAACTGCAACAAGGGGGCGCTGAAGCAGGCGACGCCCGTCTCAAATGTAAGCAGCTTTTTAGGCGCTATTGTGTAGCAGGCGCGTTGCTGCACGGAGCGTAGTTTGACGCAACGTGCCCGCCACGCGTCGACGACGTCTATTTCAGGACGCGCGCGACAACGACGACTCGAACGAGCGCTCGCCCGTTGACGCACCGGCGCGGGTAACAATTTTTCGTTCTTTCGCATTATCGGGGGGGGGGGACTGAACTTTTTTGTGGGCGTCTAGAAATTCCTAGTAAGTTAAGATAAAGTGTTTCAACTAGAAAAGTTCAGTAAAAACTTAAAAAAATGTTGGAAAACCTCCAAATTTTCGTCAAAAATTGTCTTTCTTGTTCAAAAACTATATTTTTGGTATTTTTAAATAAAAATTTGTGAAGTTTTCACGTTCAGGAATAGTAAAAACACATTTAAAAACACCTCCACTATTTGTATTGAAAAATTAGATCCTAGGAAAAAACGGCCCCCCACCGATAATGCCAAAAACCCAGTTTTTTGGCTAAAATCTGTATTTCTATCTATTTTTAGCCGCCAGAACCAGTAGTACGCGGCGAGACGGAGCAGACACCAACGCCAGATTCGTTCGGAAATTTCGTGCTACTTTCCTAACCCCATTTTAGTGACTTCAAGGTGAACAGCGCCCGTTCAAAGGAGCCGATGACAGAAGTGAGGACGGCTGAAAGGTATCTAAATTGCATTTTTTCAAACAACTTTTAATCACTTTTTCCAGCATAAAATCCACGCAGGACCCGTGCACCCAGGAGATTGACGTGCCCGTCGGCGTTCTAACGTGAGAACCTCTAAAAATATCTACAAAAAATCCCGCTATTTAGCGTACAAACAAAACGCGACAGCATCCTCACAAAACTGCCCAAGGCCCAGGCCAAAAAGGTAACGGGTTGATTCTGAAGATGGTTCTTTTGCATTATCGGAGGAGGGAGGGGCGGTGTCGATATTTTAAAAAGCACCGGAAAGTGCCAAATAATTGAAATTTTGATGAGAAAATTATTTTTGTCTTGGTTCCGTTTAATAAAAATGTATTAATTTTAGATTTAGAAACCGAAATACCCGAGAAACTCTGGGACTAGCCTGTTAGCGGGGGAACCTAATTTTTTCCCAGTGATTCGGTACGGTCCTATAACAAAATATAAGTCATTTTTATAGATTTTTGCCCAGCTTTTAGTTAAAAAACCATGAAAATCAAAAAACAGTATTTTTATTAACAGTAATAGGGAAAAAACATCAAAATTAGTTTTGAATTTTTTTTACTATTTCCCGCCCCCGATAATGCCAAAGACCCTATTGATAATTGAAGTAAATTAAATAGCTTGAAAGCTTATACACCTGACAAAATAACAAAGCATAAAAAGTACCTTTTTCCAGGGCGAAGGACCGGTGGTCTCGTTTCGGGCAAAAGTCGACAGCTCGGATAACTCGGGGCGCAACATGGTCGCGTCATGATTTTAATAAATTTTTGTTACAAGCTTTATCAATATACACAATATCAGAAGCATGGCAAGGCTATCCCGAAGCCCGTAAAAAAAAGAAGGCACTGTCGCGAAAATCCCCCGTAAAATGGCATAACAACAAGAAGCGAATCCCTAAAAAGTTCAAGCAAAAAGTGGCCTAGACGGTGGACTAGAAAAAGCTTTGTAAAAGTGGTAAAATCCCAAAAAAAAAACAGGAAAAACAATTATTCGGTTTTCCTCGCCTCGTCAACTGGCTCCATGACGATGGGGATGCGTTGCGTGTAGACGAGCACGGGGAAAACTGAAAATTTTAGGCGTTTTACTGTAAGAAGTTTGGTACCTGTCAGCGCAAAGAATAGCGGGGCCAACGTCGAAATCCCCTCAGCGCCCTGGAGCCAATTGAGAGGCGCGCCCGCCAGCACGGAACCACCTAAAATTGAAGTTTTTAAGAAAAGTCTTAAAACGCTAAAACACTGAAATCAAGCTCACCGTTAGCGATCAGCGAGATGAGGGCGCTTGCCGATCCCTGGACGCTAACCGGGGCCAGTCGCGAGATGGCCAGCCCCCAGCAGTTGATGCAACCCTGAAAAAAATAAGCATAAAACTTTTCATTAATTTCCTACGATCTTTTAGAAAACACCAAACTACTTTCCGATCTAAAGAATTGAGGTCTTTATGCTTTGGCCTGCAAAAAGTCCTCGAACTCCCCGAACTAGCGGATTCACGGCTCTAAATTTAAAAAAGTCCCTCGAAAGCCAGATTTTTTCGAATTTTTCGGTCCCCCCCCCTAGCCGCCGCTCCATGATCATTTCAATGACATGGCCACACGAATCGCCGCCGGTCCATTTTTCGTCGCTCTTTTCGATTCAAACAAATCTGGCCCGCGGGATTCCCACGTCCCGCCGATCACGATGACTCACCTGGAAAGCGGCGCCGCAGAAAAAGCCGAAAAGCGACGGGGCGGCCTGGAAAAGTGTCCTTTAGCCGCGGCGACACATTGGACGTGAGCAGAACCCGGCAGACAACAAAGAGCCTAAAAGGCAACTCACCGTAACCCAGAGACTGCTGAGGGTGATCACGGCCATCATGAGAACCGTCGACGCATATGCGCACAGTCGGACGGCTTTCTGAATTTTTTGATTTTTCTTATTGTTAGTAAAAATTTTTGTTGCTCGATAAGAATCTAATTAAGACTTTTCAATGTTTGAATTTTCACCAAAAAATTCAAAATTACGAAATCATTAGTCCAAAAATTACCTCAACACCGATCTTTCGCGACGACAGGTCGACAATCAATCCGGAGAGTAGCACACCGGTAAATCTAAACCTCTCAATTTTGACCAGCTCAAAAAACCATACCCTCCAGCCTCAAGGAAAAACTGGAAACCACTTGGTGACATCCCCTTCTCGGTCAACTCGACGGGGAACCATGTTTCGCATACCGTGCGCATCTATTCACTAATTCACTATGCTTAAACACCTGCATACCGACAGAGGAAACGCGTACAATATGGCCACGTGAAAAACGGCGGTCGAGGTGAAAACCTGGGTAAAATATGTATAAAGTTAAATACAATCCCTTTACGTTCAACGTTTCACGCGCTTTCTCCTTGCTCGGCGCTGCGTGATGTTCAAGGGGCTCGACAAAGTCCTCCTTCAAGAATACGTAGAAAATCAACAGCCACACAAGCGTTCCGGCACCTATAAATAATCATAGTAATTTTAAAGCATGTTAAAGCTTACCAGCATACCAAAGCGCTTGTCGCCAGAATAACGCCACAGCGTATGGGAGCAGCATGCCGCTGACCGTGTTTGCGATCCCGAAAAGGGAATACCACGAGCCAAACTCTTCCTTCGGGCTCCACTGAATCGAAGAATTCAATTTGCGCTTTTCGAATACCTTTTTGACCAACAGCGTCGACGGGGTCCAGCCTGCCCCTTGAACACAACCATTGAGCACCACCGAATAGAACAGCTCATCATAGTTCCGGCTCATTGACGCGAACACCGTCGCCACCCCGATCCCAACCATTCCGGTGGCGATTAGCTAAATTCGCAACTTTTTTTGCATTAAAACGAGCCCAACCTTTGGGTGATTGACTCGATCACAAAGAAATGCGAACAACACTTTGGACACGGTGTAGCAAAAGGCTTGCGTTGAGACGAGGATCCCTAAAAATCAAGTTGACCCTCGCAAATCCTTTTTGCCCACTTTGTGTCTTCTCTGTAAAATTGTGTGCGAATCGGCTGCCAAATCACACTCACTATGCTTTATCTAGACCAAACAGAACACTAAAGAACATTAGGGTACAGGATAAAAGGATAAAAATCGTAGAAAGCAGCATCTGGGGGATAGACAAGAATTGAGCAAAATGTAGAACGAGAACCCGCAAGCATTGCAAAATGACAAACAAAAACCTAAAAGTGCCTAGTTGTCGTCGTTGTTGGCCTTCCGCGCGCGCAGGACGTCGCAGAAGAGCTCGTAGAAGAGGAAGGAGAAGCCCGAGTTGGCGGCGGCCTTGATTTGAGATGGCCAGAGGCCCTAAAAATGGTGGTTTTAAAAATTCGGAAGAAAATTGCCTTGAAAAGCCCATAAATCGATTCGTGCTTCACCACATGGGCTATGGTCCGCATCAGGCCTCTATATTCGGAGGCTTTGCCGAAGCCCTTTCTTTGGAAACCGCGCATCTAAATTAGGTTTTTTTTACAAAAATGTACTAAAATCACCTGTAACCGATGCCTGACCATATCGAGCGGGTAGAGCACCGTTTTTGCAGCCGTGCCAGCCGCTGCACCGCAGAGTAATGCACCTCCTAAACAAACATATATTAGCAAAATCGAAAGACCATACCGGAATCTTTGCCCTCGACGAACATGTGGTACCACTCGAGGAACTGGTTGTACAGCATAAATTGTAGGCCGGTGAAAGGGGCAATTTGGGCCACCGAAGGTACCCACCTAAATTAAGAATATCGAAAAAAAACCGCAGGGACTGACCCTCGAAAATATCCCGCAACGCCCTCATATTTATAAATCTTCATCATTGCGTGCCCGGTGCCACGATATACCTAAAAAAAGTTTGACATTTTAATCTTTCAATAGCTTCAGGGGCCGGGGGATTTCTTCCGAGACCAAATGTTCCTACTTTACAGTTTTTTGATTTTTTGCTATTCCCAAACGCACAAACTTTACAATTTTTACTAAAACCCAAAAAACTAGATTTTTTGACAAAAATCGTAATTTTCAACTAGCTTGCCACGTTTATAATCCGTTTGAAAAGTAGTATAAATTTCTACGAGAAACAGATTCAAATATTTTCTACGACGTTCCTCGGTATATCGGGACTTCTAGGAAAAATTCGCCCCGCCTGGCCCCTGCAAATAAGTAGAGTCCTTGTTAAGCAAAGAACACAGCAAGAATCACCCAGGCGTCGTCAAGACAAACAAAAAAATGCAAGAAAAATCACCCTGTCTTGATCCGCTCCCTGCGCCACTAGCCTCGTCCTGATGACATCCAGAGGCATCGCTGCGGTCATCGCCACGCAACCGGCCAGTGCCCCGCACATAAAATCCGTGCCCTTCTCCAGATAGTCGGGCGGGTCTATTAAAAGTTTTGTCTAAAAGAAAAGGATGAAATTTTCAAGGCGCTATACCTGTTTTGTAAACCATTCGAAAGACGCGAATTGCATGAGGCCATAGACGGCTGAAAGACCCTGGGCTGGGACATGGCCCTTCCAGAAAGCGATTGCCCCCTCTTCTTTGATGATCAGCCGTATGGATTGGATGACTCCCTAAAACAACATTTACGTTCTAGTCGTCAGTTTTACCTTGTACTTTCCGCTTTTCCCTCCGCGAATTGGCTCTTCCTGGAGTTGAAAGCGAATTTTCAAGACATCGAGCGGCTAAACAAAAACGTTATCAGTATCTTGCAAAGTAAAGTTACCTGTATAATTGCTCGCGTCGCTATGCCACTCGCCAACCCCGCTTCACTATGCTCGGTTGAGGAGAGCTCTTTCCCATTGATGGGCTCCGGGTGATAGCCCACCATTCTTCAAAAATCTAAAGTGAGAATATATCTAAAAATTCGAAATAATCCCCACCAAACGCTAGCTAGACGTCGGCACTTTTGTTGGTTGAATCAGAGCTGCTAGTCTCCACTCAAATTCATCTGAAAACGGGAGAACTGGAGGTCAAAGCGTGAGAATTGAAGAAAGTATGGAAAACGATACATCCTCATAAACGAGTAAAAATGACAATCATTAAAAAAAAAGTGGGTAGCCGCCGATTCGCACATGCATGTGTTTTCTCTTTCGCAAAAAACGATAACGCAACAAAACAATACCGAGTCTCCCCTTATCCACCCCCAGGTCATCGTGGAGAGCCTGGAGAAAGATGAAGACGACTCGCCGGCAGAACGTTGTGAAGCCGTAGCCGATGAAGAGGACGGCAAAGCGGACGAGGAGCTCGCGCCGGGCCAACATGCCGTTCCTGAAAACGAGCAGGGGTTTTGGGTTTAGCACGGTGCGGGGAGCATGCACGGAGAGTGTGAGGGATTCCAAAACGGAGGAAGGAAGAAATAAACTTAATATTCGACGTAAATTTAAAAAGAAAAGTAAAAATATTTGGTTTTTATAGAAAAAAAGAGAAATATTTTTTAACACATTACACCAATTACGGTTTTTGTAACGGGAGCGAACGTACTAAACACCTCAATTTTTCGATCGATCGAAAATCGCATTTATTAGAATTTAAAAAGTCTAAATTTTTAATTAAAAAGTAAATTTTGTTGTGGTAATGAGGAAAATCGTACTAAACAATAAAATTCGCGCGAGCGAGCCGCTTGGTACATTGCTTGTATGATTTCGCAAAAACTTTTAGTTTTCAACCAAATAAGTTTACGCCACGCGCGCCAAGATGACAAGTTCTCTATTTTTGGTCGCTGATCCCGCATGACTTGGGCGGTCCCCCGTAGGTTCGCTTGCACTTTTCCCGCCGCTTCCCATTCCTTAGCCCCCATATCCCCCAAATACGCAAAAAGGACTCCCCGCCGGAAAACAGCGCCTCGTCGTCGTCCAATTGTCAACAACGGCTCTCCGCACGAGACGAGGAGCTGTTTGTGGGTAGAGAGCCCACCCTCCTGGGTTCCCGACGTCTCTATTCGCCCCCCGTTTGGCTTGCCGAAAAGAGCGGCTACGGTCGGGCTGGCGAGCCCCCGGGGTCAGTTGCAAAGAGGGCCAGTGGGACGGGGACCCCGTGCCACGCTGCGGCTTCTCCTCCCCTCTCATCTCACCCTAATATCTATCCGGGGCCTCTTTTTGAAACTCCCGCGGCGCACTTTGCCTTCGAAAAACTGCGCCAGCGCTGGGCCTAAATTAGCGCACTTTGTTTTGGTGTTCCTCTATGGGGTTTAATTTTTATAATTGGTTTTTTTGAACGTTAAATTGTCGATTATGGCTCGCTTCATTGCCGTATTTGAAGCATATATCTTTTCTCTGCATCTGTTTTTGATAAACCAATGTTCACCGTACATACAATAGTTTTCTTGTGAACATTATTTTTCAGGTTGAAATAGAAAAAAACAATAACAAATAAATTTTCCTTTTCTTCCCTTTTCCCGCTGATGGATTCATATGCTATCCTTTTAACCAGAATTTTCCCGCCAGATATAAATAGAACAGTTTAAAACGTTCCTTTTGATTCTTGAGCTCCACCCTAACCTCTCTTGTTCCTCGATGTTCATCCCGTCGCATTTTTATGAACATCCGCTAATTTTAGCATTTTGCATCATCGAATTAGTCGGCCCCGCCAGACACCGAGCGCTCTTTGTCCCTCAGGCGTTCCCCCGCCGGCCGCTTGTCGGTTTTTCTATACACGCAATAATCCGGGGCAGTGACCCCGCGCCGATCGTGGACCCGCTTAGTGTCAATACGGGGACCCGGCTAAACCCCGCCTCTTATCTTTGCGGGCCGTAAAGGTCACTGTTGCCGTCGTTTCCTGTCGGTTCAATTAGTCAGACCGTCAGTTCAATTAAGATTAGAGGCGGCGCCCGCACTCAATGCGGGAGTCTTGGTCGGTAGTGATAGCGTGTGTGTGTTTTGGGCTTTGGGCGTTTCGAATTGGGTTTTTTTCCGCAAGGATTGTATCAAAATCCTCGGGCAAACCAGATCAAAACAAAAGCCTGGTTTGCTTTAGTCTGGCTTTTAGCCATAACGTTGTATTGTTGGTATTAGTACGTTTCTGTCAGCGCGAGGAAGCTCTCTAGCCGCGCTAAGGTCCATTATCTCTCAAAATGTCCATAGTTTTAGTGGTTTTATTGTTGTTCGCAGTTAAAAGGAGGTTGTTAGAGAATTTTCAAAATTTAGAACTTGATCAAAAATACATTAATTCCAAAATTGTAATAATTTTTTAAGCACCGTATATGCTTTAAAACGTGTAAAAAGCTTCCTGTTAAATTGTACGTTTTTTATTTCTGCGACCAGACCAGTCGATATAGGCCAAAGTTACCGCCCCCCACCGCTAACAGACTAGTGTCTTCTTTTCTCCCTAGATTATGAATCCACTACCCAGACCGGCTAATTTTTCACCCCCCTAGACAACCTACTGACTTATTGCCACTGCCTCCCACTGTACGGTCAACTAGCGCTTTGCTTCCTGCGACCCGGCAGCGATTTGAAATGCGATAAATCGGTCTGTGGGTGGGGGAATGGATCGTGCCGGCGCGTCTGTTTTCCCGCGGGCCGGACTGATCAGATCGCCGATAGAATATATTCTCCCACGAGCCATCGACTCGGCCATTTGTCCCCCTCCACTCTCGGTCGATTCATTCAGCCATCCACTTTCATCGTCCTCCCTGTTTTCCGCGCTATAATCGGTGATTCGATGGTCGATTCAGGAGACCTGGCCGAGCAGCCGACCAGCGCCACCATGGTGAGTACCAACAGCCAGTCTCCCGGAAAGCGCGAGCGCAAGCCGTCCAAGGGAGTCAAGATTGAGGAAGTTGGTAACCTTGATCGCAGAGTTTTTTGTTTAATTAGGTATGTCTAAAGGGTTTTTTAGGTGGGTCTATCTGGGGGAGGTCAAAGATACCCGGGCTAAAATTCTGCTCAAATTAGCCGAAATATAGACTCGACGGCGCTGATGATTTCCGTATTGTTAGAATTTATTTGGGCAATAAAGCTAAGAAAATCTGTGAAGATTTTGCTGTTTTTGTGGGTTGACTGATTGACTTTAACGTACATGTATCGGCTTCTAAACGTCTTAGCAACTGATAAAAGTAGGGAGATGATCAGTCTCGTCGCCCCGATCTTAGTCCGGGCCTATTTGGCCTGCCCTAGGTACCACAATTTTTTGGCAACCAAATAGGCTTTGTTGCTTTGCATAGGTACCTCCTACCAGGGATTAACGTTTTCGATTGCAGGCGGCGGTCTACATCGACAACTCGAATGGCTCCTCCCTGAATGAAAGGGCATCGACCCCGTCGTCGCCGACAGAAACGCCATCGCCTCGTCGTCGTCTTCGAACCATCAGCGGAAGCCGGGAACGGCACTTGCTCAGTACCAAGGAGGGCAAGGTAGTGCCTTTTACGTAATCCAAGCAAAAATCCTATGCTTTAGCGGATCTACACAAAAGGTCGCCCTCCTTGGTACGACCCGGCCGGCAACAGCAAGCAGCCGTGAGTCTTGACAAATTTTTGGAGTGAAAAGTTCTGAATTCATCGCAGAAATAACCCAAATTTTTAGGTTCTTGATCGGAATTTGTGGAGGCTCGGCAAGTGGAAAGACGACCGTTGCCGAATTGATCGTCGAACAGCTGGACCTTCCCTGGGTGACCATCCTGTCGATGGACAGCTTCTACAAGGTTCTTATTTTCATTTTGGGGGTGATTAATCTTTTTAGGTGCTTTCCCCGGAAGAGCACGAACTGGCCGCCCGCTCGGAGTACAACTTTGACCACCCCGATGCCTTCGATTTCGATCTGTTGCTTTCGTGTCTAAAGCGGCTAAAGGAGGGCAAGTCGGTGGAAGTATGTTTTTGCTCGATGCCTAATAGTCGTTTCCGGTTTCTTTGTGCCTAAACGCTATGTTTTTCCAAATCAGCTAACCTTATTTCCAGGTGCCTGTCTATTCGTTCGTGACTCATTCCCGCGAGAAAACCGGCAAAATGATGTACGGGGCCGACATTTTGATCTTTGAAGGGATTTTGGCATTCCACAAGGAGGAGATTTTCAAAATGATGGACTTGACGGTTTGTTGGAATTAGTTTGTTTAGTAAATGCTTTTTTCAGATCTTTGTTGATACGGATGCTGACACTCGTCTCTGCCGCCGACTCAAGCGCGATATTGAGGAGCGTGGCCGCGATATCAATGGTGGTTTTCCACTTTTTCATTGGAACCTGAAATTTTAGGCGTCCTCGATCAATACCTTCGATTTGTCAAGCCGGCCTTTGATCGTTTTATCGCCGTGGACATGAAGGTGGGCTATAATTAATCGGCGACAAATTAGCTGTTTTCAGAAGGCTGATCTGCTACTGCCTCGAGGAGGTGACAACAGCAATGGAGTCGGGCTCCTTTACAATCAAATCCAGAGTGAACTGTCCAAACGAGGTTAGTTTCTGGCGACCGGTGTAGAGAGAAGAAGCGTCGTATTATCGTTACAATCGTATTTATATATAAATTTCAGGCTACGATCGAGATCATGTGCAGCGGATGCACATGGTCAAGCCGGAGAATACGCTGCCGCCGACGGTGACCCCGCTCCCTCCGAACTCTCAAGTCAAGGGATTGCTCACCTTCATCAGAGACCGAGATACTGACCGGTATGTTTTTCAAAGAATGGTTTCGGCAGTTTTTGTGTGCAAAACTCCAGACGATTTTTCGTACAACCATTTTTCCAGGGATCGATTCATTTTCCATGCCGATCGTCTTTTCCGCATCTTATTCACCGAAACACTGAACCACATGCCCTACGAGTCGACACAAATCGAACTGGAAAACGGCGAAATGTTGGTTTTTTATGTAACTAATAGAATTTCTCAGCCAATGTCGGCATAAACACTGTAATTAAAATTCGGCATTTAGAAAATAGCCCGTTTTTAGCATCGAGGGCCGGCGACGAGCCACCGCCGTCTGTGGTGTGGCCATAATGCGAGCCGGCGAGACGATGGAACAAAGTTTGAAGCAGGAAGTGAAGGTGAAGCTTTTGCTCGGCAACGAATATTTTTTGAATTTTTAGGACTGCAAAATGGGCCAGCTCCTCATCCAGACGAATCGCGAGAGTGGCACGCCTGAGTTGTTCCATTTCCGGCTGCCCGCGGAGATCAAGAATGACCACCACATCGTGCTCATGGACGTCAACATTTGCACTGGTCGGTTTAGGTTTTTCACACTAGAGATATACATAATTTTGTAAAAAAAAACTGTTAAAACAAATGGGATTGTATGGATATTTAAACGAGTTTTTTTTGCAGGCGGTGCAGCGGTGATGGCGATACGGGTCCTCCTTGACCATGAGGTCCCCGAGGAGAATATTGTGCTCGTCTCGTTGCTGATGAGCGAGCAGGGGATCGCCAACATTGCCTACGCATATCCCAAGGTTTGCCGTGATTTTCTTAGCCTTTATTACCGCTTCTCTTCAGGTGAGGCTGGTCGTGGCCGAGGTCGACCCGATCCTCAACGAGCAGGGCTTTCTGCAGCCGGGAATGGGCAATTTTGGCGACCGCTACTACGGCACGGGTTACGATGAGGACGACGAGGGGATGGACGAGATTTTTGCGGATGACGGTAGCGATTCATAGGCGCTTTTCGGGTCATTGTTATTTTATGTTTGTTGTTGCTGCCTTGGGTGTCGTTGAGAATTGTCTGCCGATTGATGCCAATCATAAATGTTTCTTGTTGGCTAATGCCAATTGAATTTCTATCCGTTTTTCTGATAAATACCATGTCATCAGTATCTATTGTTATTTTTGCAACGTGTCATGACTGGCGAGTGATTTTATCTATCCGCCCTCGCTTTCCCGAAATCTTTCCAATAATGGGTTTTTCTAGGTTTCTTAGGTCGAGACTTGAGATTTGATTGGCCCTGATTTTTCCCCGATCCGGCAATTTGCAAAAAGCCAATCATATCTAGCCCTTGCCTAAAGATCCCCAATTCTCTTTCATCAAATCAGTATTTCCAATCCCCCAAAACCATAATCATACAAATAATGCCAACTCTCCAAAATTCGGTTGTTTTCTTGCATTGTTGCATCTTTTATCTTCTGTATCACACCTTTTTTGTCGAGAAACTTTATTCCCGGGATGCGCGTTTTAATAAACGTTTAACGTCGTTCGCGAATGAAATTAATTGGATGATGTGATGATTACACAGGATGATGAGCACAGAGATAGTAGCAACGTGATTCCTTGTTTTTAAGATGACTCGTGGTGGATGCCGCGAAGGAGGGCCATTCCCTAAAATAGAGAAGATGTCAAGAAGGCGCACGTTTCAGTTTGTACCGCAGTGTCCTGGACGGTGGCCTTGATGTGGACGTTGAGGCTGATCTGGGCGGCGGACAGACGATCGAGCTCTACCTGCAGGGAAGCACGACTTTAGGAGGAAGCTTTATGCATATAGGACCTCAAGCAGCTTGATCTCGTTGACGGAGCGCTGCATTCGGCAGGCTGCATCTTGCTTTTTGCCTGAAAAAGTAGAACGCTTTCCGCAGACACGATCTCGTCGCCTACCAAGAGCCTCAGTGATGCGGTCGACGAACAGGTTCACCTCGTGGTTCAACGCCTCGTCGACCACCGGATCGGGCGGTGCCATGTGCGTCACCAGTGGTTCTGTAAGTCCTCAGCTTTTTTTGGAGCTGATGCGTTAGCGTGGGGAAGGGAAGCTAAATTTGAAGTTTCAAGCGCACCATCCTGGACGACGCCCGTCTGTGAAGTGGTCGGCGTCGAGCGGCCGTCGGTGATCGGCGCCTGCTCGCCGGTGGGGGTCGACGGGGAGGTGGCCGGAAGTCCGCCACGGCTGGAAGAAAAACCCATTTTGTAAGGTTCCGATTTCCCCACTGCGTAGCGACCCTGATGCACTGAATTTCCGTGATTCGGCCGACGCCGTCGCCAATCTCTTTCCACACCTCCTGAAAATTATTTTTTGAAACGCCATCATCAACTATAAAAATTTTCTTGACGCGTCCGTCTGTCTGAAGCCGAATTCGACTCGAAGGGGAAAAGAGCTAGAGCTTAGCTCTCTTCGGATTCGGATAGAGCGTGGTCAGAAACCCCCAAACTGATAAAAAAATTAAGAAACAGTTTTCGTTTAAATTATTAAAGTTAACTTTGAAAGTTTTTCTTAGTAAAAGGAGTGGGGGACATAGTGAGCCAGGTCGTGCGCGTTTCGGCGAAGGGGAGGGAGCGCACAGCGGGTAGCCCGAAGTCCAGCCGCTTGCAGCGGCAAAGCCGCTGGGCTGGTTGCTATATATTTCTATAGCGCTGGAAAATAATACGTTTTCGAGATCGTTTTTAGACGATTACCCTGCGGTTGTTGAGCGCATCGGGGCAAACGATGGCCTGCACGAGGAAGCGGTGCCGTTTGTGGTACTTCTTGACGTCGGGCAACGTCACCGTCACCTGGCATTAGTGCGTCTAACGGCCAGGTATCCGAGCGATACCTTGACCTGTTGGTTGGGCATCAAGAAGCCGGTGGACGGGGACACGAGGTAGCGCGTCGGCGACGTAACGAGCACGCGCCAGGCCAACCGGTAGTTGTACGGGGCCAGGGCTCTAATAGGAAATTAAAAGGTCAAACTTAAAAAGAGGTTTGGCTGTGTATCGAACCGGCGCTATATGCGTGCTAAAATTAGAAAAAAAACGGCTAGATCAACATTTTTAGGAGTTTTTATGCAAAATCGCGCTTGGTCGACCCAAAACTTTCGTATCTCGACTCCGAATATAGCTACAGATCTGTAATTTGTCCAACAATGTAGCTCTGAATCTGGGGAATAAAATAGCACTAAATATGACTGCCTGGAAGTAGATGAACATCAGGAAATTTGATCTCTAACACTATAAAAATGTTTTTTTTTGTGAAACCCAGTAATATGAAGCTGCCCGCTACGAACTTGATGGTCAGCTCGGCGGTCGCCTCCTTCGGGCCGTCGAATTGGAGGAAGAGCTGAAAGAAGCAGGAGATGGAGCTCGGGCTAAAAACGAAATGACTTACCGGGCTGACGGAGATGTACTGCGAGGGGTTTGACTGGTGCTGTGGGCTGCATTGGAGCGGCTTGCCGTCGGCAGCTCCTAAAGACGAAAATGTTGATGTTTAAAGGATTCTAAAGGAAAAACATGAATATACTAAAAAACGAAAAGTGCTTGGTAAGAGTTTACTTTACCCCCCACAGCCGAATGGTCTCAAGGTTTTCGGTATTTTCGCTTTTTGTCGGGATTTTTTCAACGCCATTCGATAGAGCGTCGAAAAATATACTAAGAGTTTTAATTTGAGCCTACAATAATGTAAAATAAAAAAGTTATAGCGAAAAACTTCCGGCTGGGGGGGGATAAAGTAAACCGTAGCCCCCGCGCCTCTCAATCCAAGGGTCACGAGTTCGAATCTCCGCGGCAATTTTTTTTTGCTTTTTGCTTTGTTTTGCTCACAAAGGCCGGGAGAGCCTAATGAAACCTTCCACCCACCAGCTATTCCGGCCTGTTGCGGTGCCGCCGGCTGTAGCTGCTGGCTGTGGTGTGGGGCTGCTAAAAATTTGCATACAGCCGTTTGAATAAATTATTTCCATTACCCATCAACGCAACCGAGTAGCTCAGCCGCGCGCAACCGTCAAGTGTATAGAAATGGACTGTTTCGGAGATTTTCAGGTGCAAAACGGGCTCTTATTGAAAGTCAAAATTTTTAATTCAGTTTTTTGGGTTTTCCGTCTCATTCCAGTTCCTCCGAATTCTTATATATGATGCAAATCAATCTCGGGGCCGGAATTCAGGAAATTCAGAAAAAATCCGGTCGCTGAGGCACAAAATCGGGTCTCCCGGCGACTCCCGGCAACCAGGCTGACGACCAGGCCGAAGAATCCCCCAGGCCGTTCCCAATTTATTTGCCAACTTTTTTGTTTCGGCAGAGATACGGTAGCTCTCTTGTTCGGATAATTGCATGTTTTAACAAAATACGGTACCATTCCGGTGCGGTTTAGGGAATTATCACCATCCGGCGTCAGCAAGGAGGACAGGGGCACCATGAAATTCCTCCTACTTTTCTTGTTTTTGCTGGTAAGCTGAGAAAATAGAATAGATAGAATAGAATAAATAGAATAGTATTTTTACGTACGGTTTGTACGTTTTTCCGTACGTTTTTTCCAGGATTACGGTCCGCCCGTCTTCGCCCAGGACTACACGATCGTCATTTGTAACTATACGGAGCCGACGACAACTACGAAGATGACTACGACGACGAAGCCGACAACTACGACGACGACGACGACGACGACGACGACGACGACTACTACTACGACCACGGCAACAACTACCACCACAACGACGACGCCGACAAGTAAGTTGACCTAGGCTTAGGCTCAGCTTAGGATTGATCATCTCCAAATTTCAGCCACAACTCTGACCACCACCACTGCTGTGCCAACGACGACTAGTTACACCTCCATCGGCCCAATAATTCTGTGCGACGCCGTCGCGACCACGACCTGTCCGGCAAGTTCAACGACAACTACGACAACGACCACAACCACGACAACAACAACAACAACTACAACTACTACAACTACTACGGCTACCACGACAGCTACAAGTACACCTACAACAACGACAACTACAACCACCCAGGTGAAGCCCTTCTTTAGTGTCGAATCGGCTAGAATTGATATTCCGGTCTTGACTCATTACGCTCGCTTCTCGGCGGCATTTTAAAGGGATGGGTAAGGCATGGTTGTGTTATTTGGGTATGAATTAACTAGGGATACCTTGTCTTTACCTTTAAAAAGAGCTGCCGGCTAAAAATTGATACCTTACCAACAGGATACCATTAAATATGTAAATTAATGTACGATTTGGGTTTTAGATTATTTTTTGCTTTTTGTAGTTCAGATTATCTTGTTTTATGCTTTGGCGAATAAATAGTTTTTTACGTCTAGCTTGGAAAATACATATCAAAAGCTACCGTGACATTTTAACCATCTTCTCGATTTTAGCCGACAACAACGACAACAACGACGGTGCCTACTTCTTCTAGTTCATCTACCACCCCGTCGACATCCACGACAACGACGACTGCAACGAGTTCATCAACCTCAACGACACCGACCACCTCCAGCTCCACGACGCTGCCCGCCACGTCGACGACCACGACGGCGTCTACAACGAGTTCATCTACGTCTACTTCTACTTCCGCTTCTACGTCGAGCTCAAGTCCAACTTCCACTTCGACTTCGACCTCCACCTCGATCTCAACGAGTACACCGGCTCCGACAAGTACAAGTACTGTCGCTGTAACGGATTCATCTACTGTCACGATCTACATCGTCACCCCGGAGACGACCACGACTGAAACAACGTCAACAACGAGTACAACAACAGCGTCGACGAGTAGTTCATCTGCTTCCACCAGGTAAGCAACCTTCTGATCTATAAATGGCTTTAAAAGGCCGTTTGCGGGAGGACCGAAATAGGCTTGGCACAGTTTTTTTTCGACCCTGTTTTTTTGATGCCATCGGATAGAGCATAATCGAATTCGTGGGGCCATATAGTTTTGAAAGTTTAAAAAGTTGATTTTTGGGGTTTAAAGGGCCGCTAAAGTTGCCGACATGGAAAACCTATCTCGAAAATTTCCGGACCAAATTTGCTGAAAATTTGTCACAATACCTAATTTTGGATGGAGATCATTTCTCTAATACATTTCGAAACCTGAAAATGGCTGGAACATAGGAATCTCGCGTACTAAACACAGTTTTTTAAGATTTTCTACTTAATGGGAAAACGGCGGCATCCTGAAAGTAGCATAGAAAGATGCGTCAACTTTTTCTACGTCGAATGATGTGTCTTTTAGGATGCCGCCGTTTTCCCATCATCTAGAAAACCGGCATTTTCTTGATGAAAAAAAGAAAACCATCCAGATTTGCAAACGGGGAGTTACCCACTTGCTTCTAGAAGCGCAGCCAAGTCAATTGCAAAAAAGAGCAAAAAGAAATTCGGTTTCTAAAAGGGGGCTGGGATTGAACTCGGGTCGTTCGCCTGGGAGGTGGCGGCGCCCTCTAGCCTCTATCCCCAGAGCCCCCCAGGCGAACCATCGCGGGTTCGATTCCCCTCCGTACCCAACTTCGCGTAGATGAGGAATTTAAATTTGCTCTTTTTTGATAATGGGTGGCATTGATCTCTCGATGCTTTTCGCAATCCTTTATATTTCTCATTAGCAGCCCCCGATCTTCTAAGGCTACTTTTGTTGATTCCAGAGATCACGACTTTTCTACATGATGGGAAAACGGCGGCATCCTAAAAGACACATCATTCGACGTAGAAAAAATTGGCGCATCTTTCTATGCTACTTTCAGGATGCCGCCGTTTTCCCATTAAGTAGAAAATCTTAAAAAACTGTTTTTGGTACGCGAGATTCCTATGTTCCAGCCGTTTTCAGGTTTCGAAATGTATTAGAGAAATGATCTCCATCCAAAATTAGATATTGTCACAAATTTTCTGCAAATTTGGACCAGTAATTTTCGAGATAGGTTTTTGATGTCGGCAACTTTAACGGCCATTTAAACCCCAAAAATCAACTTTTTAAACTTTCAAAACTATGCCACCCTGCTAATTCGGCCACCCTCTTTCAGATGGCATCATAAAAATAGGGTCCAAAAAAACTGTGCCAAGCCATAATGGGAACAGTTCGGGTGGCTGGCGGACGGCCTTTTAAAACTGTCGGAGAACTATTTTTAGTACTTCTACGCCATCTGCTTCGACGTCGACGATGTCGTCTACTTCTACTAGCCCAGCTACCTCGACGTCATCTTCTGCAAGTACAGCTTCGACTGCAATTTTGACCTCGGTAGGGAAAGGTAAAAATTGCTAAAAGGTCCAATGTAGGGTACAACTACTGTGGCGACGCAGAGCACAGCGAGCTCAGCTTCTACGGATGGTTCAGGAACTTCCGGAGGTGAACATCATTTCGGAGCCGTTAGTCGCCTGAAAAACTTTCTCTCTCTCGCTTTCTCTAACCTCTTTTCCAGGCGGCAGTTCATCTACCGACGGCAGTGGTGGCTCGACGAGTGGAGGGGGTACAGCTAGAAGTCACGTTCTGAACGCCCGATTTTTCCAGGCGGATCAACCTCGGGTGGCTCCACTTCGGGTGGCTCGACCTCAGGCGGGTCATCTTCAGGTGGTACCACATCCGGGGGAAGTTCATCCGGGGGGATCAACTTCTGGAGGTGGTGGCAGCTCTTCGGGCGGCTCAACGTCTGGGGGTTCGACTTCTGGCGGTAATTCGTAGCCTTGAAGTCTCAAAAAAGTTCATTTAGGAACTACGGTAACTACCGCACCAAGCAGCGGAGGTGAGTTTTGGCGATAGCTATCTCTCTCTCTCTCTCGCACCCCAGACGCTGACTTGAACAAGTTCTTCAGGAAGCAGCGGTGGCTCAACTAGCGGAGATTCTGGAGGAAGCACATCTGGCGGAAGTACATCTGGCGGAGGAGGCTCTTCTGGAGGCTCAACTTCAGGAGGTTCAGGCACTACCGACGGCTCTGGGGGTACGTTCAAAATGGCGGATTCTAAAAAGCACATCGATTCAGGCACTTCTGACGGGAGTGGAGGTAGCAGTAGCGGGGGCGGAAATTCAGAATCGACGACACCAACTTCAAGCAGCTCAGGCGGGACGTCTGGTGGCAGTTCAGGTAATTGCCGTCATGTCGAAGTTAAGGCATTAGGAGTTTCGAAATTCTGATACCACATTTCTTCAACTATATCTTCAGGAGGTTCAACCTCTGGTGGCGGCGGCTCAACTTCAGGAGGTTCAACCACCGGAGGTGGGACTTCCGGAGGTTCATCCGGATCTTCTGAAACAGTAACTACCACCCCATCATCCTCGTCATCTTCTGGAGGTTCAACATCCGGCGGCTCAACATCTGGCGGATCCACGGTATTCTTTTTACTCAATATTTTTATTTGAACTCCTCCAGTCCGGCGGCTCGACATCCGGAGGCGATTCTTCGTCATCTGGCGGAACTAGTGGAGGAGGCGGCAGCACCACAACCACCCCGACTTCAACGAGTACAGCGAAAAGCGGGGACAGCTCAGGAGGTGGAAGCTCGGGTGGAAGCAGCTCAGGCGGTATTACTGCCACGACGACACCAGGAAGTACAAGCGGGGGCTCGAGTTCAGGAGGTGGGACTGAAAATTTACGAAATTGAACGACTTCAAGGGGGCGGCTCTGGCACAAGTACGCCAAGTTCAACCTCGACGGCTAGTAGCAGAACAACGACCCAATCTGTCGTTTCCACGTCTTCTGGGTCGACATCGTCGGGATCATCTTCTGGCGGGTCATCTTCCGGATCGTACGTTACTAAAAAAAGTAAAAATATAACAAATGCTTAGGACTACTTTAACGAGTACATCTACTGGAGGGCCGAGTTTGGCAAGTACAACATCGGGATCGAAGCGTACGTTTTTTGCGTTTTAAAGTTGATTTTTTAACATACTCAAATTGAAAATACCTTTCGAATTAAATAGCGTAATCGATTATTTCTTAAAGCATACGGTAGTCAGGTGCCAAAATCTCGATTCTTTCGTAGCGTAATCGATTAGTCGCAATTCTTTAGCAACAACGTCTACAACAAATGACGGCAGTATAATCATCGGTGGCGGGAGCAGGTACGGTAGCTGGGTCAGCTTATAGAAAACGTAACCTTTAGTGGGACATCTGAAGACACAACCACAGCTATACTAACTACACCATCGACAACTGGCACTTCCGGCGGCTCGTTGGGGGTAGCTTTCTTAACCTTTACGGCTGGCTACGCGATGCTCCTCTAGACATGCCTACCCCTTCTCGAACTCGACCTCACCTCCCTGCCCGACTCGACGGCCATCGTGCAGCGAGACTGGAGCTTTGCCGTCAATTCAACTACCTCGTCGGCTAGCCCGTGCACAATCACACAGTACACCTGGGCGCTGGGTACGGTAGTTGGGGCATGTTCTAGGAAGAGGCCAAATTTTATGGAGCGATCGTTTCGAAAAACAATTGGGTTACGGTATTAAGTGTCATTGTTGCATTTTTACCATCATTCAAAAAAAATCGGATATTCGAGTCCTAGCCACCGTAATCCAACACAAAATTTCTTTCGAAATATTCCATTGCGTTGCGAAAATACGGTACTGTACGGTACACTACGTCCACGGATGTACTGTAGCGTAACTATTGTAACTAGGAGTATCCGGTACACTACTACATATGCCTTATCGAAACAGGAATACTGTAGCTGTACTGTAGCCGTACTATCGCATCTTAGGACTTTTTCAATTCTTCTGGTTTTATAAGTTCCGAAAAATCCTGTACAATTCTATCTGCGTACCGGACCCTACGTACTGTAACGGAATTGCCGTAATCGTGGTTTTTTCAGATGGACTCTCGAGTACAAACTACACCGCCGAAACGCTATACCTCGCCCCTGGGCAGCAATTGGGAAATCATAATGTGTGTTTGACGGCTGGTACAGTAATCCAGCGTAATAACGTAATAGTTCCTACTGTAGAATTCGAGCATGTGGTGAATTACACAGCCTGTGGGGTAGTGAACATTGTGGCATCGACTGGATTGGTGTCGCGAGAAGTTATTGGAATGGCCGATGAGACGGAAGTTACCGTATGCCTCGGGCAGCCTTTTGATGCGGATCCGAATATTGATACAGTGGTAAGGAGAGAAATAGGGAAAGGGAGGGAGAGAGAGAGAGAGAGAGAGAGAGAGAGAGAGAGAGAGAGAGAGAGAGAGAGAGAGAGAGAGAGGGGAAAGAGGGATCCAGAACGAGAGATCGAGAGATAGTGAGGGCGAGTGAGAGGATAGAGAGCTAGATAAGGTGAGCGAGAGATAGGGAGAAGAGTGAGTGAGAGAGAGGGGGATAGAGAGAAAGTTTCAGCTCTCCGTCAACTACACCTGGTACTGTTATCCGGAAGCGGACCCGCTGGCCGTCTACCTCCCGTTGCTCGAATCGGACTGCTTAAATGGTATGGAAAATATTGACTTTCGATTTTCATGGTTTTATGCTTTTAATCAGCTTTTTTCAATGGTTTTAACTGTTTTAAACGCCAAGTTAAATGTAAAATTAGCTAAATTGAATCATTTTCAGGATCATCCGAATATGTTTTGACAAATGGCGTCCTCGGCTTCCACCCCGTCGACGAGTACTTTGCCCTGGGAAAGTAAGACGTTTTTCTGCGTTAATGTAGTAATAGATACTTGCTGTCACTCTCCGTTTAAAAGTCTGCAGTACTGTAGCTCCATATTTTTTCACAATTTTTAGATACCGCTTATTCTTGTGGGCACAATCGAAAAGTGTGCCATCCCGGCAACAAAATCTGACCATCATCCTCGACGTGGTCACCCTGACAAGCACCACCGGTGAGGAAAATAGAGCTTTTAATGGTTACAAATAGAAGAACCTACCACGACCGAGGCTCTGACTTCAGAAGTGACGAGCCCGGATTCATCATCTACCGAATCGTCTGGATCTGGAAACTCTGGAGATGATTCGACGACTACGCCTAGTACTAGCACTACTACTACAAGTACCAGCTCAACTTCGTCAACGACAACGATGGGCTCTGGAAAATTGACCAGCTCGACGACGCCGAGCGCTGCAACCTCAACTACACAAGCCGAAATGACCACTGAACTGCTTGAAGATGTCTCGACGACCAGAAGTGGCAGTGGGGGAAACAGTGGAGGAGATAGTGGTGGAAGCGGCAGCGGAGACTCGGATGGAAGCGGCAGCGGTGGTAGCGCCAGTACAGGTCAGAATCTTTCATTTAACCTTAAAAAATCTTTGATTCAGATGCACCGACTACAGAACAGCCAACGACGACAATTTCAACAAGTTCAAGCAGTTCAGCCATGTCCACGACGAGTGCGACGTCTTCGGGAAGTCCAAGCAGCTTGGCGACGCCGACCACGACCGAGATGACCTCGACTACGGATAGCCCTTCGACTACATTTATCGAGATTGTCACCGGAAATGGGGAGTTGACCGAAACAACCACAATTCTGGACTCGACGATGATGTCGGATTCTACAACGATGATTGGTTCCAAATCGACGACAGGAGATTCATTAGAATCAACTTCTACCTTGACGTCATCTACAAGTACGAGCTCTACGTCAACCTCAACAAGTTCGACAAGTACGACGGTACCTGATGGAGGTTCTCCATCTCGAAACGACGAGACAACCTCTACTTCAACAAGCTCCAGCAGTATCTCGACGAGCCTCCCGACCAGCTCAACGACGTCGGCCTCGACTTCTAATATCCTAGACGTAGATACTGACGCATTAATAGTATAGTTTCCCATTTTCAGGCATCTCCGACCACATCTGATAGCCCATCTACCGTAGCCACCTCCACAACACTCCTATCGACAGCTACCGTATTTCGTGGAATAACACCTGAGACGCAGGAAGCCCTTGATAATGTAGCTGCGGGGTTGAACGAACTAGCAGCCGCTCAGAGCAACAATCCCGACACTGCGCTGGCCGATGCTATCGCCAACATTACGGTATGTTAAACGTGGGTCGTTAATTCTGACGTTGATCATCTACAGACCGCCGCCCAGCTCTCCGCTTTCCTCAACAATGTGCTTAGCGGGAAGGCACCGTATAATGTGAAGTGAGTGGAATACGGTAGTGTACTAGGGCGTAGCGTAAATGTACGAGAGCGTACGGTAGTGTAGGACATTGCACTGGAGTGTACGGAGTACATATACGGAAGTCCACGGGAGTGTACTGTAACTTACGGGAGGCACGGTACCTTATGGTAACGTGTTTTAGAGCGCCCTATCCTACGCAAGTGTACGGCAGAGTACGATGGGGTGCGATAGCATACAAAGTGTACGGGGCCGAATGAATGTGTATGGTAGCGTACTGTAGCATATAAAGCTTTCCTGGAGCGCACGGAATTGATTTATTTAGTGCACAAGAGTACTTTTCTTTAGCTTACGTTACAATACCGCAAATTACTGTATGCGTATCCTTGCGTAGCGCACGATTTTAATTTCAGTACGACGGATACGGCTGCCCTGATCGCGCAGGTGAAAGCGCAGATTACGAATCGTACGCAAGGGCTGACAGACGTACGTTTTAAATTAATTAAATTTATGTTAGGTGCCTTCTTAGCTCCATTTTACTATACGTTTCTTCTAAAACTCAAAAACCTTCAGATGGCAAGCGGTATGCTTGCCCAACTCGTCAACGTCACCATCCAATCACCAGAAGAGCTCCAATCGGTACGTTTTCTCGCAAAAATTCAACTTTAAGGCGTGGTGACACGAAATTTCCTTTTAGGTCCTCTCCTCCCTGGCCGACATCCTAAAAAACAGTTTCACGACGTCGATCTCCGGGACTTCGGGGGTAGACTGGAAATACAATCTATACCAACATGCCAATTTTAGTACCTCGGCGCCTATCAAGTTCTACACGGCACCATCATCGCTGAGACGTACACCCTCGTATCGGCGATGAGCTTGGTAGGGAGTTAGGAATTCCTGAAGAATCTCTGCTTGCTTGCCTCATTTAAAGCTTCCACGTTCTTAAAATTTCGGAAAGTATCTTGGCTAGCCCGCCCTCTGCCAATTGTTCAAAGGATATCTGCTAGACTGCCTTGTTCCAATTCCTAGCCTGCCCCTCCCAATCACACTTTCCAGATCACAATCGAGGGCCAAAATGCGTACATCGTGGGCGACGTCCGCCCTGGCATCCTCCAATCCAGGACAACCCCCGAAGCCGTCAATGTAAGGCGTAAATAGGTGTATCCTGAACCATTCCGTACTTAGGTGATCAACGACATCACCAAGCTATCCACATCCATCCAATTCCTATCCGACACTGACGTCGACGTTGCCCTCGGCTCTTTTATGAACACGTCAATCTTCGAGCCGCTCTCGTTTTTCACGCTCTATGGAGATACTTCGGTGTGTAAGAAGTAGTTTTAGGTATTGCGTAAGAGTACTGTATATAAAAAAGAAAATTAATATATCGAACTGCCAGATCACATGCAGCGACGGTACGCAACTATCGACGACACAAACCGTACTGTGGAACGCTTCCGTACCCCTGTTCTCGGACTCGGAATCTGTTCCTCAAGATTATACGTCGATCACCACATGGCTTCCGATACAATCGGGCAGCGTCAGCGTGCAGGTACGTTTAAACGTACGGGCAAGCGGAAATAGTACGCTGCCGGAAACTGACAACAATACCCAAATCGTCAAAATAAAAATCAGGAGAAAAGCACCCTTCTCTAGCGCTGGTTATTGCCTAGCGTAACCGGTTCTCCTGACTTCTCAGTCCCTTTAAAAGTGCCAAGATCATCACTTTTTCAGGCCGACTCGAATCTAGAGTCGAATCTCGTTGCCGGAACGCTAATAAATGCCACCACGACCACCGTAACCGTCATCTTCAACGGCCAGCCCGTCGCGCTCACTTTTAGGCAAAAACTCGGGTTTTTCAGAATTTGTCGAAACTTTTTAGTGGCGGCCAAATGCAGGTGCTGTCGCTGACAAATACGACGGCTGCGATTTCGATCCAGGGGTCTACGGTAGGGTTACGGTAGCGGTAGAAAATGAAGGATTTTTAGCTACAAAATTCGGCCTCACTTGATCCACAACTAGCTAACGCTATCATTGAACCCGTCCGAATTGAGGGTGGGTGAATTTGAGGACAAGCTGTTGCGAAAAACGACAAAAATGAAGACGTACTCTGTTATCTCTTTCTCTCTCTCACGCTCTCCCTGGGTTTCTCTCTCACTCTGGCTCTCTTTCTCTCTCAGGCTCTCTCACGCAATCTCTCAATCTTTTTCCCTCTCGCTCGCCCGCTCGTTCGCTCTCTCTCTCTCTCTCTCTCTCTCTCACTCCCACTCCCTCTCTCGCTTTCTCTCTCGCTATCTTCAACTCTCCAACTCCTTAGAACCATGGTTAAGCTCAGCAACTTTGGGCGCGCAAAACACACTTCAAAACCATCGACCCCCTGCCTGCAAAGTCCCTTTAGGCATCTCCTCATCATTCTGCGACTCCCCGCCCACCTCGGGCATCTACTCAATTTCGTTCGAGACGGCCGGGGGCAATGCCCAGATGCAGTTCGTCTCCACCGTCACCGGCAGGTCTTCGACGGTTTTCTAAAGAGCCCCTCTAGGCTATTGGCTTCCGGACATCTCCCCGGGCTACGTGACTGTCCTCAATGGCACCTTCATTCCGTTCCAATCCTATGACAATCAGAGCTCGCTGCGCGAGGCGTTTATATCCGGTGCTGCCATGCAGGGAACGGCTATGGTACGGTAGGGGAGAGGGGTTACGGTGTTTGGTACAGAAAATAAAAAGTCTCCTCAGACGAATCTAAGAATCTCTGCTAGCCTACCCTTTCCAATTCCTCAAAGAATCTCTGCTAGCTGATCCTCTCTCAATTTCTCAAAGAATTCCTGCTAGCCTGCTCCCTCCCAATTTCTCAAAGTATCTCTGCTAGCCTGCCTCTTCCAATGTCTCAAAGAATCTCTGCTAGCCTGCTCCCTCCCAATTCCTCAAAGAATCTCTGCTAGCCTGCTCCCTCCCAATTCCTGAAAGAGTCTCTGTGCCTGCCCCTCCCAATTCCTGAAAGAGTCTCTGCTAGCCTGCTCCCTCCCAATTCCTGAAAGAGTCTCTGCTAGCCTGCTCCCTCCCAATTCCTGAAAGAGTCTCTGCTAGCCTGCTCCCTCCCAATTCCTCAAAGAATCTCTGCTAGCCTGCTCCCTCCCAATTCCTCAAAGAATCTCTGCTAGCCTGCTCTCTCCCAATTCCTCAAAGTATCTCTGCTAACATGCCCTGCCAACTCCACAAAAATCTCTGCAATTTCTGATTTTTCAGATGAACATGGTCGGCGGTGACACAAAGAGCTACTCATCCGTCTCCGTGAGCTACGACGGCACGTCCCTGCTCTTCCAGACGATCGATGATAATCTACTTCTGGAATCAGCCACGTTTACGGTAGCTTTGTCAGAAAACCAGATAGCAAATTTCATTTCAGTACTTCGCGACTTACATCGGGATCTCGAGTGGGCAGATTTCTGAAGGGGCCGCTGTGCATGTCCATACAACACTGGAGGTAGGAAAAGATGCCCTGCGTTTTTATGTTGACTTGACCGGTCCTTTAAACCCCAAAAACTAGAATATTTAGGTCGGAATTGGTCAGCGGATCTTCATCGACGACGGGCTAATCGTGCGCAACGGGTCCGACGGATACGCAATTATCCAAGGAACCTTCACGACACAGGGAGACATTCAGCTTGGCGATGTTTGTGAGTGGTTTGCCTTCTATGGGCCTTTAAAGGGGGAAAGTTTCACAAACTGCGACAGGTGGCAACGATTTTTGGGTTCATTGGAGAGAGTAAGCTAGCAGAGATGCTTTGAGAATTTGGGAGGGGGAGGCTAGCAGAGATTTTTTAAGGAATTGGGAGCGGGCAGGCTAGCAGAGATTCTTTGAGGAATTGGGAGAGGCAGGCTAGCAGAGATTCTCTGACGAATTGGGAAAGGCCAGCTAGCAGAGATTCTTTGAGGAATTGGGAGAGGGCAGGCTAGCGGAGATTCTTTGGGAAGTGTTTTCAATGATTTTAGCCCTAACCACGGCGACAATTCTCGACCAATCGGCCCAAAAACAAGTGATGGCCGTCCTGCAGAATGCCGAAGATTTTATCCGGGCCAACGGCAGCTCGCTGACGCCTGAACAGCAGAGTGCGGTCGGTTTTAAAGGAACATTCAAGTCACTGAGGGCACTCTCTCCCTCTCTCTCTCTCTCTCTCTCTCTCTCTCTCTCTCTTTCTTTCGTTCTCTCCATAACTGTTTTTTTCAGGTCGCCCAACAATCCCTATCAATGGTCACCGACTTGTTCAACACCATGGACGCCGCCCTGGCCAACCCATCGGCACAGGACCTGCAGAATTGCCTGGCCTACGAGAAGCTCAACTACAACGACATTTTCGATGTGTTGCCGAAGGATGCGAGTACGTTTACGGAGAGTGTAGAATTTTTCAAGGTTTAGCGGGTCAGAGAATAGATAAATTTGGATTGAGACTTACTAAAAAATCTTAGAAGGATTCCTGACCATAAGAGAACTTCTACCACTAGGAATAATTTCGAAGCTAATATCCGGTGCATATCCTACACTTTTTCCCGAAAAATCTATCAAAACCCTCCTGTCACGCCCCCTTTAAGGTCAAATCCGCTACGTCGACGAGTACACAGAGGAGGAGTGGGCCCTCGAGGCCACAAAACTCATCCAGCAGCAATTGGTAAGTCTCTAAGTATTTTTTATGCTTTTCAGGGAGCCAGAACTTTGAAATCTGATGGATTTGTCTTCTCGGTTCCTTTAAAATGAGCTCATTTTGTTTCTAGGCCCGCCAAATGGCCGCCCAAGTCAAATCGATGCTATCTGCGGTCGAGGACATGCTGGTGGCGACGGCATTGAAAAGTAGGGTTTGTAAAAATTGACTTAATGGATTTTTTAGATGGCCCCTTACCTCAATGTATCACCCAGACGGGAGGGGGAAACACGCTGAAGGTATGAATTTAACTCTGAGGTTGTAGTTTGTAGGCTGTAATCTGTAGCCTTGAAGTGTAGTTGTCGTCTCGGATATCCTTACAAGATTAGTGAGAATTGTAGCCTGTAGTTTGTAGTGTGTAGCTTGTAGTATTGAAGCCAGTAGTTTAGCCTTGAAGTCAGTAGTTTGTAGTCTCGGAAATCCGTTCAAGTTTTGTACGATTTGTAGCCTTGAACTCATTAGTTTGTAGTCCCGGTGTTCCTTGCTAGATTTTGCGATTTTTAGCCTGTAGTGTGTCGTTTGTAGCCTAGAGGTCAGTATTTTGTCGCCTCGGAAGTAGTTGAAGATTTTTTTAGATTTGTAGCTTGTCGTTGGTAGCCATTCGCTTTCTACCAAACATTTGTAGTCTGTAGTCTGGGATGTAGCCTGTAATTCTTAGCGTCGGTATACCTGTTGCGTTTTTGTAGTTTGTATTTAACGTTTGTAGCTTGTAATCTGCAACCTCCCCGCCTTCTATCGAGGTTATAGATGGGTAGTTTGTATATTTTTCAAGCTTTAACAGCGGACTAGAAACTCTTTCAAGGAGCTGTGAAGTCAGAAGTTCACAATCATTTTTAGGTGTGCCTCGGAAACGCGACCGACGTGCTGGCCAACCCGATCGAGTGCAACACATGGACGGTAATCAGCAGCGCATCGGAATTCATCCTTTTTAGACGACCTTCCCGAAGACGCCGGCCTCGCTGAACGACACGCTGACGGGCGAGTCGACGATCAGGGCGTCGATGATTTGCTATGTGGTGGGTAGCCTACCGTAATCCATCTGTCTTAACAGCATTTTTCATTTTTGCCACTTTTTTATGGTATTATGTAAATTTTCAGGTGAACCCGTACATGTACTCGGACAATTCGCAGTTCCTCATCACTTCTGGTGCGCTCGACTTGAGCCTGAAGGACATGGAAAATGGGACCGTCATACCGTAAGTGTACATTTTTAAGGCGCGTTAAGAGTATCATTTTGTAGCTTGAAAAATTCTGCATCCATTCCTGCGCATTTTAAGAACCTCGAAACGGTAAAAAAAAATTAAAATTGTCCGTGGAAAGTTACAAAAAAATGAAATCGGTGTAACGACAAATTCTATTTTTACTGGTATTTTGAGTAATTTCAGGCTACGTTAAGGGTATCATTGCGTAGCCCGTAAAATTCCGCGTCTTTTAATGCGTATCTAGATGCAAAAAACGCTAAAAACGTTTCCAGAAAACTTTAAAACCAAATCTTTCAGAGTCACCGAAGCCACCGAGCAAACCTCAATCGTCGGCCCATCCAATGCAACGGCGTCTGCGCAAGTGGAAATGTTCACCGCCACCTTCCAATCCTATCAGGTGATTTTGACCTGTTTCAAAACCAATTCCATAGTGGTCTAGTGGGTAGTGCGCTAGCCTACTAGGCACGGGGTCCGGGTTCAATCTCGGCCGGTTGTGATTTCTTGCTTTTTGCTTTTTTGGGTTTTTTCACATCTCCCCTTACAAGATCCTGGACATCCACGCGTTCTACACGGTACAGTGGAACACGTCGATCGTGATCGAGCTGCAGATGCAGACGCTGAATCGGCCGTTTGCAAATGACGTCTGGATCTTCTTGTCCTACCAATCACTGCCGGGTCCCAGGGATGAAGACCACGATTTCCGGTTTCAAGTTAGCAGCTATAGAGGTGAGCCAGGCCTAAGTTAAACTAAGCCTAAGCTAAGCCTAAGCTAAGCCTAATCCAAAGCCCATCTTATAGGCAACAACGCCTACTTCGTCGAGTCGGACGTGTTGCTGAACATGACCGGGCTGTACTACATTGGAGTCGGCGTGATGGCGGGGGCCAATTCAACCTCCAACGACACTGTACAATACGATACTCCGCCCGGATATACCGGTACGGTATTTGGGTTTTTATATAGCTTTTGGCGTTTTTCAGTTGTTCTCTCTATATCGCTCGCTATCTCTCACTCTCTCTCTCTCTCTCTCTCTCTCTCTCTCTCTCCCGGTCTAATGACGCCTCGACGAAACGCGAGGTCTGGGACAGAGAGAGAGCGACAGAGAGAGAGAGAGAGAGAGAGAGAGAGAGAGAGAGAGAGAGAGAGTTAGAGAGAACATTTTCTAGGAAACTGGACATTCGAGCGCAATCTATACTTTGATTACACCATTCGCGTCTTGACCAAGGGCTGCTACTATTTCTTGGATGCCGAAGATCGATACGACAATCAAGGAGTTACGGTGGGCATTTCTCGGGCCTACGGTACGTATAGCATTCTTTAGCCAAGTACACCCCCTGTCATCGGTGACGCCGAAGTGGGGTGCGCCACCACCCATTTCACGGTTTTCGCCAACGGGATCTACGCCCCCGATGTCCCGGCCGATTTCGTGTACAGCTACATCGAGAAGGGATATGTGGTGGGTTTTCAAAGGGCCGGAAATTCGGGATTTTTTGGCGGGTTTTTAGAGTAAAAAAAGAACATTTTCTAGCTGTGCTGCCACGCCCAGATCGTCATCTTCTTCATGATCTTCCACATGATGCTCCTCTACCTGTGCTTCTTGAGGGAATACTTCTCATACGAGTGGTCACCGGTAAGCCTATGGCTTAGACTTGGCTTAGGCTTCGCTTAGGCTTGGCTTAGCCTTGGCTTAGGCTTGGCTTAGCCTTGGCTTAGCCTTGGCTTAGCCTTGGCTTAGCCTTGGCTTAGCATTGGCTTAGCATTGGTTTAGCCTTGGCTTAGGCTTAGCTTAGGTGTAGGCGTACGCTTAAGATCAAGCTAGCTAACATTAAGCCAATCACAATATTTTCTAGGCCTTTATCCACCCCCTTGACGACAACCACCGAAACGACACGTACCCGTACGTCGTGTGCGTCGAGACGGGCTACGCCATGTTTGCCCAGACGGACTCCGGGGTACGGTAGTTGGCGTCTTGTCTCCTTCAAAATTACAAGCTAGTTACGCTTTTTAGGTGTTCATCAACATCGAAGGGTCGGAGGGGACGGAGCTGAGGCGGAAGTTGTACACCGACGGAGAGATCGTGGGGACAAAGAGGTTATTCCGATGGGGACATACGGATCGATTCATTATGACGACGCATAGGTATCTCTCTCACTCGCTCTCTCTCACTCTCGTACTCTCACTCTCTAGAAGTCTCGGCGATCTCTCAACCATACGACTCTGGATCGACCATGAAGGTATCGGCCATCGAGAATCCTGGTACTGTAGCCGCGTCATTATCAAGGTATTTATTGGGTTACGGTAGCCAAGTCACGGTTTATCTTCCATTTAGGACCTGCACGCCAACAAGAACTACTACTTCAACGTAAAAAATTGGTTCGGGCAACAGAGTGGGGATGGAAAGGTGAGCTTTCGCCCAGTCGTATACCAAGGTTCTGGCTAAGCCTAAGCCGTCGCCTAAGCCAAGTCTAAGCCAAGTCTAAGCCCAGCCTAAGCCCAGCCTAAGCGAAGCCTGCGTCAAGCTTAACCGGAGCCCAAGCCTAATTCTACGGTCAAGCCTGAGCCAAGCCTAAGCCAAGCCCAAGCAAGCCAAGGCTAATCCAAACCTAAGCCAAGCCGACACCAAGCCAAAGCCTAAGCCTAAACTAAACCCTAAGCTTTAGACGGAACGCCTGATCCCTGTCACCCCACTGGAAAAGCGACACCGTTTCAAGGAGGCCTTCTGGATGCACAACATTGCCCAGCAGATCAACTGGATCGCCCAGTGGAGCGGTGCGTAATTTAGTTCTTTGGTTTTTAGAGGGAAAGTTATTTCAATTTAATACTACGTTGCGGATCAATACTAACAAGGAGTCGCTTTTAGGTGCTTTTGGAGTTTCGGGACGGAACCTAGCTAGTTCGATAGAGAAAAAAAAAATTCTGAGCAACATCCCGTTTTCAAAAAGTGCTGATCGATAAAGGAATTCTAGAAAATTTAATTTAAAGTTCGCGATTTTTTTCTAGTTTTTGGGTCCATTTCCTCGGTTCACGTCGTTGTCGGGGCTTGGCCGGGCACCATTCATAACCCTCCGCCAAGGCTTCCATCACAGGTTGCATTGGCGTATTGGTAGCGCACTTGCTTACCAACTTTTTAACATTTTTTTGCCTCGGGTTCGAATCTTCGCGCTGGCTAACCCCTTTGCTTTTTGTTTCTTGAACCCGTTATCGGTGCATAAAATTTTAATTAGCAAAAAGGCAAAAAGTTAACGATAAATAAGAATCGAACTTGTGGCAAAAGGTAAAAAAAAAAAAACTTCGTAGGCCAACGCACTAGCCACTTGGCCATGCCTTGGACGGGATCCATGACGCGTAAAGTCCCCATGTGGCAGGGGCGCTCAACCGCCGTAAATCACCTCAAATCACCACAAGGGTGCCGATACCGGGAACATTTTTAATTAAATTCAATTTTCTAAAACACCTTGATCGATCAGCACTTTTTGAAAATGGTATGTTGCTCAGAATTTTTTTCTCTATTGAACTAGCTAGGTCCCGTCCCGAAACTCCAAAAGCACCTAAAAGCGACTCCTTGTTAGTCAAAGATAAGCTGGGTCAATTTCAGGCGGTGGTACACCCAATCGACTCCGAGCCGGTGTCGACTACCACACGATGACCATGTTCGCCATATTGTGCAGTACGTTTTTGTGGTCATGGCGAATTCCAGTCAGAATACCGACAGTCAAAGTGCCGACAGACTAAAATACCGACAGCGAAGGTCCAGATATGTTTTTAAAGCTAGTATGAATGGCGCATCCTTTAAACAACTATTTGGCATACCGTAGTTTTGGCTATCGGTGTTTTCGTGTCGGGATTATGGAATTTGTCGGGATTTTGGATGTCGGGATTAGGACTTTCTGCCGTTTGCCTGTCGGGATCTAGGCTGTCGGGGCTGTGAATTTCGGGATTTTTCATGTCAGCATTTTTGATGGCAGTATTTCGGTATTTCGGATTTCGGTGGGTCGGGATTTTCGCTGTCGGGATTATGGCATTTGTCGGGATTTTGATTGCAGGGGTTTCTGCTACCGAATTTTTGGTAAAAATTTACAGGAAACCCAGGTCCGCTCTAAATTTAATTTTTCAGTCGGCATCACGGCGAACGTGTTCTCAACCCCGCACACGGCCAACTACACCGGCCAGGGCCTCGGGCCCGAGCTGAACATCTTTGGTTACTTCTTCAATTGGACGGATGTGAGCTTGAATTGTTAAAATCAAATTGAAATTTTATAGGTTGTTGCCGGGTTGGCATTGGCCCTAATTATGCTCATCCCGTCATTTGTACTACCGGAATTGGCGAGGTTTGTCGTTTTTCGCAATAATTTTAAAAAAAAACATGCTTTTTTTCGTAAAACTTTCACCGTGAAAAGGGGCGTACTATAGTTTCTTACTTTTTCTCGCTTTTTCTTAGAAACATAAGCGGAAATTTTCAGGGGTGTCTGCTCGTCGCCTGAGGAATGGCAGATGATCCAGGTGCAGAACTGTGTGCCCGACTTCAAGAAGCCGCCCCGGTGGAACCCGCTTTGGACGGTAGCTTACTTTTCCCCCCTTACTTACATAATTTTGAAACCATGGAAATTTTGTACTTTTTAGTGGGGGCTGTTCACGGTGGGCGTGTTCGGCTTCATGGGCGTGAGCATCGTCGCGTTATGGGTAAAAAAAAGCGAAATTTTCCGAATTCTAAGACGTTCAGGGAGCCATCAAACTCGACGTGGAGGAGCAGTACTGCTTCGCCCGGCGCTTCTTCATGCAAATGCTCTTTTGGATTTTTGTGACGGAACCGCTGAAGGTGGGTGTTTAGGTTCTGGTTCATTAACGGGGTGACGTCCTGGGAGTCTATTATCCCATTTTTTTCGTCATTTTTTCGAATTTAACAGTGTCGTCAGTAAAATTTAACGATTTTTTCAAATAAAAAGCTACTTAAAAGATATCTATCAATTCAAAAATACGAAATTTTGGTCAAAAAAATCAATATTTTAGGCTTGTTTTAACCAAGTTTGTGAAGTCTCTGCGTTCAATAATAGTAAAAATCAAGATAAAATGGATTACTTAAAAATTGATTTTCCGTCCATGATCAACACCACACCCCCCGATAATGCAACAGAACCCTGCCTGTATTAACTGTGTCTGTTAGTTCGAATACGCTTACTCTTTTCTTAACCCAGGGCCTAATCGTGTCCCTCTACCGCGTCTACTGCACCCCGGATTATGGCATCGTCACCGACCCCGAGCGTGCCTACCTCACCCTGCACGGCGTCATCGACAAGCCCGCATACGGTTCAAATCTACAGCTTTTAAGTCAAAACTAAATTTCAGTACCTCCCGAAAATCGAGAACTGAGTCGAACGGTGGCAAGCATCAACCGAATCAAGGAAGTGAAAGACGGCAGAATGCGTGACGAGCAGCTGTAAGTCGAGGAGACCAACTTTTTTTGTTTTTGCTAGGACCAATTTTCTAATATCACAAGAATAAGTGTTGCTCACGGTTTCTTACTATTCCTAAGCGAAATCTACAAGTTTTTATGTAAAATACTACTTTCGGTTTTGGGACCGAAATCGCCGATTTTCGTACGGAATTTCGAACTTTCAGAGTTTTTTTAAATAGTTTTTCCAATTGAAATATCAGTTGATTTTGCTAAAAAAACACTATTAAAGCCTATCCTTATACGTTACTAGGCACTTCCCGACCCATACAAAAAAGTTGCCCCCGGCCGATAACGCCAAAGAGCTAAAAAACACTGCCTTGGCTACAAAAATGTGATAGTTCAGAGCTTGTCGACACTTCTATGGCTTTAATTTTACTTTTCTCTTCATTACTCGACAGTTTATTAGCTAAATTGTCGTTAAGGTTGTTTAAAAATATTTTTTAGCTTCTCGACCGCGCGTGAAGTGATCATTTTCCTATGTTCGCTCGGCATTCTCCTCGGACTTACCTACTATTGTCGCGACCGCAACGGCTTTTACTATCAGCAACAGGTAACGCTAAAAAGAATTACATTAAAATTATAATTATAATTATAAGTTAAAACCAGGATTTAACTCTTAACAAATCCTGCCCAGGTCAGCCAGCTGCTCGTGCTCGACCCGCAAACCGACGCCACCGGCTTCATGGACATCAACAAGGCGGAAGATTTTTGGGTGTGGCTGAATGTGACCCTAGCAACAGGTAAATCGAGTGTATCTCTACCATTTCTCTCTTTTTAGCACTCCGCGTTTCTTGGTACGACAACCAACCGGCGTGGGATATGAGAGGGTTTTTGAACGATAAGGTAAACCTGAAATTGGCATATAAAACTTATCCGTTTTTCTTCTAGGTCTCTCGAGCTATGGGATACGGCACGGTGCGGCAGGTCCGCTCATTCTCCAACGTCAACTGCAAGTTGGCCGACCAGCGCGTCGCCAAGTATTTCAATGGCTGTGAGGGCGTTACGGATAAAAAGTGAGATTTTATAAATTTTGCAATGCTGACGTAAAGAGGCCTGAATAGGAACGTACGCGGGGCGCCTATCCACGATTACTGTCCACTGACGGCGTATTTGTTCTTTTCAGTTGGAAAATCAAAAAGTTTTCTATAAATCTTATATAAAGTCTCATGGAAAAATCGAGAAACAAAGTCGATTACGATCTTCTACGAAAAATTGCGCGCCTTTTCAGACAAAGATTCCAAAAACTTCCTGGTATTTTTTTTGTAGCCAGGCTCTGAAGTTTTTCTCATTGGTTTACACGCTTCTGGCTAACTTGAAAGAACAAAGAACAACCCATTAGCCCAATTACATTTATCATACGTAAGACATTACAAAAAAATACCTTCCTAGATACGAGGTGACGGTCGGCGGGTACACACCGGGATGGGGCGAAATTCTGGCCAACGTCACGGATGACATGCGCAACAACGACTCGCTGGTCCCGTACATCTATCGGACGGCCGAGGAGCTGGAAGGTGGGTTTTAAGGCCTAAAAAAAAGTTATTTTAGGCCGTGACATCATGGGCTACCACGACAGCTACACGAGTGCAGGCTACGCGGCCAACCTCGACGGGACTACCGACGAGATGCAGGAAATGTTTGGGCAGATGATGGTCGACGGGTTTGTGCGGTTTCAAGGGCCTAAATTTATAGTAGATGGAGTAGTAGCTATTTTAATGTTTTTTATAATTTTTTACGTATGAACTGGAGAAGCCTTTTTAAAAAAACTTAGAAAGATACCTAAAAATTTTTTTATTTGGTTCGACATTTGGTCATTACGTCGAAAAACGGTTTTTTTAGTAAAAATTTATAAATTTTACTTTTCTAAATGGTCAAAAAAAAAGTGTAGAAAGACCTATATTTTCATATGTGTTCCCCCCCTGATATTGCAAAAGAACCCGAAAGATTGATGATTCCTTTTTCTAGCTGGATCGACGAGCACACCCGGGCCATCATCACCGAATTCTCCATCTACAACGCGCAGACAAACTACTTTGCCGTTGTTCAGCTACTTTTGGAGAAGCCGCCGGATGGTTTGAAAAGCTCCTGAAATTTACGTTTTGCCCAGGTGCGATTTACCCGTCCTACTGGGTCGAGACGGTGCGCTTACTGGAAAATGGAGGAGCTGACGGAACGGTAGGGAGTCGAAAGGCCATCTTCAACTTTTATTTTTCATTTCCAGATGTCAGGTTACTTTGAGTCGCTCTACATTTGCTACGTGGTCGTCATCACTATCTATCAGATCATCAGCATCATCCGAAATGGCTTGACGTATTTGATCAGCGTTTTCCAAAATTAGCTTTCAGGCCGCTGCTGGAATTCTGGAATTTCGTCGATTTCCTGACGATGCTAATCGCATGCGCCTCCCTCTACGCCTACGCTTTTCGTTATATGGCCATTGTCCAGGTGTGTTTAGCTTCTTCTTTAAAAACTGTAGATATCTCTAGGTCACCGAGGAGTTCAAAGCCACAAATGGTAATGTGTACATTAACCTGGGAAAACAACGCGATTATGAGCTGTATTTCACCTGGCTGCTCGCCTTCGTCGTGTTCTTCGTGTCACTACGGATGATTCGGATTCTAAGGCAAGCAAAAAGCTAGAAAATCACCGCTAATTTTTCAGGTTTAACCGCCGCATCTCCGTCTTGGCCATGACGCTCTCGAAGGCTGGCGGTCAAATGGCTTCATTTTCCATTTGTTTCGGCATCGTCAACATGGCTTTCAACTCGGCCCTATTTTTGCTGTTGTTCGACAAGGTTTTATAGCTAAAAGTTTTTAAATAACCCGAAATTCAGCTGGAGCGGTTCCGAAACATGCTCTCCGTCACCGAGTCCGGAATATCTGGGATGTTGGGAAAATTCGATTTGTCGGACATCATCAGCGCGTCACCATTGGGTATTGAAATACGCAAAAAATACTTCAACCCGATTTAGGTTCGGCCATTTTCATCATATTCATGATCACCGGCACTGTCATCTTGATCAACATGTTCATCATGATTGTCATGTACGAGTTTGAGCAGGTGGCTTTTGAGGGATATACTGACCCTCATGGATTCCAGGTTCGAAACGACTCTCGGCTCCAAACCAACGACTACGAAATTGTGGAGCACGTCACCGGAAAGGTAGGCGAAAAAATGTAGAAGAAGCCCTTTAGGTTATGCGCCGAGCCGGGCTCTTCAACCGCTCCGATTTGCCGCCCGTGTCGTTCCCGGATTCGCGGGTTTACTCCCACAATATTGACCAGCTCGAACATGTCGTAAGTCAATCAAAAAAAATCAACAGCCGCTCTGAAGGTAAAACTACTCCTCGTAAAGCTCCACACAATGCGCCAGCTAGATGAACTCGATTTTGAGGATAAGCGCGTCATCGAGGTAGTAAAAATTCTTTGAAAATACAAAAAAAAATTAGACCCCACTCGTCCGCCCCAACGACTTCATCACGCTAGGCGACGATGATAGGCGCGAAAACAATGTGATCAACAATAACTGGAAAAAGGGACGGCGCGGGAGACGTTAGCGGTGAATTTTATTCGCTTTTAAAACAATGGGCTAGTAAATAAACGTGTTACTTAACCATTTATACACTACACACAAGCTCCTAAGAATCCAGAGACAATTCTCACAAACACCTAGATGGGGACCCGTATCAAGCATTAGAGGGGAACCGGGCCAGACGACGCAAATCGGAGACAGACAAAAACAAGGCAAGGCAATTACTCGTAAAATAAATACAGTGGGCTTTGGTCGAGCGCGCTCCTAGTTTCCGCGGAAGAAGGCGAAGGCCAGCGGTATCGTGACGCCGATTGCCGCGTAGAGGAACACCTAGAAATGGTGGCTAAATTTTCGAAATTTCTACTAACCACAGAAATGAGCGTCTGCAGTTTCATCCTTGATTCCAATTTCTTCTCGGTTTCGTCGAGTAGCCGTTGCATATCGTTGCCAACGTATACCTAAGAAACTTTATTCCATATACACTGTCAACTACCACGTTTCCCTCGGTCTCCAGCGACTTTTCCAGCCGGGCCAGCCGACTCAATTCGCTCATCTGTGAAGCCAACCGCTCATTTTCCGTGCGGATTTCATTCATAAGCTGGAATCAATTGTCTGGGTTCTAACAGAGTTAAAGATACCTTTTCAACATCTTTGGTATCGATGGTTAGCGTTTGGGTGGCGTCGGAGGAACCTTCAGCGTGCAGTGCTTTTCGCATATCGATGAGGAATGCGGATACCTAGAATTGAAAACTAGAAAGTAGATCAGGAAAATATATACCTTCTGATTTTGCTCATGGACTGCTTGGGCCAAAGCTTCTGTCCTCTCGCTTCCAACGATCTCCTTCAGCCTTGACATACGCAATTCGTTTCCTAAATATTCATAATGAAATAAAGCTAAAGATTAAAACCCACCAATGGTAGTCCCGATAATTCCAAGCAGGGCGCCGATTAGCGATGCGCTGACTGACCACCATTTCGTCTTCTCCACGCGCTCCCGCTCCTTTTCATGACTCGTTCGTACTCTGGAAAATGCCTTATTTGAAGCCGTTTGAAGCTTTTCTACCTATTGCTCAACTGATGAAAGGCTTCTCGCTCGGCCGTTTCGTGCCCTTCAAATGCTTCCAGCAGCGCCTTCTCTTTCTTGATCAATTGATGCTCCTCTGTGAGTAGGTGGAGATATCTAAAAACTTTGTAAAAAGAAAGCGGTTTCGCACCTGTCCTCTCCACGGGACGTCCTATCCATTTCGTTGTGTATGTCCTTCAGGTTCCGCTGAATGCTCTTGATCTCGGCTTGCTTTTCTCTTCGCACGATCTGGGCATCGCTCAAGCGGTTTTCCCACTAAAAAACCTTTTAGCCAAGCGTTATCCTTCTACCTCCATAACTTCCGCTTGAGCCAATTTGACGGCTTTGATCCCGATATAGTCTTCATAGGCATCAACAACGCCCTCGACCTTGCGCCGCAATTTTCCGGGCTCAACGGGTGCTTCTAGCGCTTCGGCTCGTCGCAGCAGACTTGTTGAGATGAAACGTTGCGCTAGAAGTGGCCGCACGCATCGTTGAAGCATTCGCCTGAAATGTATTTATATTTTCTGAGATTTTTTCGCAGTGACGCGCCTTTGGAAGAGAAAAACACAGAGTAAAAAAACAGTAAAAACCTAGTAATTTGGTCGATCGACTAAACAGACATATCCAAATCCTTCATTTTTAAAGTAAAACTTTCCAAAAGTAAACAAAACAATTACTATTTGTTTGAGCACAAAGCTCTTTGGTTGAGCGTTTTCGCAAAGAGCGCCGAGAGTCGTTGTCACTTGTGCTGACCCGGAGAACTGGGGATCGAGTCAACCTGGTGGGCACAAAAACGCCGGTTGAAACAAATCTCTGGAAAGCCGATGAAGTGTCCCTTCAAAAAGCACATTTTGAGCAATTTATCCGAGATTCACATGACTAGAATTCATAGATATTAAATGCATAGTGTACAAGTTATCCCTTAGACCGGCATGTGCAACATTTTTCGTCTTTGTCTTTGGCCGTCTTATTGGTGGCGACATCCGTAAGTTGTGGAGGTAGTGGCACGTATTCACGAACGGAGAAAATGACCTGAAATATGTTAAAAAAAAGGAAATTTAATACAATACCTTGTGCCGAATGTCGAAAAAGACCAAACAATGGAATGCAATGTTGATGACGACGCCAGAATACTCCGTGATCGCGAAAATGTCATAAGCTGAAATGGGGAAACCACTGAAAAACTAGTTATAACAATACCTATCGTTATACAGGCCTTCCAATACAAATAAAACGACGCGCAGAGGATCGGCGCCGAGGCCAGGTAAAGGCAGAAGAACAGCATCTTGAAGCGATACCCGATTTTTCCCTGAAAATGCGTTAACTTTCTAAAATATAGTCTTACGTATGGGTTTAAATAATACAGCGAATGACGATGGCAGTAGATGTTCGTGGAGAAATGGACCATCCCGATAAGCCCGAAGGCGTAGAAGAGGATCACGTGTAGTTCTGAAGCTAGAATCAGAAAAGCACAAAAATGCTTACTGATGTTTTCTCGCTCTCCGATTATCGAGATCGCAATCATCAATGCCACTTCGACGATCCCAAACCAAAAGTAGACGTATCGGCTGGAAGTCAAAGTTGAGGGAAAGGAATAAAATTACCTCAACTCGTAGAGCTCGGGGTTAGGGACAACGTGAGCGCGGAGGCGCTTGTAGCGGATGACTAAACGAAGGCATTGATTTTATTGAAAGCATCAACGTACAGCCAGTCGTCAGCTCGATGACCCTCATTGGGGCGTGATAGAGCACGACCATTTGCCATATTGTCCGCTCCAAAGGGAGGTTGATGATACGCGATAGCGAGGGAAGTCGGGCTCTCTATAAATAAATAAATAAATTTTATTAAAATTAATTTATTTTTCGTCGCATTAATTTTTTTATTAGCTGCCAGAATATTTGGAAAAATAAAATTATCTGGCCTCCGTGACGCTCCACTTTCCGGATCCGTTGTTTGGTGCGCTATGGAATTCCTACGGTAGTCAATTCTAGGCCGATTTCATTTTTCAGTCGCCATTTATTTTTCGTGAACAATTTTTTGTCATTTTTCTTTGGGGTTTTCTCAAATATCAATTCGCTGTTATTTTTCTTTTTTTCAGGACAATGTCGCTGGATCACGAATTGACCTCGCTGGTGCCTAAAAAGACGCTCATTACGGCGGCCTTCGACGGGGCCCACTCCTCATCTGAAGACGTCTCCCTGCTTCACAGCGACAGCTCCGGCGGTTTCTCCCCGCAGAAGACCCACAGCGAGCGCACACATTCAACAAACAATGACAGCGTCTCAAGTGACCATGAAAATGGTTCGTGATTGTGGTGTATCGGTTGTATCTGTTTTTAGTGATGGAGTGTGGCAGCCCGAAGCCACCGATGGAATACTTGGCCGATCTCGTGAAGGAGAAGAAACAAATTGAAGCCTTTTCACCGTTGTTTCCGACGCTTGAGCGCCTCCTTGAAGCCGGTTTGTTGTTTGGGTGTCGCTCTAGTCATTTTTTAGAAATTACTCGCATCCGGGCCCTGATCTTCCACTCGGAATTTGAAACTGAAGACTTGCATTTGCCTGACGAGACCGGTCCACTCGTGGTTCTGACGGAAAAATTGTTTGTCCCGACCGCAGAGTTCCCAACGGTAAAGTGTGTTTTTTGCACAATGTGCTTGTTTTAGTACAACTTTATCGGTCGCATTCTCGGCCCACGCGGTATGACGGCCAAACAATTGGAGCAGGAAACGGGCTGTAAGATGATGGTGCGCGGCAAGGGCTCGATGCGTGACCGCAAGAAGGTATAGCTATATCGTTTTTTGTTATATATTTGATGTCCTAGGAACAAATGAACCGTGGCAAGGTCAACTGGGAACACCTTGATGAGGAACTACACGTGCTCATTCAATGCGAAGACACCGAGAAGAGAGCGCGTATGAAGCTCGACAACGCGGTTCGCAACGTGCGCAAGCTGCTCAACCCACTACCCGATGGAACGGATGAGCTGAAGCGGAAACAGCTGATTGAGCTTGCGATACTGAATGGCACATTCAAGCCGTATCGCAATGCGCATGGTCAGTAGTAGATAATTTTCAAGGTGATTTGCTTTTAGCTCTACCTCGCTTCAACGCTCATTCGCCATTGTCGGTCCAACGATGCATCTACACGCATCGCAACTCTCCGAGCCCGCTGACGTTCCACATGGTTCCTCCTTCACCGGGCTTCAATTCACCATCTTTCGATTACAAGCTCAGGTATAATTATTGTGGTTTGGTAAACGGAACAAAGTTTCCATATTCTTGCGAGCTAATTGTTATAAATTTCCGCTTTTTAGCCCATCCGTCTACGAGGCATTCTCGGCCCCACCGGTCTCGCCATATCCGCACCCGAAGCACGCCGACGCCCCACAGATGGTGCCTCCGCACACCCCGGTGTCGAACATGACTCCGTATTGCAACGGCACACTGTCTCTTCATGGCGGCCAATTCTTCCACGACATGCACCAGCACTGACCTGAACACGACACTAATAGGCTTGTGGGTTTTTTGTCCCCTATACTATTACCCCCACTTCACCCGGTTCCCATTTGTTATGTTTTCACACTTTTCACTTTGTTGTTAGCCGATGTCCGTTTTAACCACCTTATTCGCTAGACCTCGTTGTAAAATCTCGGCACACTTGTGCTTTATTTTTCATAGTTTGTCAAATGTCTATCCGATCCCATGTTTATAATAAATTGTTAATTTCCCTACGACTGTCTGACAGGGAGGGAGGCTTCGAGCATGGGGGTTAAGCGGGCATCCAAGGGCGAATACCGGTCAGCACGGATACATTTTTCGCTGATATGTGGCTGAGGACAGTTTGTCAGATACAGCCGTCAAGTTGTTGGCGGATGTAAACGTTGCACTCACCCCGCATTGCCAATTGTAGTTCGAGATCTGTTCATGATGGAAGAGGAGCGCGATGACGATTGCTGAGATGCATCCGGTCAACGAGGGGACGAGACAGACTAGGAAGATATCCAGTGGGTTGAATCTGAAAACGACTTTTACGTCCAAGTTGATGCAGGCGTCTGTGCAAGTTTTCCGGGGCGTTATCGAGAATTTATGCCGAAGGGCGTACGGACAGCGTTGCGCTACCGGCCGCTCGCATAAAGAATTTTCCTATTGGACAGGGGCGTCTTTCGATGGCTTGCGGCTAAATGCAAGGTGCCAGACATCGGGGGCATCGACTATCAGTTCCATGGCGGGCTTCCTCATGGCAAGCCATTGTGCTGGCCAGCCCGGGGGCTGTCTGGATGGATTGGAATCAAAGGGCGCCTCGTGGTAAAGCTCTATGGGCGCTATTTCGGAATAGGGGACCCACTTTGATTACTCTAAAAAAACCACTTCTTCTGGTGTAATTTTGCGCGCTTGTTCCGAAATACGGTGTCCCAGCCCGCAAAAACGTACATTTGTACAAAAATATTTTATCTTTATAGGATGTCTTTAGGACATGAGACGGGAGGTCTTGGCGTGGCCAGCGAACTTGCTAGGAAACCCACTTGGATTACTATATTTTTGGCTTGAGCTTGACTTGACTGGAACACACATGCGCTAAGTATATTCTATGTAGTGGAACACACACGCTTTCGTGTTTTAATAACAGCTTATCGCGACCTTACTTTACGTTACGGGGGCGAAGAGCCGGCCTAGTTTACAGGTGGGCTCTACTCACGTTAACGTAGATCTGGGTCGCCTAGGCTTGGTCTCAATGAATCTAAGATCGGGCTTACTAGCATTTAGCATTATTTGTGCATACGTTTAAAGGGCGTCTGGCAGCAAGCCCCTTTTTCCACGACTCGTGGAAGCGTCGCGGTCGGGTGCGTCGCGGCAGGGAGAGAAAAAGAGCGCGCCCAGAGGAGAGACGCAGACAGAACTCTGCGTCTCTGCCCGGTCCCCAAAATGCCGTAATCGGTGTGCTGCCAGAGCCGCTTTAAGCCTAAAAAACGGAGCTAGGAGTGTATTGTAGCCAAAAGTCGGGCCTGCGCCGCTAGGTTCCCTGGCAGCCCATTAAACTAAAATCAATTTTTTTTGTGAAAATGTTAGGTTTTAAAGTTAGTGAGGTGTTTTTTCGGAACCAGCGCACAAAACTCTCCAGGAAAACAGCGCACAAACCCCAGTTTTGGTATTATAAAAGTGGGTCCCCTATTCCGAAATAGCGCCGCTCTATGCGGGGTGCTACTCTTTTGAAATCGAAACTGGCCGCGGGTTCTGGGAAAGCTGCATGACAGGGCGGCATTTGGGAAACGGATTAGGAGCAAAACGAGGAAGAAAGTTGCGATTTGCTCACAGTATTGATATTTTTAGATTTGACAAAAAGCATAGATTTTTAGCGAGAGTAAACAGAGGAGGAAGAAAGCGGAACAGAAATGGAACGTCTCCAAAATGACGCACCTGCTGACTTCGACGACCTTCTTGTCCTTCCACTCGTAAATGTGGTAGAGTCCATTCTTTCGTTGTTGCGGCGTGACAACGTTCCGTTTCGACAGATCCATCCGTATCACCGGACGGGCGGACGCGTCACGGACTGTGGCGGAAGGGGGATGGTATTCTGGCTATAACGGGATAGGGGTTTTGTGTTTGTTTTCGCTTCTAAATGCTTTGGGAAGGAAAAGGCGAAAGATAGAAGCTGAAAAATTTCATAGACAGAAGCAACGGTGGGCGCTACGTGATGAGGAAGCGTCGGGTCGGATCGGATTTCAATTTTTCACCTCCGGTAATCGGTGGGCTCGATCTATTTGGCCTGCCGTTCGGCGGGCTTTAGGAGGAGGGTTGGATTTTGGGCATTTTGCGGGTGTTGCAATAGCAAAAAGTTAAACTGGCAAGGATTCGGGGCAGCTTTTAGGAACCATAGAATACTCTAATGATTTGATATCATGATGCCGAAACTGCTCAGATCGAAATTCATAACATCGACATTTGAGGATTTTGAGATGTCATAATATCGCATCTGAAAAATTTAAATCCTGGATTTTTCGCGGGCTATTCTGGAGTTTCTCCGGAGTTTATGAAAATTCTAATAACATATTTCGACATAATTAAGTTGCATTATTTTGAAAGAAAAATAACTGGGGTTTTTCCCAGTATTTTTAATGGTAGTTTCAGTTCTAAAAGTTATTTTTAAGTTTCTATGTTTAATGGTTTTCTGTTAAGTGGTCTCGCTATCTTTTGCAATCTTCCCAAAAATAAATTTCGGATTCAATTAAGATTCTAAAAACCGTAATCAATCGTGGACATTCTGAAGTGAATGGGATGGGGGGGAGGCTAAACAGTGCCCGGCGATGGTGAGTGAAAGGTGGGGCTGGCAGGAAGATCGGGTGAGGGGAAAAGGGAGGAAATGGCCTCGGGTGCGCTACGCGACGCGACGGGTTTTCGAGCAAGAAGTACAAGGATGGGTGGTGGGTACGGTAGAGAGACGCGTTGTGTAAGTTCTGATGTAGTGAGGAGTAGAAAGGTGCTCTGGGGTTGTGGCTCAAGGAGTGGTGGAGGCTAGTTGATCTTGGGAAATCCTGGTGAGCGAGAGAGCGCGAGCAATAGATCTATGGGGAGCGAGAGCCAAGATAGAGAAATCGTTATCGAGCTAGAGAGAAAGAGAGATAGAAGGATGGATAGGGAGCGAGAGAAAAGCCAAAAATCTAGATTTTCTGGAGTTTGTATAATTTAAAGGAGCGCTGAGTCTACACAGAGAAATCCGGGTGAGAGTACGAGAGTAACGGCAGAGAGAGAGAGAGAGAGAGAGAGAGAGAGAGAGAGACTGAGGGAGAGCCAGAGAAAGATAGAGGCCGATAGAGCAATAGAGAGAAAGTTGTCTTGGTTTTCGGAAGCGTGCTTAATTCCGAAGAAGGACTAATGACGGGTAGAGCCGCAGTAATCCCTGAGAGAGACAGCGAGAGAGAGAGAGAGAGAGAGAGAGAGAGAGTGAGAAAGATCGCCCACAGCTTGGCATCAATAACCAACGGAAACTGTAGTTCTAAACCGGACTATATAGCCGGAGTTTGAACTCCCATAAATCTCGCGAAAAAAGCGATAATGAGAAGCTGCGTTGTGATTGAAACACACAACGGTTACGGTAGCCGGGGGAGCGGCAGTTTAGGCATCGGCAGCCCATTGCCCCAGCGCTAATGATAGGGTTTTAGTGGCAGAGTGGCGGAAGGAGCACGAGGGGCAGCTCAGGCTCAACAAAAGAATGCCCGTATGTCTGTCTGTCTGCCGAAATTCTGATGCTCTGTCTGTTTTTCGTCATCGGTCCGTCCAATACCCGGCAGGGCACGGCAAGTTCCTCGTCCTCATGCTCCCGGATTCGGCCTCCGCAGCGGTAGTGCCTAGCGCGCGCTCCCCCAAGGCAATACGCTTCCTTTCGCACCGCCTAAAGGCGGGGAGCACGAACTTGCCATTGAATGGGCACGAATTCGGGGGTAGCCTATGAAAGTTCGATTGGTGGGGGGAAGGGGCTTTTCGGCGTTGTCAAGGTGAAGAAGTGCCCTTTTGTATGGGCATCGAGAATTTGCAGATATATCGCGCCCGAGACCAGGAGAGCAACAAGTTCGGCCGAGGGCTTGTTGCTGATGTGTGTAGCAATCGGGGTTTTGGGGGGGGCTTCCTTATGGGTGCTTTTAAGAGCATAACTCAGCAAGTAGGAGTCCGATTCGATACTTGAAAACTGGTTCGAGATTTTCTAAGGACGATTCTAAATCAGTAGGACGTTACTAAGAAAATAGGTGTTGTTTAAAAGGAGCCTAAACTCCTTGTGGATGCGTTGTGTCTCGAGCGCTCCTCAACGATACCCGATGCAACCGCACGCGTTAAAAGGCGCACTGCGGAATCTGGGGGATGAGATCGAGATTGGGCCGCACAATAATGGGAGTATTCGGAATTATGAAAGCCCCGAAAAACATGGGCTTGTAAAGTTTTAACCTGGACCTCACCGGACTGGCACTTCGCTCAAAGTACGCGCTCAAAGTACGCGCTCAAAGTACGCGCTCGAAGTACGCCCGCAAACGTGCTCAAACGACGCGGCTTTTCAGCACAGCAGCCCTGTACTGCTCGAACTTGATGCCATACTGACAAGGCGAGCGTCAACCTCGAGCAATTCGGGACTCTGGAGCTTAAACAGCGCGTCGTTTGCGCACGTTTGAGCGCGTACTTGCGGCCGACTTCCGGTCCCTTGAAGTGTAGCTTTTCTAAAGCGAAATAGCGCAGATATCCACGTAAAAATTACAGAACAGCTCGAGAAAGTCCGAAACCAACCTCAAACTCGGAGCCGAGGAAAGGCAAACCCGACTAACGAGCTTTCGCGAAAAGCCAAACGAGAAGCCGGCGAGGGGAAAACAAATTCACAAAGATGCTGATCGAAAACTGGATGGTTGCGGAAAAATGGGGGAGGAGGAGGAAGACGAATAGGCGCGACTTTCCACGAGGCTCCCCCCCGGTAAACAGTAGGCTTAAAAGCCGCAGCAGCACGCCAATGCTTTGCTCTTTCTCCTCTTTCGGGCGGGCGGATGAGGGTCAACCCGTTTTGAGCATGAGCGGGAGATTGGAAATGTGCCCTCGGGGCATGCAGCCCGGATCAGCCAATCCCAAAAAGAGGACAGAGGAAAGAGGAAAGCCTATGATTTTGGGGGCGTGAAAACGGTCCGATCCGGAGCGCCACCGGCCTGTTTCCTGCCGATCCCCGGCATGGCCCGGAAAATATCTGGGGGCTGGGAATGTTCCTGGCAAGCTGTCAAAATCTAGAACGTTCGTTGCGGGCTCCAGCGGCATAGAATCGGACAATTTGCTTAACTTCCAGGTTACTTTCATGCCGAAATTCATAACGTCGAAATTTTATAATGTCGAAATTTCGCAAATTCGAAATTTTATGATTTTTTCTGGAAAAATGCCTCCTTTAATATGTCAACATTGGTAAATTTGAGCATTTTGAAATTTCGTCCCTTTTCGGCATTTTGAAATTCCGCTATGAATTTCGACATTATCAGAGTTTTCCATTACGAAATTTCAACATTACGAATTTTCGGCATTACGAAACTTCGGCATCATGAATTCAACGTTATGAACTTTCGGTATTATTTCGAATTATGAAAATTCGGCAGTAAGGATTTCGACATCATCAACTTTTTGCCTTTGCAACCCCTTTAAAATTAAGCTAATTCCGCCCATCCCGCAATCCACCTTCCGATTCCCCGCCCAAAAAAGTGCAAGTTCTGCCCCCGGCCGGCTATCAAGCGCCCCCGCGCCGGCGCGCAGTCCCCCGCAATTTCGCGGCAACGGGATTTTCCGGCCGGTGCGTACAAGGCGCACCCGGCACCTGCCTGCTAATTTGCGTATTTTCTTGTGGGAATTCTTGGGATTTTTCGGGACTTGCTGGTGGTTTTAAACTCACAAAATTCGGAGCTTTTTGAGCGGAATTTCCAATTAATAGTTTTATGCTATTAGTATTTCAGGGTTTCATGCATTTTTGTAGCATTAATAGGTGGTTTTGTTTTCTAAAAACGCAAGAAATTAAAAGGCGAATTTTTTGGACGTAAAAAAGTTTCGAAAAAATAATTTAAGATTCAAATGTGGCTTTGAAAATATTCTATTTACGCGAATGAATTTTTAGCCGTTCAAAACCCCGAAAAAGGCAGACTAGCAGCGATTCGTTGCCACAAACGGCAAAACTTTATTCCACAACCAACTTCCACGTTTCGTAATACATTTTGAGATCAAAATCATAGAAATTTGGGGATATGGAGATCGAGTCGAGTTGAGGAGGAGGAGTAGAGAAGAAGGGGAAACCCGTAGCAAAATATATTTATATATTTCGGGGGTTTCTTAATTATATAGGGCGATGACTTAGGTAAAAAAAAGAAACTGTATAAAAAACCAGAAAAAGAAGATATGCACACAATCACAACGACGACGTAACGACACATTGCCGCGACACCCAGGACAAAAACCGGCTGATATGGCTGGGGGTGTTTAGGGGGGGGGGGTAGAAGGGGAGCAAGAACTAGTTCAACTCGTTCAACTCATCCTCCTTACCCTCTATGGGCATACAGGGAAAGAAAAAGCACAACTACGGAATAGTGCGAATTGCAGACAGCAAGAAATCAGCTAGAAATCTGTGGAAATAGAAATCTGAATACCGAAAAATCGGGGTTTTATGGACAAAACTTAAGTTGCATTGCCGGTCCCTTTAAAGGGACTAGGCTATTGACTTGTAATGTGTATTTGCTTTGAAAGTTTTTAAAGGGACAGTGATAGGTCAGTCGTCAGTCTCATTCTCAAAAGCCCTCCGGAGGATGAGGGTTGTGGCCAGTTCTGGGGCGCTGATGCAGGCCGAGGGTGGAATGTAGGATCGCAGCGGGACGGCCGGCACTAAAAATTTATGAATTTTCCTGTCAATAATTTGTAATGTATTTTTATCGTATTTTCGTGGTTTTTGATAACACCAAGCTATAAAAAATCTTTTAAGAAGTTTTGAAATTTTAAGAAAACTTTCAGAAGTTTTTGTCTTTTTTCGGAAACTCTGTAAAGTTATGTAAAAATAAAGTGTCAATAGTCAAATATGGCAAGGCAAGTTAGCAGTGATTCTTCTGGAAAAGTTTTGTTGAGAATTTTTATCTGAAACTCACTTGAATATAGCCGTCTCGCCAGCCCGGCAAGCGCCGGAAATTGGGACGATCCAGCGGTGCTCCAAAAGGTCAACACTTCCCTTAAAACGTTTTTGTAGTAACTTTTTGTAATTATTATTCGTACCTGGTCTGCTGGGTCGGGAATTGACTCCGACTATAACATTCCAGCTCATCATCCGTTGAGCCGCCGCTTTCGAGCTGGGACAGGAAAAGACGACGTTTTCGTGATGGCTCGTCGGCGTCTAAAGGGATTGGCAAGTTTAGAACTTCTAGTACGCTACGCACCTATCGACGATCCACTAGATGGGCGATCGCCGCTTCGCGGGGCGATCCCGCACAGGTCACGGATTTGTCGGCAAGTCTCGGAGCTGAAAAATGAGGTAAATAAATTGAAATTTTTGTTCGATACACAATAAAATTCATATCTATGCCTTGCCCGCCCCGCGAAAACCTTAAAATTCCGACCCACCGTTGCTGATCAGTGAACAGAATCGCCAAGCTTCTGGCGAGCCTTGGATTCAGAATAGCAGCCATCCGGTGGACCGGCTGGAGGGAGGAGGCGGCTTCTTCGAGACGCTGTGAAGCCTGCTGCTTCATTGCTCGAAGGCCGGGAGCAAGACGGTCGTCATCTTCTTCGACGCGACACTCGTGCACCAGCGCCGACCACTCGGGGATCACCTTGAAATTAGGTTAAACGGAGCCCATTTATCTCTCTCTCTCTCTCACGCTCTTTCTCACTCTCTCTCTCTCGCTCTCTCTCTCTCTCGCTTGCTTTTTGTTAGCTTCTACGGCGTCAATTTTATTTACGGCAACGCGCCCAAGCCAAATTCGATAACCGAACGGCTCGAACTGCTCGAATTCGATGGTGATTAAGGTAACCCACAAAACTTTGCTGACCGAACTGCTCGAACTTTAGGCGGCAAGTTCACTGCTTATTTTTTTGAGCTTTTTACTTGAAAGCCGCAGTACCACTGAACAGCTCGAACTTGATGCGCGCTTACCAAATTCAGCGTCGGCTGCATCTCGTTCGCCAGCGCCGTCAACGACTCGTGGAAGGGCTCGAGGAACGCGTCGACATCACCAACGGAAGACCATGGCAACCCGGCCACCTCGGCCTGAAGCCCGGAGTGCTTGGAGAGGAGCACCTGTAGTGCCTCGTGGTGTAGCCGCCATGTGTGACACTCCTCGTACCTAAAGACTTGATCTAAGGGATCACCGCTCATCCCTACCATCCGCGCACGCCGGTCAGCGCGATCTTTTGGGGGAATTTATGGGGCATCTGGGCGCCGACTTGGACGACACGGCGGCGGAGGTCGGCGAGACGGTCAAGGAGGGCACGATGGTCGGGGGAGAGGGTTGAGGAAACCACCTGGAAATCGGGGGTAGAGAGAGGGAGGGAGGGAGAGTGAGAGAGTGAGGCAGAGACAGAGAGAGAGAGTAGCACCCCTCATTTTCTATGCAAATTTAAACAAAGAGAGTAGCACCCCCCTCTAATGCACATGATCATTGCCATTCCCTGACTTAATCCCCGACCATTTCCCTAATCCCCTCGTGGCCACGACCATTTCGAGTACATTCCACGCCTCGAGACGCATTTCCGGATCCGGTCCCGAAGCGGGTGGGGGCGTGAGTCCGGAAATGCGCACATCCGCTCGTATTTTTCGGGATTTCAAATCCTATTTTCCAGAATCTACTTCAATTTTGCATACTACGGAAGACAAAGATCAATTTTTGGAGCTAGCAGAGACCATTAGGGACTTGGAAGACCGGACGAGATTCTTAGAGGATTCCCGGACTAGCAGCGTTTTTTAAGGACAGGACAAGCCAGCAGTGATTCCTAAGCAAAATTACCTGCTCGAGCACGGCGCCAATATCGGGGATGTTCTCAAAGTTTTCGAACGTCTGCGGTAGGCCAAGGGTTCTGGTGTGCTCCGGGTCGAGGGTCAGGTTCAGGTGTTTCAGGGCGAGCCGAATAGCATCACATTCCGTAACGGAAGATGGGTAGACACTGGAAAAGTTAGATCGTTCATCAAAACACATTCTATTTAATAATTTTGAGGGAATGTGGTAGCAAAAATCCATAAGCTGGACCAACCCTATGATGAGGTGCTTGAGGTTCCAGTTTCGGGTTAGACGAGACGCCCACACGACGTTCCAGATGCCTCTAAAATTGAGTGAAAATGGAAGTATGATGTTTCATTAATGCATTTTACAGCTCATCTAGCTCTCTCTCACTAAATCTGTCTCTCTCCCGCTTCTCTCTCAATCTATCTGTCTCTCTCTCTCTATCTTTCTCTCTCTTTTTCGCTCTCTCTATCTGTCTCTCTCTCTCTCTCTTGCGCTCTCTCTTTAATTTTCTCACTCTCTCTTACTCTCACGCTCACTATGCTACTATTATCAAAATAAAAAACCCACTTATATTCAAGCTTCTCCACCGACAACGTCACTTCGACCCCGACGCCACGCAGTTCACTCCTAATCTCCTCAAGCGAGAAGCGGAGCAGGTTGTCCCGAGAATTCTGGATCATCGCCTCATCCGGCAAAATATCCGAAGGTGAGCACTGCCCGTAACGACGCCCAAGCAGCAGTAGACGACCACACATTTGGCGGAAACCAGCGCTCTGCAAAGGTTTAAAGTCGCGAAAACTTTTTACGCTAATTGATGGGGCCTTCCCTGATCTCTTAGAGACCGTGACAGCTCAAAACGTACAGTGAAGTGCTGGGTGGGGCGCAGATCAATAGCCGCTGCGCGGGCAGCGGTCTCTGCGAGCAGCTCCTTCTCGACGTCGCCTACTGCACCGGGCGATGGATGGCCACTATGGAGGGAGGGTTGACGATTGGAGGACGGGAGTGGGGAGGAGGCACCTTCGTTCTGAAACTGACGATATGTTTGGGAAATTTTCGCTTAGGCCCCGAGTTCGAGGAGTTCAGAGGGGAAAGGCGGAGAGAGAGAAGAGAGATAGAGCGAGAGAATTTACATTATTCGCCTGTGGCTTCCGATCCGGCGTACAACTCCTCTTCCTCGGCATCTGCGCCGACGACATCGAGTCGAACGAGGACGTCGCCGCGCCTTCCGCCGTCTCCGAGGAGGTACTGTAAAAGGGCGGCTTTTAGGATTGAGAAATCTCCTACCTCGGCATACTATTCCGATACGACGTCCCGATCGGGCATCGATGGCGCGTCATATTTCCGGTTCCGCCGCCCGTGTCCGTGTACAGCACCTGAAGGTAGAGCGCTATCGGCGAGTACGGTAAAAAGCGCATTGGTTAATTCATTCTGAACGACGAAAAAAGAATATCTATCTCTTCGTTATTTTTTTTGCGATTATAGATTTGATGCGATGCGAGATGCGATTTTTGCGAAAAGTTGACCTGGTCAATCTCAAGTCCAAGCAGTTCAGAGAGAAAGAAGGATAAGAAAGTTTTGCACGTGAGCATTCCGTTTTGCGGGACGGAAAATCCATAACGAATCCATGGGCATGCCTTGCCGGTCCCTTTAAAATCTCCCCCAGCTTGAGCCTCACCTTGCACGCGTAGCAGGCGACGTACGGCAACCGCACCCCGGTCAGCGTGTCCAGCACCTGTCCGAACAGGTTCCACACCTTTAAATCATTTTTTTATGTAATGTACTCTCCGATACCTCGCTCCTTCCGCGTTTCCGGACCAGCTGAAAGCGGCCGCCGCCATTACGGACTTCTTCTTAAAAACATTATTGAGGTTGCGGCTTGGTTTGTAGTTTGTATATCGTTTATAGTTCAAATTTTAAAAATACCTTGTATAATCGACTTGGGTGGCATTTGGGCCATCAACTCGGGCGAGGCCAGTTGCGCCTGGGCGGCCATCTAAAAAAAATTGGAGGTGGTTTTGGTTACAGTATTTTAACCATTTTTTGGAACGCAAAAACGCTTAAAATATTTTTCAATTTTTTTAACAAATACCTCATTCAGGCCCCAGTCACAATCCACGTCCGGATACTCGTATTTAACCGGCAGCATTTTTATAAAATTCTTGGAGGGCAGGAAATAGGGAATGATTGGGGGTGGAAGTGGGTCGTGTGGGTAGGAGTTCTGCGTAGCAGGTTTGGATCGGGTGGGAGGGGAAGAGGGAGGAAGTGACGGGAACAAGGACAAACAGGTCGACACGACCCGTATCGATTCGTGAGTCGGTTCTGAGCCGAATGGTGGAGGGGAAAGGGGGGTGACCCGATTTTTGAATTCCAGCCATAAGCCCGAAAGCCATGCGGACAGCGAAAATACGGACAGACCAGAACCGATGGAGCAGAAGCCCGACAGACCCGAATCTCGACAACCACAAGTAATAATACCGACAGCCAGAACACCGACAGCCAAAATACCGACAGACCAGAATCCCGACGATCGAAATGCCGACAGCTTTTGTTTATTTTGGTTGTTGGGCTTTAGATATTTTCAGCGGTATGTGTTTTAGTCGTGAAGCGCAAATATCGGTCTTCCAAGTTCCTTTAAAATTACCTTACCATCCCGAAAAATCATTTTTTCATTATCTACGGTACCTGTGCGATATGCGGGGCCAAGCCTTCGAGATCAATTCCCATGCTGCCGTCGTCGCCAAGCGAATCGCCACTTTCCTGAAAAAATACGCTACAATGCGCTACGTTCCGATACGTTCCGATACGCTACGTTTCGATAGGTTACGCTATGTATCGATACGATTTGTTTCGCTATGCTATTGTTGCGATTTACGGCACTGCACGAGATGATACGGTAGAGTACGGCTCGCTACACTTATGTACTCAACGCTACGTTAGTGTACGATTGGCTGCGTAAGGTTACAGTGGGGTATTGTAGAGTACCGCACGCTACATTATTGTACGGATGCATACCCTATAAAAACGATACATTACGCAAGATGTCCGCCATTTACGGCATGGTACAATCTGCTACGCAACAGTACAGTAACCCTCACCTGTTGCGATAAGTGAGATAATCCGATTTTCTGGGGTCCCGCCGTGCCCCATCCCATGCCAAGCCCGAACGACTGGCCATTCAGCCCGAGCATCGCGTTGTTCATCGAGGCCAACACTTCGGCTGCTGCGTCGCCTAAAACTTGGAAAATTACCGTATTCCAGCTTCACTCAGAACTTGTCACGTTCCCTTTAAAACGCACCAACTGGCGACCTCGAGGAATCTGGAGATCTTCTGAAGTGCTCGACGGTAAGGGCACCGAGTAGACGAGCAGATGGATCGGGAGAGGGGACTGTCAGGAGACGAATATCCGCCGATGGATGATGGCTGGGGGATAGGCCCGGGATCGGGGATCTGAAAGACGGGTACGGTAGATGGAGCGCGGAATAGGAAGGGGTTTGTCAAGATCTGTTCTCAATATTTGTTCCTCAATGATCTCTGCTAGCATGCTTTGATTAATATTTAGGCCCCCAAGGTCGAGCAGTTCGGTACGCCATCAAACTTTCGTGAATGCCGCAAAGCTCTCTGCTAGCTTGTCGCGATTTTTGGGGGCAACAAGTTCGAGCAGTTGGCTTGCTATGAAACCAACGCGAGTTCCGCAAAGCCCTCCCCCTGCTAGCTTGTCGCGATTAATAAAAACAAGTTCGAGCAGTTCAAAAGTTCTTGAAAAACATCTCGCCTTTTCTGAATTCGCCGATCCCAGAATATTTTTTGCTGGTCACAGCAAGTTCAAGCAGTTCTGACAGGTTTAATGTTTGATCTGTTACGATTCCGCAAATCTGCTAGCTTGACCTCTGGTGTTCCAACGGTAAATTCGAGCAGTTCAGTGCTTCCAAGGAAATCCAGCAGAGCTTTTTAAGGAATTATTGAAACTTCTACCATACCTATTTTCAATCGGGGAGTGCACCATCAGCCTGGGCACGTCGACGGCGGAAAAAGCGGAAGTGAGGGAGGAGGAGAGACCCGGATGGAGTGGTGAGAGGCCACCGGACATTCCGCTCAACGGTGGCAAGGGGGATAGGGAGTTTGGGTGCATCTGAAAGTGGTAAAAATTGGAAAAGGTGAAGCTCGTTCTCAAACTGGCTCTTCTCCCCCTCCTTTTCCTCTTTTTCGGCTTCTCTTTCCTTCCTCCCCCCTCCCTCCCCTCTCTTCTCTCTCTTTTGGGGGCTTGGTTTCCCCTCTCTCTCGCTCTCTCGCCTACCTGCAACATGTTCGGCAGCGTCAATCCCAGCCTAGTCGGCAAGTCCAGCCCTCGCCCCAGATCGAATGACGGTGCTCGGACCGGAGCCTCAGCTTGCGGAGCCCGACTGGTGCAGTCGAATGAGGCCGGACGGCGACCGTCTGGAACCCAACAAATTCAAGGAGTCCAAGGGTGTTGAGGGGTTTCTCAGGGCCAACGGGGATTCGCTGGGCCCCAAAATAATTGGGGTGTTTTGAAGCCCCGGAAGCCCACCGGGATCAGATCCCTTGGCGAGTAGATCAGGCAACTTTCAAGGGTCAGGCTTCGGGTTTTAAAGGCACCAGGAAGTCCAAAATTACGCGATTCAAGCCATTTTTAAAACTATGTTCAAGACGAAGAACCATTTATCACCTTTAGAAAAATGTTTAAAAATTCGAGAGTTTGTCAAAAATCGAAGTTTTCTGGAGTTTTAATCACAATTTCTAGAGCTATTCCCCCACCGTTAGACTGACTCTCCCCGGTATTGCCACAGAACCGAGAAAGTGTCTTACCCGTCCCAAGCATCGGGGCCCGCGTCTCGTCGAACGAATGTGACTGCCGGATGCCATCGAGAAGCCCGTCGCTTTCGTCAACCTAAAAAACGAGGATTTTAACATTTCCCTCGGTCTGGCCATTATAAAGGGACCCCTAAGGCAACAATATACAGGTTCTGTTGTATCACCTTGATAAAATTCATGGATTTTCTGCATTCACTGGCCCTTTAAAGGGACGGTATAGATCAACCCCCCCCCCTCCCCCGTTTGGGACCTAGCTTACCCGGCCACACCGGCCAAGAGAGAGAGAGAGAAAGAGAGGGAGAGAGAGGGAGAGCGAGAAGGGCGAATAGGGGGTGAGAGACCATGTTCTATTTTCCTATCGATTGACTTATACAGTTTCAGATTTAGCCATTTGCAGATCTAGGGCTATGGATTCCGGGAATCACAAGCCTTGCCGACCCCTTTAAATACGGTACAACCGTAAAAAACTCACGACAGCATGGGCCTTCCGAAGTTTGGCCCTCGGCAACGGGGAGAGGGGCGTCGGCGACGCCAGTCCGGCTGAAAACAATTGTAAAAAAATGGAATTGGCGAGATAGAGAGAGAGAGAGAGAGAGAGGGAGAGAGAGAGAGAGAGAGCTAGAGATCAACACATTGCGCTTCAAACCCTGATCTTTGCCCTACCAACCTGTCCTCATATCTACCCTGATGCCCCACGAATGAGCCTTTCTGCTGACCACATGCCCGCAGCGGCCATAATTGGCACCTTGCCAGGTCGAAATTTGCATCCCGGAGCAGACAGCGCGGACCAGTGCTTCGCGGGTACACCGAGCACCCGTTCGTAGGAGCTCCACGTTCATTTAATCCTAACACCCGGCGCCAATTAGGGCAATTAAAGGGACCGTGACAGCCCGCTCGAGCTAGTCTGAATTTTTCCGGTGCTGAACCATGATTTCTATGCAAATCATAAAAAAGGGCTCCTAAACTTAGAGGCGAGAGGAGGGAAAGCAGAGAGAGAGGGCGAGAGAGAGACAGATAGGGAGAGAGAGACAGAGAGAGACAAAGAGAGAGAGAGAGTGAGAGAGAGCGACATCAAGAGAAATCAAGCTTTCAAGTAGCCTTTAACACTTCCCAGACCCTTTACTTTCATCCCCCCGCGTTACGGAAGAAAAATTGAAATTTCTAAGCACTATTTATAATCCCCACATCCTTTCCTTAATGCGTAGGGACCCGTTTTATATTTTGCACTGAACGGCTCGGCACGGATGATCTACTACAACAACCGGGCAATCCGGGAAGAGACGATCCACGGCCGGGGGCATGAAATAACATTACAGGGATGACAAAGAAAGACGTGAAGTGTGTGAAATGGAAAATCTGGGGGATAAGCGCCGGGTGACGCGCGTCTTCTGGAAACGTAGCACACCAAATGACGGTGGCTGAATTTGGGATTGAGGGGGGCAGGTGGAAATCGATGGGGTTAGCAGGTGCAGTTCGGTCATTTTTTGCTGAATTCAGGCGGGTGAAAGCAGGAGACCAACATTGTCTAGAGGCCATCACTACGCAACATTTGTGATGACACGTAGCGTAACGCACGGAAACAAGCTTGAAAATTTAGTCAAAAATTCAAAAATTAATTTAGAAAATGCTCTTCTGAATTTGAAGTCGTAATGCAATACAGAGAGAGAGAGAGAGAGAGAGATAGGCAGAGAGAGAGAGATAGAGAGAGAAGGACGGAGGGAGGGCCCAATGTAGCCTTCTGGCTCTCACCTCCTCGCTCTTTTCTCTAGCTATCCAGTGTTCTCTCTCTTTCCCTCTTTCTCTCTCGCTCTCTCTTTCGCTTTTAACGGCACAGCGACACCATTCCGGAAAAATTCTTGGAAGCTCTTTCGGCTTCTAAAGGGACCAGGAAGTTTCCTTCAAGCGGAAATTCCGTTTCACAACCAAAAACGAACGCTTCTAAACTAGGAACATTCCAGATCGACAAAAAATAGATGGGGCAAAATGGCTAGAGGAAGAGGGCTGGGTTCGCCGGCCCTCGTCACCCATTCCCGGGGCTCATCTGGGATGCAGCCCCGGGCCATCACTTCGCTCCCCCACTTTTTTCTTGCTATCTGTCTCTCTCTCCCTCTCTCTCTCTCTCTCTCCCTCTTTTTCTCTCTCCCCTTTTAATTGGAGACTCGTCAGCTATTTTCCGGGGCTCTCCCCGACCGGCTACTCATCACACCCAAACGGCTCGCAAAAAACGAACTTCCCCCCTCCACCCACTTCATTATTGCGATTAAAATTTGAATTAAAAGTCCCAAAGGGCACCGCGTGGCCATTCAGCAAAATTGGGAAAGAAAAGGAATTGAAATGGGTGGAATGAATGGGAGTTGCGGAGGGGGATCATAACAGAAAAAAGGGGGGACTGAGGATGAGATCAAGGTACGGGGCGTTTTAAAGGGTTTGGGAAGTCTGGAACTAGCCTGTGGATTATCAAAATATAAATATGTTAGTAGGGTCGGGGAGCACGGGCGACAGAGTGGCGGTGAGAGAGAGAGCGAGAGAGCAAGAAAAAGGGGAGAGAGCGAGAGAGCGTGAGAGAGGGAGGGGGGGGGGGGGGGGGGGGAGAGGGGGGGGGCGGGAGGGGGGGAGAAAAGGGTGGGGGGGGGGGGCAATTCGAGATAAAGAGAGCTACATCTAATGATAGAGAGAGAGAGGGAGAGAGAGCTATTTTTTTAGCATGTAATATTACATTCGATAGTACACTGTAAAGTACCATATTAAAATTCAGGCTAATAAATTCACAAAAAAATGAAAATTTATTTGTCAGTTTTGAGCTTAATTTTGTAGCTTATGGTATATGGCCATAAATAGAGCAACATTCATCTTCTGAGATTCAGATATCAACACAAATTTGCATACGCCGGCGCGCCGTTAGCGGGTCACCAGAAAAAATTGGGGGTGGCGGTAAAAAACCGGGAGAGGGTGGCCGTGGGGCCTCGGGTTGTGGGCCCCCAGAGGGCCGCTTTCAACCGGCCGAACAGAGGGACAACATAAAAAACTGGGGGAGAGGGAGGGGAAGACGTGAGCCCTAGGTCCCAGAGGGGGAGAGGGCCCACCGAGGGCCCACACACACGGATCAGGGTCTCCCATTAGCCCAAGGAGAAGAAGGGGGCGGGGCGAGAGAGCGAAGAGAGAGAGAGAGAGAGAGAGAGAGACATGGAGCCGGGTCGATCCTCTGTCCAGGGCTGGGGCCCAGCCCTTTTTTGGGCCCTCCCCCTCTCCCCGGTTTATCTTCTGCTTTTTCATTTTCTGGGCCACATACACGTCTTCAGCGGCTTCTTCTGCAGCTCTCTCTCTCTCTCTCTCGCCCTCTCTCTCTCTCTCTCTCTCCGACCCGGATGACGGAAACGAGGAACACGCACATATAGGGGCACGTTGCACCCCGCAATTTGGGAAATTTGCTGCCAGGCTGCAATTTTGAGGGGAAGCCGTAGAACAAGCTTAGTTTGCTGGGTTTTTGGTACAAGAATCCGCAAGAATCCCTGCTAGTCTGTCTCCCCCACCGGGAGCTTCTACAAATTGGTACTGCAAGGGTAAGCCCCTGGGAGCAAGAGTTGTTTAAAGGGATGGTGCCTGAAAAAACTGAATCCCCAAGAACCCATGCCAGCTTTCCCTTAAAAGCTCGAGCTCTGACCTTTATGCGCGATCGACAGAATTTGGCTCCAGAAATCTGGCTCCTGGGCTCGGAAGTGTCGCCTAGCTGGTCGACCCCAAAAATTCACGCATCAATGGTCAGTAAAAATGCATCAGGGATCTCTGCAAGACTGCCTTCCGGTTGGCCCTACTAGCCGGAAGCCCCGACTCGAGTAGAGGGCCAGATCCTGGGTCCCGTGAAATGAAAGGGCGACCCGGGTAGGGTGGGAGACGAAAGCAAAACGGATTAGACGGACCGAGGCACACCCACACTTTATAGGGAGAGAGAGAGAGGGAGAGAGAGAGGGGGAGAGTGAGAGAGAGGGAGAAGGGAGAGAGAGAACCAGGGATTTACCCGGAATCCTAAAGGGCCATCGGATTAATGGGTCCCCGAGAATGACTACCAAATTTGGGGTGACAAACAGACTGATTAAAGGGACAGGCAAGGGTGGATGGATTGACGTAGCGCGATACGCGACGCCGGTGAATTTATTGCATCCAGTAAGAGATGCATCGAACGATAGAGCGATAGAGCACTGAGATACACTGAGAGAGTGAGAGGGAGAGAGAGAGAGAGAAAAAGAAGGAGAAAGAGGAGCGAGAGTGAGAGAGAGTCAGAGAGATCCCCCCTCCCTGACTAATCCCTGTTTACAGACAATGCCCCCGAAACGGAATGAAACCCCCATTTCGAGCGCCCAAATCCGAAGCCCTTCCATAGAAAGAGGGGGGCTGACCCGGAATTTTGCCCGATTTTTTTTGGGATTTCCGGTGGAAATGGCAAGTCGGGGTCTGAATGAGTGGGTGAGCTGGTTGGTCTCGAGGTGGAGTGAGGGGAAATACGGTAGTTTTGGAGAGGGAGAGAGAGATAGAGAGAGGGAGAGAGAGATAGAGAGAGGGAGAGAGCGAGATAGAGAGAGCGATAGCTAATGTTAAAGCTCTTTTACTATTTTAGAAACGAATTTAAACGAATAGAAATTCTTTTCCTACATATTAGCCTTTTAAGAAAAGTCTGATTTAAGGTAGATTAAAATTGCATAATTATCCCAAATTTTAAAGAGACAGTGCCAGCACTAAGCGAAAGACAACGCGACGCTCCCCTTTACACAAAAATGGAATACCGTCGGCTATATTCCCTGGGTCGTCGGGATTTAGCTGGCGGTCATCGCCTCCCCGTTGCAAACGCCGATTATCCGCCATCGACGTCGCCGTGGTTGGGCGGCGGGGTATTCCGAAACGCGGCATCCGGCTCCGAATTTAGAAGCATAAGCCGAGGGTCCCCCTAATAAAAGTCACCGGCTTACAATTGCCCATCACAAAAAGCGGATTTCCAGGGCTCTACGCCCCCCTGCAGCACAAGTGGGTCATTTCTGACGGTCAATACGGTCTGACGTCCCAAAAAGCTTCAGGGATTTTCAGGGGCCTACGGTGGTACGCGAAAACAAGAGGTGTGGACCACAGGAAATTGAGCGCCGACGCGTTTTTTGGGATGGGCGGAAAGTACCGGAAGAATGGGGAATCGAGGGTTCACAATCGGAATTTCGCATACGGTAGCGGGTTCAGAATGTTTAGTGACTAAACTACACACTACAGAATACGAATTATGGGCTACAAAAATGGAACACAACATTGGAAAACTACACCGATTTACATTAAATTACAATTTTTCTTTTTCAAGTGTTTGCTCGTTCTCTCTGGCTTTCTCCCTCTCCCTATCTCTCCCTCTCTCCCTGGCTCTCCCGCTCTGTGTCTCGCTCACTCTCGCTCACATCGCGTCTCGATCGCTTGCCCTCTCCCCTCGCTTGCTCTCTGCCCTTGCTCTCTCCCTCTCTCTCTCTCTCTCTCTCTCTCTCTCTCTCTCTCTCTCTCTCTCTCTCTCTCTCTCTCTCTCTCTCTCTCTCTCTCTCTCTCTCTCTCTCTCTCTTTCTCTCTCTCTCTCTCGTTCTCTCTCCATCTCGCTCTCTCTCTATCTCTCTCTATCTCGCTGTCCCTCGCTCGCTCTCTCGCCTTCTCTCTCTCTGAAATAATTTTAGTATCAATTCGAGTACCAAAGTCCTTACAATTCCCCCCGAATATCTCAAAACATTCCAATCGGCTCTCTCTCGCAGCGATCACGGCCCGGAAATTTCCACAGTTTCCGGCATTAATAAGCCGGTAAAAAGCGCAAAAATAGCCGCCATTGGTGCAAAAACGAGCCTGGGAGCGACGTTTACGGTGTGAACGGGTGGAGGGGGATGGAAATTGAGGGCCGGAAACGAGCATCGCCCCGATGAATATAAATAATTAAAAATCAGCCTGGCCTTGGGGTGGAAATTGGCCGTCCGGGGCGCTTGGGTTCAGAGAATGCGGGTTTCGCGCGTGGGTCAAACCGAATTATCGCGCGAATTATACGCGTTTTAGCGCGCCCTATAGCAACGCTAAAACATGGCAACAAAACAGCGCCCAGTTAGCTTACTTTAGCCTTAAAAAAAGGTAAAAACGATTGCATGGAGGACCGAAAACTAATTTTTTTTGTATTGGTCCAGAAATCACTAGTAAAATAACACAACGAATTTTAATAGTATTTGCAGTAAAATTCGGTAAACGGTAAACGATAAACTATCAAAAAAATTCAGCAAAAAATGGCATTTCCGGAAATCCTCTTCTGGCCGAAAATCGAGATTTTTTGTATTTTTTTCACAAAAATTAGTAATTGCACACATAATTTTCGCGCTTCGTAAGAGTAAAAATATTGTAAAAACGCTGTCTATTTTAGTAAAACGTTGTTGGTCAAACTGAATGCCAAGGGAAAAGCTGGTTTTTTGCTCCGTGATTCCCCTTTCCCCACCCCACCCCCCGATAATGAAAAAGTACCAATATTTTGCATAGAAAATGCATAATTTATTTATTAGGGGGTGAAGGTACGTCTTAATTAATGGCTGGGGCCACGATAGAAGCGCGTTGCTTGCAGACGTAACGCGGCCATTGGTCAGTGCCGGTCATCGTCCAGCCGGAGCCTTGCGTAGCGTCACGTTGGATCTGGAATAGCGAGATAGAAAGCGAGAGAGAGGGAGGGAGATAGAGAACGAGAGAGATCGGATGGCGAGCCCGAGAGAGCAAAAATTAGAGAGCAAGGGAGAGTTAATGAGTGAGAGAGAGCGAGAGACAGCGAGAGAACGAGAAACTATCTATTTTCCCTCAACTTACCCCCCAGACATGACTTTTTGCATTCAACGCCCCCGGCGCATAATCGACCACAGTCCCATCAGTCCACTTTCCATTCCCTACCGCCCCCGTGCCGTACAGTCCCGTACTCACGGCGGCCAACACCGACAGCCCGCCACTAGGTGCACCGTGGCCCAACTGTGTCACGTCCGAGGCGATTAGGTCTGGAAATTTCGATCCAAAAATCAGCCCTACTACCGTACCCTGCAGGAATTGGAGCTCCGCGTCGGAGTGGATCGACACAAGGTGGGCCCCGGTGGCCTGGCAGCTTTGTTCGGCCGAGAATTGGCTGCTCGTTAGCCATTTGTCGTTTGAGGCCAGGGAGAAGCCCTAAAAAGGGTGTTTTTGTTGATGTGTGCATTAATGAGACCTTAAGTTGATAGCAGGAGGCCGTTGGGGAGAATAGGGTCCAACCAACTGGGCAGGTATAGACTAAAAAGTTAGGTTGAAATCGGTGTTCCGCTTTCTGTAGGCGTGCCTCTCTCTCTCTGTCTCTCTCTCTCTTTCTCTCTCTCTCTACTCTCGCTCTCTCTCTCGCTTTCTCCCTGGTTCTCTCGCTCTCTCTCTGCTCACATTTTTCTGCCGGCACATCACATATGAATGCCCTCCGGCTCGTACAGTCAACCATATCCCATTTGACAGTCGTCGCATTCATGATTGAGCAGATGTTCGTCGTGTCGTTGGAGAGTACTGTAACGGAATAGTGAGAGAGAGAGGGCGAGCAGAGAGAGGGAGAACAGAGAGAAAGAAAGAAAGAGAGAAAGAAACAGATAAAGAAACAGAGGGACAGAGAGCAGAGAGAGAGAGTGAGAGAGAGAGGAGAGAGGAGAGAGACAGAGACAATGACAGGGACAGAGACGGAGACAGAGAGAAACTTATACCTGGAGAGATAGAGAGAGCGAGAGAGAGAGAGAGAGTGTGTGTGAGTGAGAGAGTGAGAAACTCAAAAAAAATTAGGGCCTTACCCGTGTTCCCCCAGTTCAGATACGTAATATTCGCCCCATCCGGATAGATCCAATCCCCATTGCTGTTCCGTTCGACACCAATGTACGGGCTGATGTCTAAAAGCTATTTTTTTGGCTTTTGGGAAAGTTTGACCACCTCCAATCGAATTCCCGATATAGGCATTGTCGAGGGCGGAACGAATTGCAAATAGGGAGCCGCCGAGTTGGGCGCAGGTTCGGACGGCATCAGCATGGTGCAGATCTGAAAAGGGCAAGCTAGCGGAGGTTATTTGGGAGAGGAGCCCTTCCGGTCCGGGTTTATCTTCTAAAAAAAGCGGGTGTCATACCAGGATGATTGAAAAATACCGACATGAAATTCAGACAGCTATCCCCCAAGACCAAAATGTCGACAACCAAGATAAAGAAAAGCTGTCGGTATTTTGTCTTGTCGGATTATTGCTGTCTGTATGTTGGCTGTCGGGATTTTTCTCTAGCTCAAAACCCTCGGTATTTTAGCCGTCTATATTATATGGACGGAAAAGCGGAGAGATAAATCGCATAAAAGCAAAAAAATAAAATATCGAAAAACATACACCGGAAGGAGTAGTACAGACAGCTGTCCCTCCCCTGGATCTGATCAAATCGCACCGGACACTCGATTATCGCGTAGCTGCACGCGAGCAACCCAAGGAATATAAATAATCCCGACGTCATCAGGTTGTTTTTTGAGAAGTTTTGAAGCAAAATTTTCCATGGTTCGGAGCAGCTTCTACTTATAGGCGGCAGTCCCTTATCTCCATTTTGCCCCGAAAATTAATCATTCCCCCGTCACTGCGGATTGCTCCGGAATCTGGGTGGGTCAAAAATTGGCCCCCTCTCATCACGGATTGTCACGGAAAACAACAAAATTTGGTGGTTTCTTGATATCTCTCTCTCTCTCTTTCTCTCTTTCTCTCTTTCTCTCGATCTCTGCCTCTCTTTCGATCTCTACGGCTCTTGCTCTTTCTCCGGACATTAGGTTGCATACCGCGCCGAGATGAAGCCGACCAAGCCCAAAATCAACCCGAGCTTCATCTTCCGCTTCCGCTTAACTTAACCCACCTGGCTGACGTTCCCTTTTAGTGTCTTTTAAAGGAGTGTTATCAGCAGCGACTCCTTCCCTCTCTCGTCATTTTATCCTTTACCCGATGACTTTTCCGGCCGACCAACAATCAGAACTCGTTGTTCCGCTCCAAAAACTAGACTGACATTTTCTTGCTGATTATATCGTGAATTCAGTGGAGTTTGGGAGTTTTAAGACCAAAAAATTGGTGAGGATTCAAAAGTTCGAAAATCTCGCTATTTGTCAGCGCTGGCATATAGCTTGGGTACGGTAATGGGCAGAGAGAGACAGTAAGAGAGCGAGGTGTGTGAGAGAGAGAGCGACAGAAAAAGAGATGTGACAGAGCATGAGAGAGAAAGAGATAGATAACAAGCGAGAGAGAGAGAGAGGAGTTTTCGGAATTAATTTGAGATAAAGAGAGGGGGAGAGAGAGAAGAGAGAGAGAGAGAGAGAGAGAGAGAGAGAGAGAGAATGCCGAGATACGTACCAACTCCAAGATACAGCAATTAAAGGTCACCAAAATGTTATTCGAGTACCCTATTCGATCGGGCAACTTCGCAGTTGGAGTCTAAAGATTGGAGGAGGGTTGGGGGTACGGTAGTGATTCTATTGTGTGGATAATTGTCTTCAGGGGGGAGGGGCACAATCTGTCACCACTCGCCCTTCAAGAGTCCCCATATGGACTCTAAAACCCTTCACATTCATAACATGCTCCACGGCCCCATTCGGGTGCCTTTTAGGATCCGAGGTTGGACCAGATTTAGTGGGTTAAATTTATCGCACATTATTTATCTTATTCCATTTTTACCAGGTTACTGTAATCCGGAAATTACAAAGCCGGTACTTTTATTCGGAGAGTTACCGTAATCTGGGTTCAAAACGCTGTTTTTTTTGAGGATTTGCTGGTTTATAAAGTTCCATTAATGTGCGGCTCACCTGGGTCTCTCTCGCTCTCTTTCTCTCTCTTTCTTTCTCTCTCTCTCGCTCTCTCTCTCTCTCTCCCTCTCTCTCTCTATCTTACCACTGAAATTACCGCTATATTGAGTGAATATTAAATTTATTTTTGAATTATTTGGCTAGATTTTCCATGCCCCTTTCTCACCGTTGTGACAGTCTTTTTGCTGTTTTTCGATTCCGACATACCTTGAGTACGGTATTATCCAAATTTCGCACGTTATTAAAAGGTCCAAAATCTGCAAACCTTTCAGATCGACCTCATTCTCGACGCTCCAAGGGCCCCTCCCCTCCCCCGCCCACCACTCGGCCCAGTTTCCTAAAAGATGCCCGACTACGTCAAGGTCTTCACCATCAAGGGTAAGTGCTACTGGGAAAAAATAAAAAGGATATAAAAAATGCGTTTATTCCCGCTAAGCGTTTTGTCAATCCACTAACTGTGACCGTCGCTTCCGGGATCACACCCTCGAAAGCGTTTTTAAGGGATAGCGACAGCTGATTTTATCTTTCCATACTACGTTTTGACAAGGTTATGACATAGTACGATAGCGTACTACTATGTACGAAATTTAAACGTATACTGTAGGCGGGGATGGACAAGAGCGACGCATGGAATTACCGCTCCAACTCGACGTGGATCGCCCGAAACGCCCGAGGACCACATTTCATGCTGATCAGCTACAGGCGCTTGAGATGGCTTTTCAGGTATCGTGCTTCAAGGCAGGCTAGTGGTGATGATTTGAGGAATGGGGCAGGCTAGCAGGTATTTTTAGTAAGACGGGAGGCTAGCAGACCATTTATAGGAAAGCTGGGAGGCTAGCAGAGACCATTTGGGAAAACAGGTAGGCTAGCAGAAATCATTTGGCATTGCCGACAGGCTAGCAGAGACTATTTGGGGAAACGGACAGGCTAGCAGAGACCCTTGGTCCAATCAAAAACTTATCCTATCCTACTTACTATAAAATAGTGTCTGTGTGTGTGTGTTTCCATTTGAATGCAACTTCCGTCTGGGTGTACCGGAGGAAAAGCGGCTCTGGGGAGGAAGTTTGAGGTATGTATCATACCTCTTTCGGTGCGTAATGTTCTTGCGATGACTGCACACATTAAAAATTGCGGGAAAAGTGGTATTTTCGATATTAAGAATAGGTTTTTGTAAAAAATCTCGGTCCCCCTCTTTGTTAGGGATCAATTAGCATGCGCCGGAAGTGAGGAGAGCCTATATAAAGGCATCAAAGGCGCTTTTTTCATTTTTGGCGTTGTGGTTTCGGGGAATTATTCGAAGTGAATGTAAAGTCTCATTGGAGAAGTCGGGGCCAGGGTTGAAAAGTCGCGAAGCGGCTTTTCAACCCTGGTCATTACGTTAATATTTTAGATAGACGGCTACCCAAACGCCGAAAAACGGGCTCGACTGGCTAAAGAGCTGCGTCTTTCCGACACTCAGGTAATTAACACTTAAATAATTTCAATAATTGAAATTTGCGGTGAAAATATCTTTACAATCGATTAAAATAGATGAAAACATAATAATAAAAATTTTAGGTGAAAGTATGGTTCCAAAATCGACGCACCAAGGGCCGAAAGCAGGGAGGAGGGCTCGAAAAGGCAAAGGAGTCGCCGAAACCACCTGAAACTCCTAGGTATTTCTAGCGAGGGTTACGGTAGTAGGGCAATTTTCAGCGAACCGGCTGCTGCCTGGGAAAAAACGAGCGTTCCCGCATTTCCCTACATGCCGACCTATCTACCGTACCCTTGGATGAACATCCAGCTGCCATTTACCAGTTCTATGCCGCAATTTCAATGTCAATAAATGTTTGCGATTCTTGGTTTAGTTTCTAGAAACTGGGAGCGAGAGAGAAAGGAGAGCGACGGAGAAAGACGGACAGAGAGTGAGAGAGAGATGGAGACAGCGATAGAGAGAGAGAGTGCGAGTGAGAGCGAGAGAGAGAGAGAGAGAGGACGCGAGCGGCAGAGAGAGAGATTTCCTTTGCAAAAACTCACTTTTTGAGTGATTGACAAGCATACCTTTTCTGCACTACGTGCAATTCCTCTGCCTCCAACAGTGAAAGTGCAGCGCTTCCAGAATCCCGGGGTGGATGTGTTTTCCTCCCTGGGGGCGGCGCCTTTTGCACAGAGAAGCCGATCCGTGTTGGCTTCAAGTGGACGGGCCAACACTCCGTACAGGAGGGATGGGACCAGATGGGGGGAGATGTGCCTTGAGGGCATACCAAATAGACACCCGAGAGAGAGAGAAAGAGGGAGAGAGAGAGTGAGAGAGAGAGAGGGAGAAAGGGATGCAGAGATGGAAAGGGGGAATATGCTTCGGAACATGCTAGCTTTTCTGTCTCTCTCTCTCTCGCCTCAAAAGATGAAATAACCACATTACGCATCTCGGTTTGCTCTTAGGACCCCGGCACCCCCGGGCCCAGGAACGCATTCATTTTTGCTCCCTAGGGCACCCCCCTGAACGCACTTTGTCCTAAAGTGTGTCTAGCTTGTTATCGTACTCATAATGCTGATATTTTTTTGTTTTAGGCTTTGGATTAATAAAATATCAATATACTGTAAGCTGAGCCAAATTAGCAAAACAATTTCCTTCTCTCACTATGACTCCGAAACTCCCGACGGTTAAAATCCCGACAGACGAAAATCCCGATAACCTAAACCCCGATAACCATAATCCCGACAGCAAGCCCGACAGGCAAAAATATCGAAAGCAAAAATCCCGACACGACACAAACCCTATTTTTGATTTCTGAATGCTGAACTTGAAGCGCTCTAATTGTAAGCTTTAAACTACCTTTAAATTGTCGTGTTTATGGTAATCACACTTCTCAGTGGGAATTTGGCCCGAAAGCATTAGCCTGGAGAGACAGTTGGCGGCCCTAATCCATCATCTGCTGCCCGGATGTTGTATCCGGGGGATTCTCTCCCTGTTAAAGACACCAGGCTGCTTCTGCTAACACCATTCCGGAAAACAACAAATGACGGTGTCTTGGCGTTATTTGAAACTTTGCGGAAATTTTCGGAATCAGCAATTTAATTTTTTTAATTTTTCGGCTTTGTTTTTTTCTTGGTCTGATTTTCAACTATAACATCGATTTTTGAAATTATTTGATTCCATTACCGTCCTACTTACGCTTTGGATTACGGTGGATTTTTCGTCCTTTGGAAAATAGCGGAATCCCTCGGAAAATTGCATTTTTGCTGTTGTTTTTTTCTAATTTTTCGGCTTTAATTTGACCTTTGTCGAAATTTCAGTTAACTGATATTAATTAAATTGCTTAAAAAATTAATTGAAGTAATTAAATTCTTATTCCGTTCCATTCCTATTTCCGATTTTTCGCACGCGTCCAATTGCCCCAAAATGCCGTTGATAGGACCGGAACGGAGGCGCGAATGGCCCATCCCCCCCCCCGGGTTCCACTTGGGACCCGAATGCGAGATGCCAGCTGATCTGCAGATCAAATATCGCTGCGGGACCCCAGAGGGGGAATCAAGTGCCCTCCGGGCATTCCCATTTCCCTTCCCCTATTGTCTCCTTCACACACCCAACACCAAAGGCTAATCTTTCACTTCTGCTTTTCCACTCTGATTTCCTCGTCATTGTCGTGAATTATTCATCCTCAAGGACCTCTGCTAGCTTGCCTATGTCTTACCGTACCTCGACCGTAGCCTAGAAACGCCGTACGGGGCCGTCGTCCGGGGCGTGCCGGAAAGCTCAAAGAATCTCTGCTAGCTTGCCCTTGTCTCCCCACCAAAACCCCCCGCTTGCTTTGTGATTTTACAGCACTTTGCAAGCTTGATCTTCCGGTTGGTATTGCCAAAAAACGCAGGAATCTCTGATAGCTTGCCTAGGATTTTAGGGCACTCCTAGACTAATCAGATTTGAATTTAGGTGCCAAAAACTCAAAGAATCTCTGCTAGTTGCCCAACTAATTTAGTCAAATAAACGAAGTATCTCTGCTGGTTTACCAGTGGATTTAACACGGTCAAGTTAATTTTAGCTATTTTGTCTTCAAAAAATTTCAAAACCTAAACATTCCTGCAAAATTACAATTTAGTAACTTTACGATCCGTCATTATTTGCAAAGGATCTATGCTAGCTTACCTGAAAATTTTGCGATACTCTGCTCATCGAGATTTCAATTCTCGACCCTAAACTCTAAAAATCCACGAAGATCTCTGCTACATTGCCCATATTCCCTGTGTCCCGTCTTTGGCTTTCGAAGGAGCAAAGAAACTCTGCTAGCTTGCCTTTACACTCGTTTTCACCTCTGCGATCCGGTATATTGAGAAAAACCGTTTTTGAATGATCGGTGCTAGCCTGCCTCTCTTTCGCCATTTTACCTCTCTTTTTTCGGTGAAACAATTTGCTTGCTAAGGTTTTTGATATCCCACTGTATCCGTAGCTGTAATTTGTTCATTTCCGGAACCACACGCATATTTCTACCAAATGTGGCAACAATGTTCATCACGGCTTTCCGGTTCCAAACAGCAGCTTCTCCCCATCTCAATTTCCCTCCTCTACCTCCCTGCTTGCCCATCGGCTCATCTCTCTCTCTCTCTCTCCCTCACTCCCTTGGTGGGAACAGACCACGGCGTCTTTGATTCCGAAGGGTCCTTACCAGGAAAAGCCCCCGAAATGAGCCCCCGCTCCCCCAAAAAAACGAGACAAGACGTTCCGAGAGGTTACGCTTTTTACGTTCTGCTATAGTACTGATCGCGATTAGACGCTTACAGGGATCGGCAAGGCATACTAGGCTATAGATTTTCTGGGCTATGGATTTCTCCAAGTCGCCACAACCGCGATCCGCAACGCGCGGCTACTTTTGCATTATCGAGGGTGGTCGGGTCAGGGAGCAGCGGAATTTTTTATATAGGTCCAGAAATGTTTATTAACACATACTGATCAATTTAATAGTGTTTTTACGAATATTTAACTATATTTCGAGTAGAAAAACTACCTTAGAAGCTTTTAAAACGTTAAAAATTAGGGATTTTCGTCGAAAAATCGATACGTTGCATTCTTTTTAAAGAATAATTCGTAGTTTTGCGTTTAGTAATAGTAAAAAAATAACTTAAAAACGCCTTGTTACTTCATTAAAAAATTCTATATTGAAGAAAAAACTGATTTCCCCTGACAGCTTGTCCCCCCCCCCCCGATAATGCAAAAGATCCCCGGCCTCAAAGCTCTGCCTCGATCCCCTTAAAAAAGAACCCCTCTAATCGAGGGAAATCAGAATTTACCGCTATTTGCCAAAGGCACGTCTGCCGGCCAGGCGAACGTGTATCCGCGCGGCGTGGCAGCGCCTCCGTCAAGTGTATCCCCCCGGAATCCCGAGCCCTAAAAGCCGGGCCCCTCTCGATTGTTCTCGATTACAGAGAGGGCGACACAAAAGTGTCGGTGTCAGAGGAAAAGCCCCCCGCAAAGAACAACCCGACAAACACCCATCCCTCCCCCCCCCTCCGTTTCCGCTTTCCGGAAATGATGTTGTCTGGTGGGTGTGACAGTGGTCCCCGTTCTTTCTACCGTACACTCAATTCTCCGCTACGATGCCAAAGACGAATCTGCCGTGGATCCCGGCCGAGGAAGCATATCAGACGCTAGACAGGGTCGGTTAGATTTTTTGCTGGTTGGGAGGGTTGGTATAAGGTTTTAAAGACATCGTGACAGTACTTAAGATACGGTATTTATGCATATTATTTGAAACATAAACCAAAAATTAAATAAACGTTGTTCTATAAATTTTTATGCGTCTTATTATCAACTGTAGCCATAATTTTGATATATGTTATAAAGCCGCTAAGCGTCTCGCTCTCGTTCTCTCGCGCTCTTTCTTTCTCTCTCTTTCTCTCTCTCTCTCTCTCTCTCTCTCTCCTTTCTCTAGCTCGAACTCATTAAAGTATCCTAATTGTCTACCGTTTTTCCTACGATAACGCGTGTACGGTATCTTTGTGCGCTCGCACTCCGTCTCTCCTTCTCGCTCTCTCTCTCGCTCTGTCTCGCGCTCTCTCACTCTCCCTCCCTCTCTCTCGCTCTCTGACTCTCTCCCGCTCTCTCACTTCATATTCCCTTTGCAGCCAATGTCCACCTGTGAGCCGGGTACCTCATCCGTACCCCCACCGGTCCCCCAGTCGACGCGACGACGCTATCTGACCAACAGCTTCCGCTCCAAGTAGCTAATTTGATAATAATATCGGGAAAATAGTGTAATAGTTGCAAATTGCAATTTGCAATAACCAGATTTCGACATTTCCCTTTTGTATCTTAGGTCATTCGACGGTCGCCTGGATCTGGAGACACTTCCCGAGGCACACGATGAAGAAGCCGAGGAGGCTAGGGTTGGTATTCGTTGGTTTCAGCAAAAACTTTCATTTCGTTCTTTCGAAAAACTCGGAGTTTTAGCTCGAAGCCGAGGAAAAACGGGCCTCCGAGGTGCGATTACGCGCCGATCCTCCTGACGCGCGAGAAGAAAACAATAATCAAGTCGATGCCAGGGTATTTTCCTATTTCCCACTAAAAACTACGGTATTTAGTGTGGGGAACGGTCGAAAGACACGATACGCCGCCCTTCCCACGGTACCGTACGCTCCATCGCCCGGCATCTATCAGAGGTTTTTCGTTAAAATATTACCATTGCCACCGTGGAATGGAGGCATTTTTAAATGCCAAAATAGTGAATAAAAAACTCCTTATAACTCTATTCTTATATCCTTGTATCTGTATTTTATAAAATTTAGCTATTAGATAAATAGATTACATTTTATAAAGATTAACCTTTATTTCCTTCAATTTACAAAGCTGAATTAACCAAACATTTAGAAACAAAAAACGCGTACCGTCGAAGAACGCGCCCGCCTAGCCAAACATCGCATGAGCATGCCCGAGGTTTGTTTGGCAATTTTTTAAAAATTATCCTAAATTCCCCTATTTAAAAAAATACACTTTTCAAAAGCCGAAACTAAACCGAAATCTCAAAACCCAGCGCGCCGCCCCCCGGGCATCACTCGCACGTGTTCACCCCTGACCCCCACACCCCTGATGCTCGCGTGGCTCAGTGGCAAGCCTCTCGCCTCCCAGGCGCCCCACCCGGGTTCGACCCCCGCCCGCGGGAGATATGACGACATATGAACACTGGGCTATGAACCACTCTGATTATAATTGTTCTGCCGATCTCTTTTTGGAGTTTGTATATTCTAGAAAGAGCTTATAGCGAGGAATAGAAACTTTCTGCCTTTTTCAGTCACTAAAAAAGCTTCTTCTCCCTATAAAAAATTGGGCTGTTCCCAATCGGCCTTCAAACTCTAACTAATAAAAATATCTATTCTGGACAAGTTAGACCCGACGTCGACCCCTCAATCCCAAAAAAAAACTACTAGATTTGAAGCCCCCAACTTCTCCAATCCCCCCGAATCAGCCGGCGTAATTCGAGATCTCTGGCGGTTTGTTGTGGGGCGTCGTGGGCCCCGTCTCGCCATGACCAGACGTCGAATAATTTTTTCGCGCTCCTGATTGAAAACCTTGGCTGGTCCTCAATTCTACAACACCCTCCACCAATGCTTTGCGGGTGAAAACTGCGCTTCACAGCGAGCTAATTTTTTAGAATGGATTTACGACATATGAAACTGGGCTATGAACCACTCTGATTATAATTGTTCCCCGTCTCTTTTTGGGTTGTTCTAGGACATTAGCTACGTAACGATCCGTTTTTCCTTCCGATTACTCGATAAAATCAGCCCTGGGAAAAGTTATTTCGAAGCTATTGCGAAATTCTGGACAAGTTAGACCCAAACCAATACGTCGACCCCTCAATCCCAAAAAAACTATAGAATTTAAGCCCCCAACTTTCCAATCCCCCCGCCGAATCAGCCGGCCGTTAAATTCGAGATCTCTGGCGGTAGTTAGTTAGTGGTGAGCCAAGCGTCGGGTGGAGATTGAGGGCACGGCCCGCCTTGGGACAAATTGGGAGAGAAAGGTCATCTCCATCCAGTCAATCACTGTTATCGCCCGCCTGTCCTAATTGACAGCCATTGGCTGAGACGGTCCATCAATGTACAACACCCTCCACCGAACGCAGCGGGTAAAACTGGCTACAAAGCATAGGAGCTAACTATTTAAATGGATTTACACTGACATTTTTTCAAGGTTTTAACTTGAAATATCTAAAAATGCCTACAGGGCCTAATCATTAATTATCTAAATAGATTTAACTACTATTTTTTACCGGTCTCCTCATCGGGCGCGGTATGGCAACCGAGAATCCAGCAACTCCCGCCGTTTCCGGCGTCGCCACAATCTTCTGCCAATTCGGGACAGGTAGAAAACAGCTAAAAAAGGGTTGCAACGCTCGATCGGGGAAGCCGGACGGTTTGTATTAGTCTGGAAAGGTCTAGTAACTTAATAGGAAGTATTTTAACTATATAAAAAAATTTTACTTTTTAAAGAGTCGAAATTTTGGTCCGTTTTGCTATCTTGTTTATATAAAAGTCTACATTTTTAGGGTTAGGAATAGTTAAAAACGTTTAGAAACACTTCCGCTACTAATATTAGAACATTTGATCCAAAAAATATGCAAAAAAAACTGGTTCCCCCGATCACCGACCAAAGACGCCGACGAAAGAGTCCTAACGAAACTATGTATTGAGAGCTCGTCGACTTCAAATGTTATAAGTTCGCACGAAAAAACGACTATCAGCAAAAAAAAACTCACCGTTAAAAAAATAGACTCAGATGAACTCCACGCGAGACTCCACGTCCCAATCCGCCCATTCGGGAGCGCCGCTATTGGATAGGTATTCACAAAACATAAATCTAAAACCATCACCCAAATCCAGATCACCATCGCAATTTTTCGCTGGTGCGGGTGGACTGCGGCAGCTACACCCAGCAAGCTTTATGGTATCGCGAATATTCCGTTAATCTGACCCCCCAAAATTCAGATGATGCCCCCACAGATGCGGCCCGACGGCCAACAATTCCAGCCAATGGCCCCGATGCATTACCCCGGCGATTTTCAGCCAGTCTGGTAAGGCAAGGTCAATCTAAAACATGCACAGAAAATTAGGTACCCCATGCCAGCGCCAATGTTCGTCCCCCTCGGTCCGCCAATGATGCACCCAAAGTTTCAAGCAATCGTGAGTCAAAATACCCAAAAAATCGGTACTGGACTGTTGGCGGGGGAAGGGGGGTAGCCGAGGGAAAACCACTTTTCTTTCCACCTGTTGATGATACACAGTGTATTTTTCTATTCCTAGCAAGTTTAAAAAGATTTTCATTTTTGAAAATTCGAAATTTTAACCTTTTCCGCCACTTTACTCACATTTCACCAAAAAGCCGAAAATTTCGAAATTTTACTTTATTCTTGTAGACTTTTAGATCTAAAACTGTAAAATGCTATAAAAATGGTTGATATTTCGTTATAGGGCCGTGCAGAATAACTGGGGAAAATTCCGCCCCCCCGCTAACAGTCCAGAACCAAAAATTCAGCCCGCCGCGCCGCCATCCAGAACCCACTCGTTTTGCCGTGAGCTGTGTTGTGGCGGCTGCGCTCAGCTGCTCTGGACCATTATTTGCATTATACTGATGGGAATCATCGCCGCACTTCTTCTAACCCTGTTTGTTGTCTGATTCCAAAGCTGATCGATTCAAAGTTGCCCAAAATATTCGTTTGTTTGATGCCGCCTACACACATAATCAATTCTCAACCATCCGACAAATATTGCCTCCTCGCATCTAGTCCAGTTCTGACCAAAAATTGCTCTCGAGTTGTGGTAACACGTTGCCTCCTGCGCACGACGACACCAAAGTAAAGTATATTTATCGTCATTGAATTAATCTAAAGCGACAATTTGGGGGCACACAGTTTGACGGGAATGTACGTACTCGTATTATTTGGAGATGATTGGGCAATGGAATATTCTAGGTAGTCTGTGTGATCAGCTAAACTGAAGGCGCAGAGTTGGGGGTGGGCTGGACTGCGGAGGCGACCGTCCTCGTCTGCGAGCACGTGGCGCGCCAGGGGCGTCGGGTAGACGTGTGCTTGGCGCCTATGGAAAAAAGCGTCATGGTCCAAGGCTCTGGGATTACCGGCAAATTCGTTTCCGGTGTCTGCACGCAACGCAACTTCCCATCAAGCTGCGCCAGTCGTTGTTGGGCTGTCTGCGAGCCGAGGCTGTGCGCTTTGTTCAGCGCTGCGTGGGCCTCGACTTGTTGGCCGGCCTGGAAATTGTTGAGTCAATGGGTTTTTTTTACTTTAGACCTAGATCTTTGAATACAAAAGAAGGTTTTGCAGAAATTAAAAATTTTCCAAGCTGAGCCAGCTTGCCACTTAAAATAAATAGCTAATTTCACCAACATTTAAAATCGTTGTTTGTACGTTACTACGTCTATCTTGACCAAATTCAGTCGAAACGCGAAAGAACCAAGGAAAATTAAATTTTATACCTGGCTCAAGAAATCGGCCAACTGTACGTAAAGTCGACCGGCGGCGGCACTATCGAGAACTGACGTCTAAAGCAAAATGTTAGCTAAAAATCGAAACCAAATACCAAAACCCATGAAAACCCACACTCAAGATCTTTTGACAAAGTGATGCTCCTTTTTCGTGGCACTTCTGCTCCTTATAGGCGTCGATCAGCATCCCCACAGCGTCGTGCAGCCAGGGTGAACGCTCGACGGTCTCTTCCAGGATTTGTTCAGCATCCTAAAATCCAAATACCAAAAATAAAACTCTGAAAACCTTGTTGCACGACTCGTCACGCATCTTGATGGCCGCTTCGAGAACTCGGACACGCCCCGGAAGTGGCTGTTTCATGTGGCTGATGCATTGCTTGAGCACGGAGCTGGCCTCGCGCATTCGGTTCTAAAAACAAATCGTAATTTCTATTTTAAACTTACGCTTCCGAGGTGCAACCCAACCAGCGCCTCGTATGCATCCAAATTTCTTGGGTCTTCGGCGAGTAAATCGTGCAAGTGTTGAGCAGCAGACTCGTTTCGCTCTAAACTTTTTAAATGTCAGAAGCCTAGTTGTACCTCTATCGAGTAAAAGGTTGGCCTTCAGCAGCAGCGCATCGGAATGGGCTTTTCCTACGGTCATTGTCGTCGCTCTAAAAGTCCTTTATCTCCGAACAAGGGGTACACTTACTTGAAAGCAAAATGAAGCGCCCGGTCGAGTTTGTTCTGAAGTCTGGCCAGATATCCGAAACAAATCCACGCCTCCATACAGTGCTCGTTGCGATCCATGATCGTCACGGCCAGACTTTCGAGGTCTTTCATGTCATCGTCCTGGAAACAAATAAATTCTAAAAAAACGGTTAGTCTCACCCGATAGAGTAGATAAGCAAGCAGCCCCATTCCGTCGGTCAGGTCGTTGTTGGACTGGAAAGCCTTCCATAAACTGCTTTTGGCATCGCTTCTCAAGCCGACTTGATTGAAGAACCGCCCTGCCTCAACGCGAACACTAAAAATCCAAATCAGTTGAAAAAATGGCAAACGTACAATGTAGAATGTGCCGGGGCTATAGTGCTCAAATGCTGGGCAGCCTTGAACGGACACACGGCGCTGATGACGCTGGCCTCCAAGTATCGCCGTATTCCATCATCTTCTACCTCTCGCATCTAAAAAACTATGTTTTTCATTCGAAATTTGCTACCAGATCCCCATCAGCGTTCGCGCCCTCACACTTCAAGTAATCCGAAATACAGGAAAATGCTGTTGGGCAGCTGAAGACCATGTCCCTAAAAATCACGGATTGATCATCACTTCCAAGTTTACTTGAGTCGATCATTTGTCAAACTACGTCGTTTACAGAATTTGGCCGACAGTTTGTAGAGGGCGTATTTTACCTAAAATCAAATAATCAAGTCAATTAACCGAGCAGTAAACCTTCGGCGGAGCATTTTCGGCGGGAATCGCTGCCAAAACGGTGAGTGCTTCTTCAGATTTTCCTAGTTTGACGAGGCATTGATGCAACCGGAAGCGCACTTCAACCTCCGAGAGGTTCTAAAGTAACCGATATTACTCGCACCACCGAAAAACCAAACCTTAGCTGGTACGGCTCGTGTCAGACTTTTGTACAGCTTGATCGAGTTGTAATAGAGACGCTTTGCCTCGCTCAGGTTCCCGCAATGAAAGTGGGAATCGGCCAGGAAAACCTACAAAAAATAGTTGCTTTTAGACTGGCAGTACCTGTGCCATGGCTTCATTTCGCTCTCCACCTAGCCGCTTGTCGAGGGCCACATTGTAGCAAAAGATCACTTCTTCGTAGAGTTCATTGTTGAAATGCTGTTGTAAGACGTCGAAAAGTTTCATCAGCTTTTCGCTGCAACTGTGTTTTTAATAGGATTAGATTATTGATACGAAGAAAAGAGAAGACGAATGACCAGTTGTTTTTAGTAATCTTCTTATTATTAAAAAAAAAGTTAAATTTTCATATCTTTATAAAGAACGCTCGAACTTTTGTTGCCTTGAAAGAACGGCGGTTATTCGGCTACACGCCGCTACAAAGTCCGTCTGGACGCCGTAAACTAAGCGTTGATTGGCCAAAAAATGTGGGATTGAAACTTCTAACATCCGATTCTACAAACAAATAAATAATCAACCAAAAACTCATAAAATAAAAATAATTTTACACGACCTATTGAAGGCCTTTCAGGATGCGTCGGCTGCCAAGCCTGACGCTCGCCTCGAACTCGGGCCGATTACGCCAGGCTTTCCGCCCGCGATCAACCCTCGCCCGCCTTTCCACCGGCCTCAACCAGAACTCGAGGTATTTTTCCCCGTAGCTTCTGATTTTAACGCCTTTTAGGAAGAATCCGTTGATCTGCAACAGCACACAGGAATGTCCGCTACCCGCTGTAGGGTTACGGCAGCTGTCAACGGGTTCGCGAATTTCTAATCGTCAAAATCGCCATATTTAGGCTCACTACCTGCCCATATCAAAGTCCCACTTCCGGCCCTATCACCAACAATGGAATCAGGGACTCTTATTGCATGGCACAAGAAAGTTGGCGACTCAATTGCCGAAGGGGATTTGTTGTGCGAGATTGAAACCGACAAGGTGAGCTACTGGGTTATGTTCGTACGCATGTTTTCTACAGGCAACGATGGGCTTTGAGACGCCGGAAGAAGGATTTATGGCCAAAATTCTAATCGAGGCTGGCACAAAAGACATTCCGATTGGAAAGGTGTGGAATACATTTTTGACAAGACCCGTTTTTTTTGTAGCTGTGCTGTATCATTGTGCAAGAAAAAGCTGACATCGCGGCATTTGATTCTTTCACGGATTCTGGAGCGGCGGAGAAGCCGAAGGCTGAACCTACGAAAGCTGCTCGCCCTCAGGTCTGATCAATTTTTCCGAAATTAATCTTTTCATCAGGAGTCCGCAAAGCCCCAGACAACGAGCGCAGCACCAAAAGCACATGCAGCCTTTGAAAAGTGTGTTGATTTTCACCCCCTTTCAGTCAAGTTTTAGTCCCGATCTCATGGGGCCTGCTGTTCGACTTCTTTTGCATCAATACCACATCAAGGAGGACGGCATCAAACGGAGCGGGCCCAAAGGAAATATACTAAAATCGTGGGTTCTAACTGGAATTTGTATGTGTTTTTTTAGGGACGTCCTCGATTTCATCTCGGCGAAGAAGTTGAAGCCGGCTCCAATTCAGCACTCGGCGCCGAAATCTGGGGATAAGGTATTGTATCTCTGTCGGTCTTTCAGGCTCATTTCAGGCGGCTGCTCCCTCAAAACCAATTGGCTCGGTCCGACACGTGGAGAAGTTTGTCGACATCCCCTTGACGAACATCCGATCGGTCATTGCAAAACGGTTGCTACAATCGAAGGTAGATTGGATCGCAAGTCTAATTCTTTTTTTAGCAAACGATCCCCCACGAATATTTGTCAGCCGACATTCTGTCCGACAAGGTTACAAAATTGCGACAAGATTTGAAGGCCAAGGTATTGCAGCATATTTTTTTTCTATCTCGTCAATTTCAGGGCATCAAAGTGTCCATCAACGATTTCCTGGTGAAGGGTTGTGCGCTCGCTTTGAAGGTAACAGCAAAAGCCTCGCTGGTGGCAACCCGATTTATTCAGGCAGTGCCAGAAGTGAACGTGCAGTGGAAAGATCAAACTAGTCACTTGATGCAAAACGTCGACGTGTCCGTAGCTGTGGCCACCCCCACGGGGCTCATCACTCCGATTGTTTTTGGTGCTGATAGTTTGGGCATCCTGGCCATCTCGGAGAAAATTAGGGTACATTTTCTGTTACTGAATTTCAACCCATTTTCAGGAATTGGCGAAAAAAGCGAAGGAGAACAAGCTGGCGCTCAACGAATTCCAAGGCGGCACTTTTACGTGAGTTTGAAATTTATTATCCCGTAATTCATTTGGTACATCGATATGCGAGGGTTTAATGCTTCTCCCGTTTGTTCAAGTAGATAGTCACGGAGGCCGGCGACACGGTGAAGTTGCCGATTAGGTTCAGCTTTTTCTGGAATAGAGATTTGGATGGGTTCTGAGAAATTCTGTGTACCTCCGTCTCGGCCCCGGCTGAGATCGTGTAGTTGCGCAGAAGATGGGCGATCGCCATTTTCTCTTCCAAAAATGCCAGACGCATGCCGATGCACTGTCTTGGGCCCACGCCGAAGGGGAACCAGGCGAGAAGATGGCGGGGTCGTTCTTCATCCCACCTAAAAATCTTTTTGGAAACTTCTTTGACTTCACGTTCTATCGTATGGAGTGGTTTCACAAAAGTTTAGCTATATTTGGATTCGGAAAAACTTCTTAGAAGCGTAGAAAATTCGAGAAAATTTGAAGCTTTGGTCGAAAATGAAATGTGCAAATTTTTCACCTCCATAATTTATTTCAATGGACGGAACTTAATGAAGAAGGGACAGCCCCTTCCCCCGCTATTGCACAAGAACCGAGTTTACCTTTCCGGGACAAATTCATCCGCATCTCGGCCCCAAATTTCTTTGTCGTAGTGAATTGTCCACGGGTCGGAAACGACAAGTGTCCCCTCTTCGACCTCGACGTTTCCGAGCGTTGTTGGTTTCATGCAGGTCCTCGAATTGGCGCTAAAAATCTTTATTTGCCCGCAAATTTATACTTACAAAGCTCCGAGCGGGTACATCCGAAGCCCCTCTTTGACCACGTTGTCCAAATATTTCAGTTCGTTGAGCATATCGTAGGTGAATTCCTTGATTTTTTAACAATTTTATATTTTCCGCTTACCTTCTCGTCGCCTAGTACTTGGTCCAGCTCCTCTACCACTCTTTCGAGTTTCTCTGGATGGGTAGCCAGAAGATAGGTGACGTACGATAGCGAATTTGCTGTCGTGTCGAAGCCGGCCAAGAGGAATACGAAGCATTGGGCGACGATTTCCTGATTACCTAGCTTGCGCTCGACCTGAACGAAATTTCTAGTCATGAAAATGGCTATTCCCTTAACAGATCCCTTCCCCGAATACTCTATTTTAAATTACCTTGACGTAATTCTTGTCAATCTCTTTCCCATCCAGCTCCACCTCCGCTTCTGCGTCAAGGAAAAGGTCGATAAAGTCGTTTGGCTCATGCCATTCCGTTTGCGCACTCTAGAAACGCATTCAAGCATTCGCTTTTGACTAACCCTCTGTCGTCTCCGCTCTTCGACTGCGCTCTCGATCAGCTTGATCACCTTCAAGAACGGGCTGCCGCGCAGCTGTGCCGTCATGACGAACAGCTTCCTGGTAATTTCTGCCCAGAATGGCGTGCCAAGGATCCAGTAGAAAATTGGGGAGTCGACCCGTCGCATAAAGGTCTAAATAATGGAATTGGGTTCTTCTAACAATGCCGTACCTCTAGCACTAGTGCAACTGCTGGATTATCGAACTGTCGGCTGCCTTTTTGGCCCATAGCCACTCGGGCGATCACATCCATCGTGTACTCTTGGTAGAACCTAGATTACACTTTTTATAATTTTTCCAGAACCGAGATTTCATAAATTTTTCGCGCAACCCTAATCCTCACTTATGAATATCGAAGCCCTTTCCAGTATTCGCGTGTTTTTCCATATGACCCAACAACACTTTTGCCGAATCCTCGACGGTATGCCGCATCTGAATAATTTTTGTTTAGTTAATTTCATTTCTTGCGCTTACTTTTTTCAATGAATTGACGGAAAACGACGGGTTTGTAAGCACACGCAGTCGCTTCCATCGCGCGCCCCGGGCATTGAATACGTGGATTCTGGGGTCGGTATCGGGATTCGGGGCCATCGGCATCATCTAGATTATTTTCTTTAGATTTTATTATTTCGCCTTTTTCCCCCTCTTTACCCTTTGACTTACCTTCCTTCCATGGAAATGATCAAATTTCCGCACAAAAAGCTCCTGCAACATGTCCAGGTCGCTAATCACCAAAACTTTTCGGATTCCCTCTTGGACTCCGAAGACTTTTCCGTATTTCTATAATTTTTATTTCTTTCCTCGTCGAAAATCAATTTCTACCTTTGTCCACTCTGGAAAGACGAGTACTGCTGGCTTCTCTAATTTATCCATTTCCAAGAAATTTCCAAAAAATAGTTTAGGCGGTGGTCCGGGAATTCCTCGACGCTTCCAGTAGCCGGCGTGCCATGCGTAGAAGCTAAAATTTTCGTTGTTGCTTAGAAAATCCAGACATTTTTAGCTCTATTCTCTCCTCACTCACCTATAGATGGCCGTTACCGCCGTGAAGGCAAAGACCAAGAATAACAACATGGCTGTACAGCAGATCAAGTGAAGCACGTAGCCTCCCCAAGTGCTGCGGGCTTTTAATAGGTTGTGTTCGGGCCCGGCGTAGCCTGTAGATTGGCGCCATGGTGAGCAGAATTTCAGGGCGACCCTCCACCGGCCTCTCACTATCTCTGTTGCCACGGTGAATCACCCGGTCGCTCAGGTTGTGGTTTGTTTAGCGGCGGACCACCCAATGGCTGCCGGACTCCAAATCACAGTAGTGGGCAAGCGTGTCTAAGCTACGTCTCATTCGTGGACGGGTGAATGGCCGAACGCCAGAGAGCTGATCGGAATACTGTAAACTTCCAGGAACGTAGTCTAAATTGAAAACCGAGAACGATAGATAGGCTCCAAGCCTGTATAGTCTCGTTAACGAGTGGTACATGGCTACACTCGATTTTTTTATTGTCCATTCAACATGATGGCACTGTATTTGCAACAATCACGCCTCCGTAAAAATCTTTATTCGTTATGAAGTGTTGGCGTAGAAAATCGGTCCGTAATTTCGGGGCTGACGTGAGTGAGTGCTTCTTAACCGTTCTTGACAATCGCTGGCTCCGCCGACCGCTGAAAAGGCTCTCTCTCCGTAATGCTGATACCTAGAGGAAGGTGCGGCACTGGGGGCATTGGTAGCGAATCTCCTTGAACTGGTCCATCACCAGCGGAATCCAGCAGCAGCACCACAGCCTAAAGAGCCGGGCGTGAGCGTGTTGCAAAAAGATTTACAGGGTGATGGACATGACGAGGCAAAGGATCCAGGCGGTCGCGGAGATGCGCTTTGTCGCAAGGGGCGGACTAGTCTGAAAAGGAAACAGCACTTTGCAACAATTCGGGGTAGAACTTACGCAGTGGCAAATGGGGCACGCGCCTTGCATTTTTCCTTGGCTTGGCGGAGACGGGGTAGCCGGAGGAACAGGCCGACCGGGTGTCGGTGTCTGTTTAGTGTATTATGCTCAGTAGGTCCGCGGTTCGGCTTCCGGAAGTTGGAACGTGCTATGCTAATTAGCTGTTACCGAATTCTGGTTTTATTTAATCACACGTGTCTAACCTTCATCGTGTGCAGACCACCTTTTTGATCCAATGAGTATTTCACGGTGATAATTGTACAATCATGCCCCATTAAAAAACTTTATTAGTTATGGAATGTTGGCGTAGAAAATGAATGTTGGCAGAGAGCTGATCGGAGTACTGTAAACTTCCAGGAACGTAGTCTAAATTGAAAACCGAGAACGATAGATAGGCTCCAAGCCTGTATAGTCTCGTTAACGAGTGGCACATGGTTATACTCGGTTTTTTTTATTGTACATTCAACATGATGAAATGCAATGTATTTGCAACAATCAGGCCTCCGTAAAAATCTTTATTCGTTATGGAGTGTTGGCGTAGAAAATCTGTCCGTAATTTCGGGGGTCTGACGTGAGTGAGTGCTTCTTAACCGTTCTTGACAATGGCTGGCTCCTCGGACTGCTGAAAAAGGCAATGACGATACCTTCGTAATACAGATACCTAGAGGAAGGTGCGGCACTGGGGGCATTGGTAGCGAATCTCCTTGAACTGGTCCATCACCAGCGGAATCCAGCAGCAGCACCACAACCTAAAGGCCCGGGCGGCGATTTATGGATACAGGGTGTCCCAATAAAAAAAGTGCCCCTGTAAGACACAGAAGTATCAGATCGGAATGGTCGAAGTCACCATCGAAAGCCCTTGAAACGGAGAGTTTGCAACAATCCTCATAGCCCTGTTTTTGTTTAAATGATATTTTTTTACAAGTCATTTTTGTAATATACGGTTTCTCTGAGTTGCATACGAGCTAATCTGCCTCAACTTCTCCAAGCAAACTGGCCGGAAGTAGCCGTTGATCCGATGCAGAGGCGGCTCCTTGATGTTTTTAAATGCGTCATAAAATGGCTTGTTCTAATAAAAACACTGTTTTGAAGATTGTTTCAAACTCGCCGTGTTAAGGGCCCACCCCAAGAAAAATAAACCCCTCCCCTCCCCCCCCCCTTCCCCCCCTGTCTCCCATTTTTACCCTCTTGGGCTTTCGAATGGCAGGAATGGTCGAAAGAGAATCATTCTGATCCGATACTTCTTGTTACCCATAGAAACCCGCTACCCGTGAAAACCCACAGAGGTCCAGGATTTACCCGTTGGTACCCATGCCTTCCTTTTTGGTCAGCCGCTATCTGATTTTTCCCATGGGTAAACCATTACGCGATGATGAACATGACGAGGCAAAGGATCCAGGCGGTCGCGGAGATGCGCTTTGTCACAAGGGGCGGCTGAGTCTGCAAAAATTGAGCAATCCTACTATAGAGAAAAGACGATAGCCCAGCGGCTTTTCAACCCTGGTTTGCAGTAATTCCGGGTAGTACTTACGCAGTGGCAAATGGGGCACGCGCCTTGCATTTTTCCTTGGCTTGGCGGAGACGGGGTAGCCGAAGGAACAGAGGGCACCTGGGGGCGATTGCTGCTTGGGAATGCATTTTGACCGGCAGATCAGCTGTCTTACTTCCGGAAATTTCAATATATTATGCTAATTCACGTTGACAAAATTATAGATTTAAAATTTTCCTCCTTTTTCAGCATCTCCAACCTGGGCATGTTCGGCAGCATCCACAACTTTACCGCCATCATCAACCCGCCGCAAGCCGCTATTCTAGCCATCGGTGGCACGCGAAACGAGCTGTCGACGGATGCGCAGCCGGTCTCTCGGTAAACTATTATTTTTAGCCAAAAATCATATTCCACTGCAGGTTTACCGTCACCCTCTGCTACGATGCGCGCGCCATCTCCGGCAGCTCGGCCCATCTCTTCCTCAACCACCTCAGCAAGTCACTCTCCGATCCAGAAGTAAGCTTTTCTTGCTAAAAGAGCTATTTTCTTATGGTGCCTCTAAAAATAATTTTTATTTTTCAGTTCATGCTACTCGAGCCCGTGAACGACAACAGCCTCAACTTTGACTTTACCAAACTTTTATGAACGACCCTTTGATTTATGATTATTTTCCACCTGTAGTTTCCGTGATTTTGTACTTCTTAATCTAGTCTCTGTGGCCACTCGTTGCTTCTCAATTGTACCTTTCGTTGATTTTTTTTAATTGCTCGTTCGGGTATGCGTCGTAGTAGGTAGAGATTAGCTGGTTCAGTGCTTTCGTTTTTATAGGAATTTTTAAAAATATGATAAAGTTTAATCATGGCACGTCATGGAAAGTAATTGTTCTGCACAACTGGATATATTTGCGTGATTTTTGCTTTTACTGTTGAACCGGCGACCTGTAAATTCTTGGGTATGAGTGTTGGTTATATTCTCGGTGTCAGGGATCTCCCAATGGATGAAGGAGAACCGATGGAGGACTTTGAAATGGCCGAAGCCGAGGATGAATTCGATCAAGCTGGAATGCAACATGGGCTAGATGTAACCTTTATTGTGATAGCACTACAATTGTTTGACAAAAAAAAGCCGAAGTGTTTCTTTTAAATTCACTCATTTAGGAAGAAACGCTGCAAGAGATCAAAGAGAAGAAAAAGAATGGAATGTTTGTGTCGGCTTGGGAGGAGGATGACCAAGACGTTGATGCGAAGGATTTGAATGACCCGGTCGAACGCTACCTCACCGCTGCTGAAGAGGGCCGAATGGAGGAGCTGCAGCGATTTCTACTGGACGATCCAGAGCTTTTACATGTGAGTGAGCCATTGTTTTTTATTTATCCGTAAAAAAATAGCTCGTCTCGTTTTTGAGAATTCGCGGGGAATTCTGCATGGATATACATTTTCTTTTAAGAAAGTTGACGTTGACGGTTATACAGCCCTTCACCGTGCCTCCTACAACAATCATCTGCACATTGTCGACTTTTTAGTGGAAAAGGGTGCAAATCTTGAAGCCCGGTGCGCTTAATTTGCATAAATGCAAGTCTGCTTTTCCAGAACTGGCCAAGGGTGGACACCACTCCATTCCGCGTGTAACTGGGGCAACTATGAAATTGTTGGAAGGCTGATCTCACTAAAGGCAAATCCTAACGCTTTGAGCGAGGGTAGTTTAACGGTAAGCTCTTTATCTCCGAGCTTGCTTCATCAAGGTTTTTAGCCATTGCACGTCGCTCTTTGCTCCCAAGAGGATCCAGAAGGGGTCTTCCACGCAGTGCGATATTTGGTGCAAGCGCCAGGTACAACTAGTTTTTTACGGTAAATTTTTTTTTTAGGGATTGACCTGTCGGCTGTCTCGGGCGCCGGCGATAAACCGCTCGATTTAGCGCGACGAAACCATGGTGATTGCTATAAACTGCTTAAAGATATGTTAAATCGTTTGTGATTTTCTTTTACTTTTCGAGCGCTTGACAACGGGTTGTTTTTCTGCAAGTGCACTTTTGTTTGTCTCTCCTTCGCATCTCTTCCCCCGCCTTTTCCCCCACTCTCTCATTCCAGCCCCCATACCCCCGGTTTCCCCCAAATACGCCCGGATTCGGTTTCTCTGTCTGCTAACAATTCCGATAAATGGCTACTACACGACAAACGAAGATTCAAGAATTGCACTTTTCACTACTTCCAAGACTTTGATCACGGTTACAATGGATTTGCAGACTGAACAGTATGCCACGCACGCGGAAAAGCGTCAACTTTGCGGCCGAAACGCCTAAGCCATCCACTTCAGCACAGCCAGAAAGCGGAAGCCGAACTCAGAGCCCGATCACGCCGCTCGACCTGGTCAAGAAGCTCGAAATGTACAAGGAACAAATCCTCGACACGGCAGACATTGAATTGGAGAATTTCGATGCGGCCATTGGAGACACTGTCGAGTACGAGAGGAAAAGAACCGAGTTACTGGCGCAGGCGCGGACCCTCAAGAAAGACCAAAAGCAATTTCTCAGCAACAAGACGGAATTGAATATGGAAAATGCAGTCATCGCCGGAGCCAAGCTGCTGGTTGATGAGGTAAAACAATTTTGTATCTGATACTTTGAGCGAACCTGCTCGTCTTACCTTTGAGCGAATCTTCTCACTCACAAAAAAAACTTTTTTAGGTGCGTTGCCGCCGCTCGATGACCAAGCAGTTGCAAGAAAAATGTGGCATCGCTGAAGAGGACATCCTCTATAAAGGTATCGACAATTCCGGAAGGGAATCGGTCAAGATGCGCGATTTGACGGCTGGACGGACCTCATCAGTCGTCGAGTCTTTCGTCGACTTCAAGAGACAGGTCGATTTCAAGACCAAGGTCATCGACGGAATCGTGGCAAAGTATGGTGAGGAACGGCCGTTGACCAGAAAGCGCACTCGCCAATCGCTGCCCGCGAAATCCAGGCCGGAAGATCTGAAGACGCCGAAGCGAGCCCGCTCCACCGCCGACATCGACGTGATGAATGTGAACCGTATACTGGGTAAATATGCCCAGGAAGTCGCCTCGGAGATCAAAAACGAATTCTTCAGCTCGGCCAGGTCTCGGCACATCTCACCGATCCCCCTCGATTTCTCGGCGCTCGACGACACCGATTCAAGTGAAGACTAATTGGTTTCGGGTTCTGGGCTGATATAGAGAAGGTCCCAACCTGTCACGCCTTATTATTTATTTTCGATCTGCCCACTTAGCGAGCTTTGTTTGTCTTTCAATTACCCCGTGATAATTATTTTGGCATTTAGCTTCTCGATGTTGTTGTTCTCCATTCGCATTGTTGTTGGTTATCGTGCCATTTATACTCAAATAAATTTCAGATGTTGGCGACTGTACGCGCAAGCAGGGCCCTTTTTGATGCGGCCGCCACTTCACGATTCGCTCATCAAGTGCCTGCCCGAAATGCCCACTTTTTGTCGTCGGTGCCGCTGAAGAAGCAGGGCGTTGATGGACAGCTGAAGGGCGATCATTTCGAGGGGAAGAAGGTAGTTTCGCTTGCATAATTCAACGTATTTTATAGCCCCTCGTGCTGTACTTCTCGGCGGGATGGTGCCCGAGTTGTCGCCAACTGACTCCGAAGCTATCGGTGAGTTTGATTTTCTATGCTAATTCTCGCTTTCAGAGCTTCTACGAGAAGGTCGGCAAAAGCCGTGGTTTGGAAATTGTTTGGATCTCGCGCGATAAGACCGAAGAAGATCTCGAAGAATACTATAAGAAACTCCCGGACTGGGCCTACATCCCCTACGGCGATCCGAACATCAAGTATGGTGTTTAATATTAGCTAGAATTTTTGATAGGGACTTCATGCGGAAGTTCGACGTCAAAACCATCCCGGTTCTGCGATTGGTCGACGAGAAGGGGAACATTGTGAGCGACGAGATTCGGAAGGACGTTGAGGTATCAACGTCGGATTAAAACAAAATAATTCTTTTTAGGACAACTGGAAGGCCGACCCAGAGGGCATCATGGACAAGTGGGAGAAGCTGTACAAATAAAAAGGATCAAACGAATTGTATCCGCTATTTTATAATCCCCATGCATAGTAGCCTTTTTGGAATAGGAGTCTGGCTTTGTGATTTCCCTAATGCTTCGCGAGGACAATTTTCTGCATTGCTTTCGATAGTTTAAATGGAATTACTGCAATAAACTATTTGGAAAAGCGACAAAACTTTACTGGTTTTCGCAAGTTTACTGCTTCGTTTCTATCATCAGTGGCCGTCCGTTGACGGCGAGCGTGGATGCGGGACCGTAGTTCGGGGGCTTGGCAATTTGCCAGAGAGCCAAATTGTCGCCGGATCCCGTTGTCCACATCAACAAAATGCTAAACAGCATCGATTCGGAAGTTCCTGCTCAAAAATCTGGCTAATTTTTTAGAAACTTTAGTCCATGAAATGACAGCAAACGTTTGCATCATCACCTCGTGAAATAAGACATTTTTTCGAGTGATCTGCTAGATACGCATTATTTTTTCTACATTTGCAAATTTTCTAACGCTCAGTGCTTGTTTAAAACTTTTATCGTTCCTGAATTTCAGGGAATGGCCTACTTCCGAAATTTTTTCGGAGGCGGCGGCAGCGTCGACCCGGATGACAATGGGGCCGAGATCGTGGAACGGCTGGTTGAGAGGGTACGTGGTGCTTTTCAGAATTCAGGATTTGCTGTTACGCGAAATTGAAAAACATGTTCATCTTCCCGATTTAGGTTGAAACCTGCACGGCGCTCGAGGATCGCCGGGATGCACTCCGAGCTCTTCGAAATATGGCAAAGGTTAATTTTGTCCAATTTATCATCGTCGTATTTTTTTCAGAAACAGCGCCTCGCCGTCGGAACGCTTGGCCTCGGAGCGTTTATGGAAATTTTAACGAAGGAGCGCTCAGCCATCGATTTACTCTCACTGACTTTAGAGGTAGGAAGGCCCGACTTCGTTATAAAATTTCCTAGGTGCTACTTTTCGTGCTCATCGGGGACGACGATGCGCCCGAAGAAGACGAGCTTGGCGAACGCCTTGCAGAGGTTATGCTCAAACGGCCGGAATTCATTGCGGCCGTCCTGTCGACGCTCGAGCAGTTCGAGTTCAGCATCAGGCGGTAGGGATTGAAAATTAGAAGCGAAATTTTTTTAGGGTGTCTGTGCAACTCCTCACTGCGCTGCTTCGTCATCGCGGCGCCGAAGTCCAGAATGCTGTGATAGGACAGCCGATGGGCGTCTCCAGACTCGTTGACTTGATTCATGATAATCGCGAGGTACTGTATATTCCTATTGCCTTTTGGACAGTGTTCCCGCTTTCTGATTGCCTCACCACCATTTTAAGGTTGTACGTAACGAGGCGATCCTCCTGTTGTGCGAACTATCGAGGGCTCATTCCCAGCTGCAACAGCTTCTCGCTTACGATAGCGCCTTTACCATCCTGCTCGACATTGTGGAGAGCGAACCGATTGACAGTCAGTTTTATCGTCCTATTTTATCGGGATTTTCAGGTATTGTTATCGAGGATTGCCTGTTCGTCATTCTGAATTTGCTGCGGAAAAATCCGAACAACCAGCAGCTGTTCCGAGAAAATAAGTGAGTTTTAGTAAAAATTCTTTTTTGGGGGCTTCTTTAAAATAAAGGTACTGCTTTATAAACACCCACTTTCGTTTCTAGCTTAATCGCTCGTCTCGGTGGCCTACTCCACAATTTCGTATTTCCCGAAGAAACTGACGAGACCGCTGAATGGGCCAAACAACGTACTGCCAATCTGATTTTTCTGTTTCAGGTATTAGTTTATCGCAAAATTTTTTTATTTGATTTTTTTCTAGGTCATACGTGCTCTCGTGTCTCCGGATAACTTACAAGAGAACATCCACGCCGCTCAAAAAATCATGCACCAAACCCGTAGGCTGTCTCTCGGAGAATAACTTGCCTCTTTTCAGAAATTCTCAGCGAATTATGTCGGGTGCTGCTTTCCGAGATTGGCGTCTCTGTGGAGGTTCGTTTTTTATAGCGTTGTAACGTTTTTATGATGTTAGATCCTTACCGAGACTGTCATCGCAGTTGCCGAAGTGATCCGCGGCAATTACGTCAATCAGGAATATTTTGCGAGCAACAGCCTTCTCACGACAGACGGCAGCCCTCGGTGAGCCAATCTTGATAAAACAAAAAATCTGGCAATTCTCCTATTCTAAAAATTCATATACTTCTCAAGAATAATTTTAGACCCGCCCTGCTTGTGCTGCTCCTCTCAATGACTGCCGAACGCCAACCGTTCAAACTCCGCTGTGCCGTCTTCTACGCCTTCCTCTCTTACCTCCACGACAACGAGTTTGGCAAGACAAAGGTACATTCCTCTCCCTCGCTCAATTTTCGATTTTCTAGATTATCGAAACCTTGCTCCCGCAAGCCCATGCTCCACCAGATTCACTATCGACCGGAGGGCTTGTCATCCAGGTCGGCCTGATTTTGCTGCTGCTAAAACGCTTTTTTAGGCGCTTACCTCTTCGGAAGCTGTCCAATCGTGGTTTGGTTCGGTGTGCCTGTTGCATTGTCTTCTCGACGTGAGCCCAATTTAACTATCTAATTTAGCACCGTTTAGGTGGACCACCTCGGCGAACAGCTGCTACGTGTACAGTTCTCGATGACCGTCGACGAACAACCGCAATTGCTGCTCTCGCATTTGATTCGCATGCTGGTGAGGATAAATTCATCTTTTTTGCAAGTGGTTTGTAGATTTCCCTCGGTGTGCGCCGTCCTCAGCAACGTGCCGGATTGCTTCAGCTTCTGGCTGTGTGGAGCTTGCGTACGCCTTCGGTCGTCGGGAAAATCTTTGCCGACGGCGATTTCATGAACTACCTCACCACGCATATTGGCAAGTTTTTGACATCCCTGTAGATCTATTATTTTTTCTATGTTTTTTATAGGGGTTTATTTTTATTACCCATAATTTAGTGGAAGAATGCGGGGAAGGCAGCGACAACGAGCAGGCGGTGGCTCGTGGTTTGGCGGCCACCCTTCTACTGATTTTGCTTCAAAATGCGAGCGACGAGAAAACAAAGTGAGGTTTTAGCTGTTTTCTGATACTTTTTTATCGCAAATCTTCGTAAAGAATGCGCTATTACAGGGGCCTACTTTGATTTTTCCTAAAATTCATTCTTATAAAAAAATTTCGGGGTTGGGAGTTTTTTCGCTTATTTATCCCCTTTTCTGTCTTTTTTTACGAAGAGGATTTTCAGAATTTAATTTAGATCGTCGATCGACGCTCTGGTGAAACGTCGCGTTGGTGCTACTGTAATAGCTGATGCCGTTGAAGGAGTGGCCTCCACAGAGCCCTACGTACGGTTTCTACTTTGTTATAATATGTTCGCTTTTTTTCCAGGTCCGTGCGGCTCAAAAGGCTCAGCCGCTGGCCAAACAGCCCGGAGACCTCTTCCTCGACCACCACTTTATCAAGATCTTCAAAAACAGCGAGCGTAGGGCGTCGTTTTGTCTTCATAAAGCCTTGTTTAGATAACTTGGTCCGATTGGTGCGCTCGAAAGAGGCCGCCGGTGGTCCCACCAATGACGTGAAAATTATCGAGTCGTACAAGGTTTGTTTAGCGCAATTTTTTTTTTGTATCTGGGCCTAGGATTTGATAAAACGACAAGACGAAGAGATATCGGTGCTGAAGACCGACTACAAGCGGTCGAAAGAGGAGCTGGAAGGGTTGAAAGGGCAGCTGGTACCGAATTTTTTGGAAAAATGATAAGAAAGATGTTTTTAGTCTTCCGTTGGTCAGCTGCAGCGCCAACTCGCCGAGGCGAACGCCAAATTGGAGCAGAAACAAAGTTCGGCCGTCAATACGGAGCAGCTGCAGCAGCAAGTTGCTCACTTGACCGGGTAGCGCCAAAAGTCATTTTCTACCCTTTTCTTTCAGCATCAACCAACAATGGCAGGCCGAGGTGGAGAAGTACAAGGGGTGGGCCCAGCAGTGGCAGACGTTCCAGATTGGCCAGGTACAACGGAGTCGGGGTCCATAACCTGATACTGTTCAGCTCCCAAATGGCGGCGCTGACCACGCTGTTCATCAACTGCAGGCCCAGGTCACCGAGCTGGAACAGCAGCTCGGCTATGGGTATCAAGCGTATGAGGCGCAGGCGCAACAGGTGCGTTTTTCTTTGAAAAGATCTCTATTATTTGTTTTTTGCGAACTTTTAGTTTTTACATAGTTCGGCATATTATTTTTTCAAAACTTCTAATTCTTGTTTTTTTTTGCATTAGAAAAGCTTCTTCATTTTTTTGGTTTCCTAAATTCTTAGTCATTGTTTCAGTTCAGCTATTTATCGAAAAGTTTGCCATTCCCAACTGACGTTTAGATCCAACAGCACATCGCGGCTGCTCAGTCCTGGCAACAGCGCTCTGAAGCCTTTGAGGCCGAGGTGCAGCGATTAAAGGCGGAAATTGAACAGGTACAAAGCCATTTATTTTTCTGTGTAAACCCTCGAATTTCAGCAAAAATCCAACGGCCCTACTACCTATAATGCGACGGTCAACGGACATGCGGCTCATGATGGAAAGGTGAGTTTCTATTTTTCTCGAATTTGTTAATTATTAAATGTTATTAAAATGAATCGATTTCATAGCATTCCATAAAATGGCATTATCGTTTTCATTTGTTTCCAGACCGAGGAAGAGTTGAAGCGCGTCAAGGAAGAGCAAGAAGACCTTCTCGTGCTGCTCGCCGATCAGCACAACAAGCTCTCCTCTTACAAGTAATTTCCCGCTTTTACTCCCAATATTTTTTCAGGAAGCGCCTCCGCGCCCTCGCCCAGCCCGTCTCCGAGGACGAGGACGACGACTAGATTAAATTAATCCCAATCATTAATTTATTTGCGTAGATTCTATTTATGGTTAACCCGATCGATTTACGAAAATGTATTTCTCTGGCGACTCGCGTTGTGCACCGGCTTCGTTTGGCCATTTTCTGGGTCATTTACCGTTTTTGGCGGGCCATCTCTCCTCTCACGTCCATAGGCAATCCCGAACTTACCCAGCTCTCTGTTTCGCCCACCTACTGAGGTGTCTGTGTGTCTTTTTCTTTGTGTTAAGATGTTTGTGGACCTCTGTGATATTAAGCCATTCTAGTGTCCCCTCCCTGCTGTCCTTCTCTTTCCGTTTTTTGGTGTGAAGAAATGTGGGTGATATACATATTTTTTTCTTTGGCTGGAAAATCACGCGAATTGTTGAGAAGAGCTACATTTTTTCGCAAATACAGCTATAACAGACGTGAAATTTTAGCATTTAGGGTTGGAGCTTACAAGCTATTAGCCGCCAAACGACGGAAAAGAGAAACAAAACAAATGAGTGGAATGTGCGAGGTGTCGATCCGTCGGTCGAGCAGCTTAACAAATATGGAGTGGCTGAGGTGGGTTGGCAACGGAACTGGCTGCTTCATTCAAGCGCTCGATACTCACGACAAACGTTCTAGCCAAATTTTCGACAAACGTTCCCAGATCGTTCGAGTAATTGCCGTCATTAACGTTCATTCTAATAACTAAAATCGATCGCTTTTGCCAACTCTAAAGTGATCCAGAAATAATTAGAAAATCCTCCTCCAGACCACCGTGGGGAAGGAATGAGGCGGATATTCGTCTTCATGGGCGTCATTGCCGCCATCGTCGTCTTTGTCTCGTTCCGGAGCAGTGAACGCCATAGCCAGGCACTTTCTGGCTATCTCCCACAACTCGGCGACCCCGTCGGGGGGGCTATTTGGCTTGCTAAAAGGTACCACCTTCGCATAATAGCCCACCATTTCCAGACCACCGTTTCGAGAACCTCGCCCATATCGACGCCTTCGAGCCGTACAACCCGGATCGGGTAAAGCTACCCCTGGGCGGTCTGCGCGGCGATGAGATGTTCGTCTACTATGCCTATGTGGAAATTCGGTAAGATTCTTGATAGTAAATTAAAGCAGCAAATCTGGTTCTGGTTCGTTAGCGGGGGGAGGGGTTGCTGCCCCAGTTTGATTTTTTGCCTATTTTCTGACTGTTGCAATACGATCCGTTTCCTAAAAATGTCCCCCCCCCATGTTAACACACCAGAACCGAAAATCCAGAGACCCTGCCGGCCCGAAGATACGCATCCTGGCCAACGTGGTGTGCAGCGAGCTCGTGCTCCAGGACATTCAAATCGACGTGGGCGCCGGCTTTCTGCTGCCATTGGAGCGGGCAAAGACCCTTGGAAGTAAGGGCTTCTTTTTTTAAATTGATAACTGCTTTTCAGCGTATGGTTGTCGAGGAGGAGCCGGGGGTCGCTGTAAGCTTCAAGAGATGGAGTTCACCTCCATCGTCTATCCAGGGCCATTGCCAGATGAGGTAATGTTTGAAGTTTTTCTAGCTTTATCAGAGCTACTCGCAAGAGATTCGTGGCAAGCAAAGCTTCTATTTGAGAAAATTCGGTTTGAATAAAACGTAACTTTTCTAAAAACTTGTAAAACCTAGATAACAATCCATCGGAAAGAGTTCTCGGCCGACGTCAAGCTCCACCGGATGCCGTCGAACTATAAGCGAGGTCTCAACTCGTGCATTATCGCACCGTTGTTTTGGTGCGTACTTGTTTTCTTCAGCTGTCTATTGCCGCAACGCAATGTCCCGCTTTTCTTGACCACGTGAATCAAGCGCGGCTAGCAGCCATTTTTTAAATTATCGATTTTATCGTTAATTTTTAAGGTATAACGATTGGATCCGAATGTTTGTCAACATCGAATGGTGGCGGAAAGCGGGCGTCGGCAAAATTCTCCTCCACGTTCATACAATGTCCAGGACCACCAAGAGACTTTTGGAGTATTACGTAGCCCAGGTTACCATCTTTTTAGAAACTCAGAAATCTCGAAATTTAGGGCGTCGTCGACGTGCGCCCCTTTCCGTGGATGCCCTACACCGACGAGTACAACCCGAACGATCACACCTTCTACGGCGCCGAGCACATCACGTGCTTCTTCTGCGCCGTTTGGTCGGACACCACGGTGACGACGATGAACGACGTTGATGAGTTGTTTTGGGCTAGGTATTGGCTAGACAAAGGCATCAATAATTATTAAAATCTTCGCAGCTTTTTTGGGTTTTTTGTCGCCAAAAAAAATGTAATTTTTTTCACTATTCTTATCCAAATTTTATGCCTTTTTGTAAATTTTTTTAGAAAAGGCGATACCCTGTTGAACGTGACGGACCGCCTGTCCGACCCGATCACTGAGGATGTAGGTATGCGCTTTGATATCGGCCTTAAAGCATAAGTTAAAACGTTTAACTTTCAAGGTGTCGCTTTAGGCGGTCTAGCCATGCGCCACCATGCTCTCGTCTTCACCAGCCCGATGGCGCCCAGCCCGTGGGATTTCGAGAAGTTCAAGCAGCTCAACTTCTTGCGCGACCCGATTGCCTACTGGCAGGGCAGAATGGGAAAGGTTTATTTTAGCGCGATCGTATAAGAACGACAAAAAAAAATGAAGAAGTCGATTTGATCAAATTTTGGACAGCCATCCTTTTCAGCACCTCTACCGCACCGAGTACGCAAAGCTACCCTGGATTCACGCGATGCGCGAGTGGTACGATCATAAACGGACCGTTGACGTGGGTTTTAGAGATTTTCGAGTCTAAAAATCTTCTGGCCATTAGTTATAATTATTTTTAGATGCCAGAAGAACAAGCCGTTTACCTGCACATGCGCGCCAACTATAACGAGAATCGAAGCACGGAATTTCCGGATTTGAAGCTTTTTACGGTAGTTTTAAAAGAAAGCATGAGCTGTTTGTAAACCACAATTTCGCAATCCAAAACCACGAAAAACGCGTTAACTTTAAGGACGCAGAAATCAAAGGACTACGGGAGACGCTGGATGCCATCTTTGCCGACGGGCCGCCAGGGTATGAAGCGCCGAACACGAGGAATTACACGGAATACTGCAAAAAGATGTAAGAGCTTGTAGGTCACAAAGCTGGAGGAAAAGCTCATTTTCTAGAAGCTAACCCCGTTCAGGTCATCGCGCGGCTTCGAGGGCTGGGACTGCGTGAAGCCGGTGGGGACGCTGTGCTACTCGGAGCTGCGCGGCAAAGACGAGTGGCTGCACGCGATACCGACGCCCGACAGCTTCTGGACGCCTATTTAGAATTTGAAGCTTTTAAAATAATCTTATATTTTCTTTTTCATAATGCGGGTTTGTTTTTATGATAAAAACTAAACAATGGATGCTACAAAGATTTCTACGTGAAAAAATGCTATTAGGATGAAATTTTATACTTTTAATACAATTTTATACTTCCCTGAGAAAAAAACTGAATCTGAAAAGTTACAACGTTAAAGAAAACGCGACAAGAATGAAAATTTGCAACTTTTTATTAACTTTTTATTTCTGTTCCATGATGCCGGTGCTTCTTTTAATCGCAAAAACTAAAGAAACTTTTACTTACTTTTTGCTTAAAAACCAAAATTTAAAAGAATAACGGTTTACATAAATATTCGAATACTCGGCCGGTTGCATGACTTCCGGTCACCAAACTGCCCGCAGGCAAAAAATCCGCTCTATCTACCACCTTGACACCCTCGCAACCCGGTATGGGCGACTGGTCCAAGACCGGAAGCGCCTTCGTCGACGAAGTCAAGAAGACTGGGCTGCGCGGCCTGCGCGACAAGTTCAAGGCCGTACGACCTTTTTTGCTTGAAAATCAACTTTTTCAAGGAGGTGCGCCACTACAAACCCGACGGCAGCTGCAAAGTATGGGAGAAGAACCCGACACGGAACCGTTTCAAGGATATCCGATGCCTCGACAGCTCGCGCGTCAAGCTCCAGAATACTGGTAGAACTTGAAATGACAATTCTATCCTAATATTTAGAAAACGATTACATCCACGCGTCGTGGGTGCAGACCGGCGACAAGAAATTCATCCTCACCCAGGGCCCGCTCCAGAACACCGCCGAACACTTTTGGGAGATGGTCGTCGAGAATAAATGCGCGGTATGTTGAATTTCTACTTTCCAAATGTTTCTGTAGACGATCGTCATGCTGTGCGACTTCAAGGAGTGCGGAAAGCCAAAGTGCTTCGAGTATTTCGGCGAGGCGGTCGGCGAGGTCAAATTTGGGGGTGTTAAGGTTGGTACAAAATTTTCGGTTACAGCCCCCGATTTTTCTAGGTAAAAACCACAACTGTCGACAAGGCGCTGAAGCGCGTGCAGAAATCGTGTTTCGAAGTGGAGAAGGGAGGGCAGACGCAAAAGGCAGCAACTAGGCTCCCTCATTCGACACTTCAAAATTTAGGTGACGCACTTCCGCTTCGACGCGTGGCAAGACCACTGCGCACCGGACGACACGAAGACGACACTTCGTCTCCTCTACGAGATGCTGCAGCACTCCGATGAAGCTGGCGGCCCCGTCGTCATTCACTGCTCGGCCGGTAGGTGCTCGGCATCTACCCAATACTCCCGGTTTTTTAGGCGTTGGTCGCACCGGCGCGTTTGTGGGCGCGGTGATGGCGCTGGAGGCGCTGCGCCTTGGCACCACCCCCATGGACCTGTCGGCGATCGTGAAGAAGCTGCGGGATCAGCGCCTGATGGCCGTGCAGAGCGACCTGGTACGTTCACTCCTTTCTAGGATCATAACAAACCTCCGCATTTTAGCAATTCCTCTTCCTCGGCCGTGCCGCCCTGGAGGCCCTGGCCGAGAAGAAGGTGTGCAGCTCGTCCGACGATTGGTACAAGACGTTCATCTCCGACTACAACGGCTACACGGCGCACAAGAAGAAGAAGATCGAGGAGATCCTGCTTAAGAGGGTGCGCGCTTCACGATTTCACGCTTTCCAGTCTTTAAATTAGTAAGTAAGTAAATTATTTTCATTTTAGTCCACTGTCCACGACAACTCGTTCGAAGAAAGCTGGATCACCGATTAGACGAACAACCTCGGCGCCCACCGAATCCTTGGAAATTCGGAAAGCATTGCCCATGCCCGTATCATCCACCTTTTAATCTTTTTTTTGTGATTTCAATCTGTTGTATTAGTTGGCCAAACTACCTAGCTTTGGGAAAGTCACTTCATCGGGTTTTTCCATTGCTTCCGTTGACAGTAATAAATGCTGTGGTGTGAAGTGTGGCATGCGAATCAATCGCGTTTTCTTCGCGACTTGCTTGGCTTGTCTTCTTGGCTTTGTTTCTTGATTTGCGTTGCTTTTTTGATTAATTTCGATACTTTTACACCGGAGCTTTCACGGGCTTTGATTGCCCTCGCAGACAAGTGTTGCTTGGAGTGCTCAGTACTCAAAGAAAAGAAATTCGACGAAAAGTTTTACCACACTAAAAACTTTCTATTTTTCGTTGTTTCTTTTAGAAAACTTGCTAAACTGGCAGTTTCAGGTAAAATGAGACGTGCCGTCAAGGAATCCGTCGTCAAGTCTGACATGCTGCTGGGCCGGATCGTGAAAATGAGCCAAATCGGCATCGACAGAATACCCTGCGCACAGGTAAATTGCCTGACGGTTTTGTAAAACCACCTTCCCCAGGTTCGCTGCCAGAGGAACGAATTCAACACGTACCTGAAAACGTATTTCGCCAGATCGTTCGACTACTGGGCCATCGACCGGAGCAACGTCGGGGGCCTCGGCGACACCGTGAGTCGTCTGATTCCCGCAAAAAATGTTCCCTAGGTCCTCATCCGTTCGATTGACGAACTTTCCCAGCGCCCAACAGCCACGGTTACGCACAAAATCGACCGGGTTGTTTCGCAATATGGTAAGCTTGCTCACTTAGACTGAAGCTTGCCGTTTTTAGGAAACGTAATCGACCCAGTGACGAAAAAGCGCGTGATCAAGGACGAGTTTGTCGATGACCTAGAATTGAAGAGAAAATTGGTTACGGAAATTGTGGAAGAGCCGTTTGAGCAGGTTACTCATAATTGTTAATTCCAACCTTTCTATAGGAGTCTTTACTATTTGATGAGCGACGATCATTGCAAAGAGAACGACTGGAAGAAGCGATGGCCGAGCCACATACAAGTGCGGATGCCTTGAAGATTAAGCCCTGAATACCCGTTTTTGGCCCTCAAATGCTCACAAATGTGATTGTTGATCGTTTACTTTTTGCCTAGCTCCTTCCAGCGTATTTTTGTTGTTCGGTTCTTGTTGTATGTACAAATTGATTGTCATAGTCGGTAGAACTAGTGTCATAAAAGCTTTTCGAAGCAGAGACAGAAGAAATATGGCGTTGAATTACGCAAATGAAACCATACACTGAATGGAAAAGAGAAGAGTGGAGTTCGAAAGTCACTTTGCATAAAAGTGATTGCATTGTATTACGTTCGGCTTCACAAAATGAAGAAGCCATCAGTTATCCGTATTCGCGATGGGCAGTGCTGAAGGGCCTGCGCCAAGCTGCGTCCGGCGTCCCCGGAAAAAGCGTGCCCCTGATGGTAATTTTCTAGTTATGCCTGCCTGATGAGTTTTAGTCGACGAGGTGACGTTCGAACGTGGTGTTGTGGTCGGTCTCCCCACGTTGGCGATCAGCCCGGAGCCGGATTTGGAATCGGACAGCGACAGCAGTGTGTACAGCGAAGTAAGCTTTTCGTGGCTTTTCCGACAAAAAAACCCTCAGTGTTCCGATGAACTAGAAGCCGTGCTAGCAGACGGGCCTCCGATCGGCGACAACTTCCTGATCGCCCAGATCCTCCTCAAGTGAGTCATAGTTTGGATCTAGATATTTATTGCTTTAGACATGGCCTGAACTTTGATGGGCTCCCGCTGCGAACCGACCAGATCTTCGGCAATCTGCTGAGGGTTCGTTTAGTTGAGTCACTTTTGACGCAGCTTTAGGCCTCCTCATACAGCCCATTCCTCATCGGCGAGAAGAAGCAGTATGGCGAGCTGGAGCACACCGTGCTGTGGGATTATTTTGGCGAGTCATTTGGAAATTGCGAACAGTTTGAAATTCCAGGCGGAACGTCTTGTCTCGATCTCAACGTGTCGGCGCTGGATACGGTGATGGTGGTGGCTGAGGAATTCCAGTGGGTTTTACGTAAAAAGTTTGATTTCAATATCTTAGAGTCTGTGCCCTCGGCGCGTTGCCGCCAGACGAAACTCTACACTATCTGCGCTTGCCCGAGAAATGGGCGTTGGGACGGTAGATGAACAATACAATATAATAAGACCAATATTAGCGCAAGATATGTGAGGAAAAGGATAGATTCCTCAAACGAGCGTTGGAAGTTCTTATTTTTTGCATAACTATCCTTTTATAAAAGAAATGGTTTTTTAGTTGGATTCCTGCTGAATCCGTGCGTCGTCTCGAGCCGCAATTCGGGCTCATCCCCGAAAAGTATCTGGTTTCGACAAAGTTTTATAAAGGTAGTTCTACTTCGGTGTTTTTTACCGAATCTAGATCATCCTGGCCTCTTCATCAACCCGATGTGGTACATTGGAATCACCACCCACCAGGTGGCCTTCAACTATTTGACGTCGGATCGCGGTGCACTGAGGCCTGGTATTTACATAAGTGTTTTCGGTATATGTATATTTCGCAAATTAGGTTCCTTTTGCATCTTCTCACCTCGTGGAATAATGCCGGACCCGCGCGATTTTCGCCCATATGTAATGCTGGTGAGACAATGGCGATTTTTTTACAGTATCATCGTCTTAGGTCGTCGAAGAAAGTGATTCCACCCGGCTCAAGCTGATGTACGAGGCGACGTCGAAATACGTGCAAGGTTTGATATCGAAAAATATTAGGTTTTTCTCGTTTTAGAAGATATCTTCCTGAGCCATGGCTTGAGGGACAAGTTGTTTGAAAAGGCTCTACAGCTGCGTCAGCAGGCATCCACCACGCCCCACGAACATATGGTAAGTTTGCGATTTAGAGATATTTCTTTTTTATAGCGCCAAATCTACGAAAAGGCGAAAGATCCGACCGCCGATGACGGGATGATTCCGTATAGCATTTTTCAGTTTGAAAAACCTCTTTAGCGAGAACCCTGATTGGGATCTGTCGGACGATCACCCGCCGACCGCGCAGGAATTCCCGCTGATGGAGCCGTTCACCGTTCAGGTTCGGCATGCGCTTTTATATCGACTATAGCGCTTTTCCAGGCATACACAATCACGCGCTCGGCCATCGGCAACTATCAGCTCTTCAACAACACGTACTCGACGCTGTACGACCTCGTCTATCACTTGTCGAACCACGACAGCCCGCTGCCCTTCCGCTTGATCTACGGGGCCATCACCGAGGTAGGTCGTCGTCGACGGTCATTAAAGGGATGCCGACGGCATAGTCAATCAGTTACGCGCTGGAAAGAAAATGTCTCTGCGCCTCTCCGCGCGGCGCGCTCTCTGCCCTGTTGGCTACTTGCCAATTTGTTGATGGGGGGGGGGGGGATCGACACATGCCGTCGGCAGCCCTATAAGACACTGCGATCTAGGAAATGCCAAGCCGCCTGATGTGCGCCGTTCCGCCGCCGGGGCGCCAGCCAAAGCGCTCCCCCATGCTCTCGTTATGAAGTGTGAGCAGTGGGCGGCCAAGCATTACGATCAGGTATTGTTTGGGATTTCATTAGCATCAAAATCGTAATTTTCCGGTCACCGAGCCCCTCGAACAGTCTTCCACCGTCGTCTTTTCCACCAGCAACCCAGTATGCCTCGCAAAGTCTCGCAAAACGGCCATCCAATTGCTCGGCGAACGCGAAGCTGTACTGAAAGGTCAAAATCTCCTCCTTGAACATAGCGCATCATTTTTTTTCAGAACAAAATGCCGTCCTCGAAAAGCTGAAGGCCAAACAACCGTCCAGCGAACCCGGATCCATCTTTGATTGCAACGTCTTCATCAAGGGCAAACACAAGATGGATCGGCGACGCTTTGTATGGATCTCGACCTTTCCAACAAGTCGAGGTTTTCCAGCTGTACGACCGAAATTCATCCGACTCCGAGCTCGGCGCGGGCGCTTTTGGATCTGTATACGCGGTATATCCTATCGGGCTTCGCCAAAAAATGTGGTTTTCAGGGCAAATTTCTGCTGAACGAGGCCGACATCGACAAGCCGGACGATCAGCAGGTTTGGCTAGCAAGCGAGACCATGCGCTTCTTCTGACCTTAGAAATGGGTCGAAGCCGCCTTCAAGCCGCTTCCTGCCGTGCTTTCCAAGGAGATGGAACGCCCGCAGTGGGTCAACGAGATTGAAGTTTTGGCGGTTGGGATCTCTGGCGAACTAACCAATTCTGTCCTCCAGAATCTCAACCATCCGAACGTCGTCCGGCTGCTCGGCTATGCGATCACCGACAGCGAAGTCGAGCTGGCATTCGAAAAAATGACCGGCAATGCCGAGAAGCTGGTGGTGCGTCTGCTGCCTCATTTTTCGCTGCAAAATCGCGCTTTCAGCAGATTCTGATGGGAAAGGACGGGAATGGACGTCTGAGCTGCAACGAACAGACCGACTTTTTGCAGCAGATCGCCCGGTAGCTTTTTTGAAGCTTCGAGAAACCTTATTTTTACAGTGGCATGTCGTACCTGCACTCGTTGACCCCGGCGATCGTCCACGGCGACTTGGCGCTGCGCAACGTCCTCTACGCGCCACACCCGACCGACCCGGGGCGGTGGGTACCTTTGGTGAACTCCCCGGATCCGCCCACTTAGTTATCGCCTAAAAATCACCGACTTTGGCCTGTCGAAAATCACCTGCCACGACTACGCGACGAGGTACCAGAATCCGGATAAAATCCCGTAAGCTCCGACTTTCGTCCCGTGACATTCACCCAGGTTCAAATACTGCGCCCCCGAAGCTTGGCAGACCAGAGAGCTGAGCGTCAAGGTTAAATTGGTTTTAAAAGTTTTATAAAATTACTTGTAGTCTGACGTCTGGATGTTCGGGATCACGGCCAACGAACTTTACGGCGCATGCGTACCCTATGGCTTCTCCCTAAACGATTTGACGATATTGCCAAGACTTCAAGGTTTGTCTTTCAGGTTTAGCAACTTTTAAAAATCGACATTTAGAAGGCTACCGACATTGCAAGCCGGACGGGATGCCGTACTTCATCTACGAAATCGTGCTCAAGTGTTTCCGGAAGCGCCAAGTGGACCGCCCCACGTTCTGGTCAGCATTTTTCTCTTCAATTCATTTTATATTTTACTTTTAGTGAAATTGTCGAGATGCTCGAGCCGCACTACCTCGACTGGGAAACGACCCACGTGGAGACGCTGCTGAGACGAGAGCGTCCGAAGGCTACTCGAAAATAACGGACCGTGCCTGATTAATCGTGTCATTAAAATTGTAAATTATTACTATTAACCTCTGCTTTGTGCGTTGTTTGTGATTATCGCCTTGTATACGGATTCAAAGAGAATAAACGAATTTATGGTTAGCCCCTTTGGAGTACGATGATACGAGGCTGCTAAAAATTCACATGCACATATCGTAGCCCTGGATTTCGTATCGGAATCTCGAATTTCATAATATCGAATAACCGGTCAAGGAATCGCCTAAATAACTTACCAAAGATTTCGCCTTTATGAAATTTCGCTATGAATTTTGACGTTTTAAAAGAAAGCCGAAGTGCCAGATTGTGATTTTCCGCCGTTTCGCCACGATGCCGCTGATGCCGGTGAGATGCCGGAAAAAGAAGCTGTCTCGACCGGCGGGCGACCGATGAGCACTGTGGGAAAGCCGGGTGATTCGGTGAAAGCGACATGGTGTGGAGGGAGGTTGGTTGACCTGGATCTCCCCATTGATAGCCGATCCCCTGCTTGATCCTCTCTTGTTCCTCATCTCCTTTGTCAGCTATGTCGCTTTTTAGACTTTCCAGCCCCTCTGCCCACACAAGTTCTTGCCAGGCATAATCGGCGACGCGGCTTTTGGCTTAATCGATTTAGCGTCGGCTTCCTGGATGCTGGTTTTTCTTTGGAGTCGTGCGGAGGTTTGAGATGTGCATTTTGCGTATTTTGAAAGCGCTTTTTTTGGTCTAGTTCATAGACTCGGTGCTTTCGCACTATCCGGCGGTGATGCAAAAATTTTTTTTCAGACTCAGAAAGAAACGGTACTGTAATGTTAGCAGGGGGGATTTTAGCAGGGCGAAAACTAATTTTCATTTTTCTGCCAATACCTACCTGTTAACAATGTATACTGTATTTTATCGTTTTTAGTTGGTTTTAATTGCTAAAACCTTATAATTTTTCATACATTGTTGACAAACAAAAGTGAAAAAATTTCGTAATTTTTTTCTACGCTTGCATTTTTTATGTCTAAAAACTGTGTAAAATGTTATAAAAATGGTTGCTTTGGCGTTATAGGGCCGTACGGGATTACTTGAAACATTTGGTTTGCCCTTGAATCTCCCTCCCCCGCTAACAGTCCAGTACCAAAGCTTGACGTGACGCTTCGACCCCGAAAACGCGCTTTGTTTTTAAGGAAACACTCTCAGAATATCGTATATTGCTACTGCTATGCCTCAATCCCAGACCAAAAGCCATCGCCCCCCACTCGTCATAGTTGCCATGGGCTCGTTTCGAGACTGGTTCTCGCCGAAACCATAAACATCTCGGCACCGCCGGGGGGTTCTGATGTGATGCCATGTAGACCGGGAAGGACGGGGGAAAGGACTTTCCCTTTAGGGGCGGTAGTCGTGTGTGTGCTTGTGGCCGGGGGTGCAGTAACAATGGGCGAGGGAAGGGCGGTGGAGATGGCTGAGTATCGGCGGAGGATCGAAGCTGAAACCCGTTCCCTCTAACTCCTCTCCCGTCAGTCGGCCATCAGCTGGGGGGCAGACCGGAAAGTGGGCAAGAAACGACGGGGTCATATTGTCTCTTATTGTCTTTTGTTGTTGTTATTTTTTTTTTTTGGGGGGCTTGAGTCTAGCTTTTCATCGGGTTTGGCGGTACTTTTCGGCGCTGGCATGGCTGGTTTCTCGTTATTTTTCCAAGCTTTCTGGGCAGTGTCGGATGTGCTTTTTGCCGAATGGTATCGGTATTTTTTGGCGCTAAATGCGATGCTAGAAATCTTTTCTAGTTTTTGTACGTCCAGTTTAGGATTTTTCCAGTTTTTCCAGTTTTCCGACGATCGAGCTTTTCTCTGGATTTTAGCGGTATTTTTCGGGGGTGAAAGAGACGCTGGTTTTAAAATTTTTCTATTGTCTTGATCGGCACAGCTCGGGGCTTTTTTTCGATTTCGTTCTGGGTCGAGCTATTTTCCGAAGCTTTTTGTCGCGGGCTTGGCTTGTCCTTATTCTTCAATTTCCTTGTGACACCCGTTTTTCCAACCTTTTTCCAGGATTTATTTGAATTTTTCTTGGTGTCCTCGCACTATTTTTAGGGTATCAACCAACTCTATATTTTCAGGGTCCAACTTCTGCCCTCATCCCAAAACACCCGTGGATGCCAGACGCGTTGGCGGCGCGACGATGGAGTCTCATTTTGCTGCTCCCCCTGCTGGCCATTTGCCAGACGTACGAAAAGGATTACTCGCCGCTGCTTGACGTCAGTTTTTAGCATTTTTTGAAAAAATCCTTCACAAAACGATTCAGGGCAGTTTTTAAAATTCGATGTGAAACGGCAATTTTAGCAAAATGTCTCCCCCAACAACCCTGGCATGGTGCTGCGGTTGATGCCGACGGGACTGGCCTATCTACGCGAGATCGGCATTAAGGTATCGGAATGCTAAGTTTATTACTAATGATCGATTTGTTTTTAGGTGGTGAACGAGCAAATTCTGAAGCTGCCATTGCCAACGATCCGCGAGCGGATAGAGAACGGCGAGGTGCGGATGCTTTTCCGGTTCTTTCGCATTATCGGGGGGGGGATAAAACTTATTTTGTAGTTCTAGAAATGCCTAGCAACTGAGTAGGAAGCATTTAAAAAAATTTGAGTAGAATAAAACTACGTTTCAACTGTAAGGCAAGTTTAAAAAGTCGATATTTTGGTAAAAATTTAGCCCTTGTTGGGAAAATATCAATAAATTGTGCATTTTTTTAATAAAGTTTGTAAAGTTTTTCTGTGGGGCGGAACTAAAAACGTTCTAGAAACACGTCCGCCTTTGGATTGGAAAAATTGCATCGTAAGAAATATAATTGTCCTTCCCCCCCGATAATGCGCTAGCCGCTTGCTTTATTTTTCTAAGCTAATTTTTTAGCTATATTACTACTTTATCCTTCTTCCCAAAACGCGAAGGTTATTTGGTTTTAGGTGTCAATCTACGGGGCGCATATCTCCAAATATTGGGCGCCCCAGGAGTACTCGCTCGACCTGGTGGAGCCGAACATGTTCACGTGGAGCATGTCAAAGATGCATATCAGGTGAGTGATTTCGGGCTCTATTTCCACATGGGGTTTCGCGGTGGGTTTCCCTGTCAAAAAGTGCGCACGACAGAAGGCAGTGCTTAGAGCCGCCGGGGATTTCGAGGCTCGTCTCAACAGCCCGCTCCTCATCCCCTCCGTCCCGATCACCGGCCATTTTGAGGCGCTGCTCGGCCACGTCGCCCTCACCGTGTCGGTGCGATTAACCAGGTAGGGTGGGATTTTGGGCAACTGTAGCTATGGGCGCCAATTTTGTGCTGGAATAGTTTATTTTAACCGGGTAATCAAGCAAAAATGAAATGAAGATTGTTCAAAGGTTTTCGAAGATAACGTCTCCGAAAATGATTAAATTATAGATTCTATTCAATAAATGAAAAAAATGCGCAGTTTTGAAAAATTCATATAGTTTCGAAGTTCGAACAGAAATCATTTTTTTTTGGAAAACAGAAGATCGTAAAACTGCGCCCTGCTAGCAAATCGAAATGGTAATCTTCGAAAAAAGGATTAATCGAAAATATTTGCATATTTTAGAACAGCACTCGGCGTACCCCAAGTCTCTTCCGCCCAATGCCGAGCCCTGATCGGCTACGTCGACTTGAACGTGCGCGACACGGGCATCCTGACCGACTTCTTCATCAATGCCTTCAAGGGTGAGCTTTCAAAGAACAAATGCCAAAAGAATCTTCTAGCCTTCCTGATCAGCAACTTCAAGCCGATGGTCGAGGACCGGATGTGCCGGATGATTCAGAAGATTATCGACCACGACATGAACGCGTTGCTGACCACAATGCCGACAAAGGTGAGCTGCCCGATGCATTTATCAGTGAAAACTTTTGTGCAGATCTCGATCCACGAAGAAAACGTGGACGTCGTCAGCGAGACGTTCAAGTTGAAGCCGCCGAAGAGCAAGCTGGGCAAGCTGGGTAGGGTTTTTGGAAATGTTTCGAGGCTTTTGTAGGTCTTCTCAACGGGGATTGCTTAGAGCGTCTTCGAGGTGTTCAAGAACTGGTCCCCTTTTCAGGCTTTAAAAACGCGACGCTGCTGAACTTTGTACAAAATCTGCGCGATCGTGACCTCGTGCTAGACTATCGGCTGACCGCCGAACCGTTTGTCAATGACGGCGCAATCGCCATGATGGCCAAAGGCGAGATTTCGTGGTAAGTCCGTTCTTCGGCTTCTCGAGCATCGCTTTAGGCGAGGCCTGGGCGGGACCCCGTTTTTCGCGCCGTCGATCCGGGTGCCTGCCTCGCGCTCGGTGCACATGGTTGAATTCGTGGCCACCGACTACATTGCCAACTCGCTGCTTTACCACGCGTATCGCCAAAAATTTATGGATATCGTTGTTGGTGGGTGGACGTCCGTTTTTTGGAGACCCCGGATACTTCAGAAGGTTTATTGGTGTAGAACTAAATTTTTCTGATGTTTCCGCAGCCGTCGAATACGGAATTATCAACTATATTAATAGCATATTATACCCTTTAAGATATAAAATGTATAAATAATTTATTACTTTTTATTTTTATGTACAAATTATTTTGATGATTTTGCAATTTTTGATAATAACTTTTTAAAGGATTCATGCTGTTTTTAGGCCCCGAATCCTCGCCTTCCCTGAAAGAGCTGTTGCACACCACCTGCGAAGCCGGCGTGTGCATCGGCGAGTTTCTCGGCGGTCTCGGCGAGCAGTTCCCGCACCGTGAAGTCGAAATCTTGTTCACGGCACGGAAGGTTGGTTTTTGGATAGCGTGCTAAAGCTCTTCCTGCCCCATTCAGTCGCCGCTGATCGTATTCGTCGAAAGCCGGGCCCGCTTCCGCCTCCACGGCAACATCAACATGTTCGTCAGGGCCGGGAAGAACGCCACACAGCCCAAGCAATCGGTGGGTTTGAGGTCTAAAATGGCTGCAAAAAACCCTAGAAAACGTGTAAAGGGTATTCTTGAGTTCAGGTGCTCCGCGCGGACACGACGATGACCTCAAATGTGTTGCTGTGGATCGCCCACGGCAAGGTGGTCGGCAATGCGACAATCGAGAACCTCGACTTCAAATTGCTGGAATCAAAGGTTTGGGCTAAAAAATTTCTCTCTCTCGCGCGCTCTTTCTCTCTCTCTCCCTCTCTCTCTCTCGCTTTCTCTCTCTATCTCTGTCCAAAAATGTTTTTGTTTGCTACGCTTGCAATCAATCGTGTCTAAAAACCGTCCAGAATTTCGGAACTCTACATCCAGAAAAATCTTTCAGATCAACGACGTCGACCAGGGCGTATTCGCCGACCTCGGGCTGTTTGGGGCCGAATTCCTCGAGCAGCTGCTCACCGAGATCCTCGCCATCGGCATCAAGTTGCCCACGATGGATGGTATTCTCATCAAAAGCCCGCGGTACGTACACCAAAAGAGAATTAAAATCCTGTCGAAACTTTTAGACTTTCCTTCCACGAGCGATACATGAAAGTGGAGACGTACTTTAAGCTGGATGAAGCATACGCTGGAGAGGTACGCGAAAGAGATGAAAAATCCAAAAACGATAATTTTCTTACGAGTGGTGCATTTCTAGGTGGTCAACGGCGCCGTGCGACAAACGCTTCAGAACGTCGGATAACAAAACCCTCCCCGTGTATTGTAATTAGTAACGTACCGTAATCCTGATAGTTATGCCATTTTGTAATTTCAAAAAGACAGAGAAAATCTAAGCCATTTTAACTATCGAGATTACGGTGCCACTGCAGAAAATCAGGTGTGCTTCCCATTTTTGCAAATGCGTTTCCTCTTCCTTGTGCGTATCGTTGAGGCTCTCCAAATGAACTACGGGTGATAAATATTATTTTTTTTTGCGTTTCGATGGCGGCAGAATCGCTAGAAAATGACCACCCCAAAATGAAGTTTGTTTACGAAAATCGCGACGAGACATCGTCAGCCGGATTTTTGTTTATAGCGGAAGATCTGCAACATACAAGAGGGAGAGGTACGGGGGAGAAGCGCGTTGTTCTCTGCTAATTGATGCCGCGAGCAGTTCGGGTAAAACCTTGCGAAAGGATTAAAATTAAAGATAAAAATGTATAAAGCAATTTTAGACATGATGACGAGTTTCTACTTACTATTCAAAAAGAGTAATACGCATCGACATCATTAGAAAGAAAATTTAAAAAATACAACGCTCACAAGAGGGGCAGTTTCCGTACGAATGCGCCGCTTTCATAACGTTCGCGCCGATCCAGATAAACCGTATTCGCCGAGGCCGATGCCGAAGTCTAAGCAAATCCTAAGCCTCTTTGCCAAGTCAACCCTCACCAAACCCCTGATTTCCCTCAAAATCGCGTCATTTCCGCCACTAATTTGCCCTATGCCAAACACAGCCGCCCTGATCTAGATCAACGGCGCGAGAGACGGTGATTCACCAACAACTAGCTAGCCCTTGTCGAGGGCTCATTGCCCCCAAAAGAGAAGCCCCAAACGGGCGGAGGTCGCAAGGCGGGTGATCCTCCGATGGAATCACTCTCGGCCACACATCGGCCCCACCTCGCCGCCTATAAATTGTCGGACCGGGGCTCGACTTCTCAGCCAAGGACAAGCCCAGTCGGCCTACTTCTTTTTTTCAGCACAACCACCCGCAAATATCTCTCCCTTATACCCTCGGCCTCCACCCTGAGAAATCAGCCCGGTCTCCCCCGCAAACATCCAACCACTCATTTGACCGCGCTCCCAATTATCTGCCGTTTTTTCCGAGGGGAAATTAAAGGATCATCAGTTTTGAGCCGCCAAAAATAGCCACCTGTCTATCATCCGGTTTTCACCGAAAACTACCGTGATTTAAAAACATCTACCCAGAATCTTTCTTTTTGTCATCATTCTGTCTTTAGAATTCACTACTCTAATAAAATCGCCTAAATCAGCCACGCCATTTCAGATGAAATATCTTGTCCTTTGTCTTGTCTTGTTGGCCGTCGTCTATTGCCGGCCGCAGTCGAGCGAAGAGGGAGATCATGCTCCTCGCCACCACAGGCACTGGGGCCGTCATGGACACAAGCGTCACGAGCCCGAATTCCTGAAGGTAAGAACGCTAAAATTAACCACATAGATAAACGGAAACTATACGAATGAAATTCGAGAGAATTATTTCTAGAACGTCACCAAGGAGGCCAAGGACGAGTGGCACAAGATCTTTGCCGACGAGACGCTCGCCAGAAAGGATTTCCGGCAGAAGGTCGAGGAGTGGGCCAAGGGACAGGATGAGGAGGTTCAGACCGAGGTGAAGCGCTTCGAGGAAGAGCACAAGAAATTCGTCGAAGACGCCAAGAAAAATCTGACAATCACCTTGGAGAAGTTGCCTGAGGTACCTATTGAAGTCAAGTATAGCCTAACAACTACTTTTCAGCTGATGGGAAAATTGACCAAGATCAGGGACGACGATACACTCGGCAGGAAGCAGAGGAGGGAGCAGGTTAGTCCTCAACAAAGACGATAAACCCCGATTTCTACAGACGAAGGCCGCCATGAGCGACTATGATGAACAAACAGCGGCCGCAGCAAAGTTCTTGCTATTCCACCACCACAAGAACCACCGGTAAGCCAAATATAAGCGTTAGCTTACTGATCAGCTTCGATCAGACGACCAAAATAACCCTGAATAATTTTCAGATGGGGACACCACGGCAAGGGACATCACAACAAGCACAACAAGGCCTCTCATGAGGCAACCACGGCTGCCGCGGCTGCTGAGGAAAGTGCCGAGAACGACGACTAAATTATTACTCCGCACGGGATGACAAAACGGCTTTATTCCGCAGATCAATAATAATGCTTTGATTTAACATGCCGGTAAAATGCGGCTTACGAGAACAATAGGGGCATGGGGGCAGAGAGCAGGGTGTACAGATGACCGTATCCCGTTTCTTCGAAAAGATCGACCAAACCAAGCAAATGTCTGACCAGAAGGGAATCACAATCAATGTGATGTGAGTAAACCGTGTGCGATATGTACGAGCTGTGGTTGTGGAAGGGGTAGGGGGAGTGAAAGCTTGTGGATACGGCGAGAACAATTGAGATCCATGCAGAATGGATGGGGGAATGCGTGCGTGAGGAGTTGAAGGACTATTCTAGACATCTATTTCTCCAGATCAAAGACAACCAAAGACCCGGAGAGGTAAATTTTGGGGAAGACGAAGAGAAGATTGGCATCTACGGGCGCTTGCGGGTGGATGGGCGACGGCGACCACGGGCAGGCACAGCGGTCTGTCGAGGGCGACTGGTCGAAGGCAGTGGGGTGCCCTCGCGTTGCGTCACCACGTCGTCGTCGGCCACCTCGACGTATTCAACCTCGCTATAAAAAGGTTTTGTATGATTGATAAGGAGGGTCTTACCGCGGCTCATTTTTGCGGCGGCGACGAGCAGGCGGTTCTTCCGACGTCTCATTGCCATGCACCTGCAGACGCTGGCGCTAAAAACAGATCTATGACAGTATGAATGTTACCGCTTCTTCAGCAAGCATCTCGTCGGTCTCTTCCTGGTTCATCTGAATGCCGAAGAAGATTCGGGCAGGCGGAGGGGCATCAGGAGGCATCTAAATTGAGCAGATGGATGAGTGTCCACCCCTACAAGTCTCAAACAAAGAATACTGCTAATTGGTACCTCAGCCATACGATATTGGTTCCTTAGATCCACAGCCAGAGCCGGCGGTAGCTCGGCTACAGCAGGGACAGGATTCGGAGCCGGAGCCTCAAACGGGGCCTGTTGTATGATGTTGTCAAAGCTGTCTTGGTAGAGTTGTTTCAGCCGCTCCAGATGCGTGTCCATGTCGCGGCGAAAGATATCCAGATCGCGGCGCGTCTAAAAATGTTCTAGATAAACAAAAAGATAAAATCAGTACCTTTTCCATGAGCTCGCGAACACGGGTGCTGAGGGTGACGTAAGACTCGGCCTGTTCGTAGGTGGCATTACTAGGAAAAAGCTCTGACAAGGCACGATTTTCTTACCGATTCATGCTGCTCAGTCCGACTTTCAATTGGTTGAACGTGCCAATGTCGCGGTCAATGTTCTGAAAGTAAATCATGAATATGGAACCAAAAAGGCAGTCTTAAAAAACAATACGTTGAGCGGCAAAAGCCCCAAAAAACGCACCGTCCTGAAAACCTCGCTGCAACCCTCCAGACCGGTGAGATGTAGAAACATTCCTTCGCGTGCCATCATGGCGAGTTGAGTCTCGCGCTCGACGCGTTGCTGCAGTGTTCTAGAAAAGCATTATATTGAATGATAAAAATTCGTTACTTGACATCATCGTCCGTGAGCACTTTCCGTTCAGTGATCGGCTCGTGCTGACGATGATCACGTGCGATGCAGAGGGCGCAGATGTTCCGCTAAAACACAAATCATCGCATACAGAAAGCCATTATGGGCGAGCCGAAAATTTCAAAAACCAACAAAATGGGGACACTGGCCGCACATGAAGTAAACGTCGTTCAGGAGCGCGCTCTTGCACTGCGAGCACGAGAAGCCGGTGGCGGGAGCCGGGGGCTGCTGAGCACCCTGGGCACGCTCCAGACGGCGAATGCTGTCGATCAATTCTAGAGGGAGCTGTCAATCGAACACCAGTAACGTACGCATCAGACGATAATTGACCGGAAGGCCGGTGACCGGTACGGTAGTGAGCTGGCGGCACTCAGGGCAAGCGATGCGGTCAACGGGACGCTGATCGTACGGAGGCACCGCGTTGTCCCAATCCTGCAAAAAAACCAACGTCAAAAACATCCGTTACCTACGTCACAGGAAGAAAACCAACGATGACTCTAGTCTGGGGGAGCCAAACTAGAAACAGTGCTTCAGAAAACTCACCGCCTCATCAATTGGTGGGCGATCCATGACACCCAATGGGATCGGAGCAGCGCCGGCGCGTCCCAAGGGGAATCGTCCGCCCAGGCCAATCATTGCCAAGTCGGCCGCATCCAGGACGCCGTCATTTCTGTTGTTGTCGCGACGGTTGCCCAGCAAGTCCATGTTCCGATACTAAAGCCCTCGATGAACAGAAACAACAAAACGCTTACCATATCACGCTGCCACTGAATCATGCGGTGCCCGAAAAGGCCCTCCCGTTCACGCTGGGCATCACGCTCGTGGGTCAACTAAAACTATCAAACCGCGATAAATAGCGCTACCAGATTGTCGGCGCATCCGGCGCACAGGGTATGGCCGCAGCTCAGCTGCATCGGGCGATCGAACGTGATGCGGCAAACCGGGCATTCGAGCGAATTCTCAAATTCGAGGTCCACAAGGGGCGGCATGGCCTGGAAAATACACAATTAGCTTTCAGATACGAAAGAGACGCCTGGAGAGATTGGAAGGGAAGCAGTAAACCGTGAAAATTCACTACCGCCAAAATCTATGCAATTAATTGCGGAAGAGAATGACTATTTCAAAGCATGGGGAACTGATAACGGCTTGTAGAAATAACCAGACCAAAAAATAGATTGAAAATTTATAATGCTACGTGCGCGCCTATTTACGTCTGTGTACATAAATGTAAAAACTATTTATAAACTTACAAATATATAACTTTGCAAGAGATAAGATAAAAATAAACGCTTTTTAAGCTAGAACTCCCAGAGAATGAAACTGCTACCTTGCGCCTACGCCAAGAAAGGGCGCGGCGCTGGGATTAAAAGGATCGATGCGACGACAAACTCTTGGGGGCAACATGCTGGAGGAGGAGAAGCCCGGGATGAGACAGTCAGATGGCCAGTATCGACTCTCTCCGTACAGCCGGCTGTAATCGGCAGCCGGGCGCCGAGTCCACCGCACACACTCGCCCAGAGTAGCGCCGCGTACTAGAAAAGCTAAACAAAAAATAAACATAAAAACAGCCGCCATTGAGCCGCGGAAAGCGCAAGATATTCTCTCGGTTTTCTTGTTATTGAAACTAGCCTGGAAAAAGTCAATAAAAAATGACTTTCGAAAGTGCAAGCTTCGAACTGGGTGCTGTTATAAAAATTCTGTGTTTTCTCTTATAGAATCCGATTTTTTAAAATTTAGGCATTTTAATATCTTCTTTTATTTCAGACTCGATCAGGCCCAATTACTTCTCGTTAATCGCACAAGCCCCGGCGAATCAAGTGGCAAGCATTGGATGCACGTCGTGAAGACAATCTTAGGACTCGCTGGAAAGGTGGATATTTTTAACAGCTGAAAGTAGTCGTGTCTTTCAGGCTGTGCTTGGCGGCTGCGTAGCATTCACCTTCTGCGACAAGATAGGACATCCGGCATACGTGCGCGGCAACTCGATGTTGCCGACGTTACGAGGTGACGAGGACATTGTGTGGCTGAGCGCAATGTGGGAAGGGACGAAGCCGGAGAAGGGCGATATTGTTACATTTCGGTAATGGTTGCTGTTACATTTTATTAAATAGTTGTTATCTTAGATCTCCTAGAAATCGAGCGCAGATTCACATAAAACGATGCGCAGCGGTCGAAAATGAGTTGATACGGTGGGATTGTCTGTAATTTTGTAAAAATAGCTTTTAGACCGAAAAAGCGAGAGCATATGATGATCGTGCCAGAAGGGCAGTATTGGATGGAAAGCGACAATCCGTACAATTCACTCGACAGCAATGTTTACGGATCGGTAATTTCGTGTGCAAGACGTTACGTTGCTTTTTAGGTGAGTCGAGGGCTGATGATTGCCCGGGCGACGTGTGTGATTTGGCCGCCGAGTCGATGGCAACTTCTATAGGAATACTGTGTGACCGATATGTGATAGACTATTGCAATAAACGAATCAAGAGTACGTTTATCAGAGAAAGGAGTTGGTTTGGGTCTCGGCTGATTGGAGGTAGCGGCCCAACGGGAATTCCATCGTCGTTTCCACGTGGCGCATCTGAGGCGTCTCTGGGTATTCCTCGGTGCTGAACTGTGCGCCGAAATCATTTGTCGCCGCCGAACCGTAGAAGCCCGTCTGGCAGTCGGCATCTTGGTAATCACCCTGAAATTTAATGTTTTCTTTGGCAAATGCTTTAGTATTGCTTACCTCCCATTGATTGGCTGTGGTTTGGTAAGAAAGGGATGGGGTTGGGATTGTGCCGGGGGCACATACCCATTCCGTTTGAGTTTCAGTTGCTTGTTGAGGAGTCGTGTCTTCCTGAGGCCCTTCATTACTAAAGGTTTATCGGTAATCCGTTCGTACCTCACAGACTTACAAGTTGATGCCGGTATTTCTAATCAAATTGGCTGTCAGCCCGCAGTTTCCGAATCGAGACAGCACGATGGAATAACTAAAGAGGGTCTGTGGATTTCAGGGCCACTTACCCGTCCGGCGGGTTTATTCCCGAAACGCAAAATCTCTGCCCAAAATCTTTGATAGTTATTTTTGGCCGAAGAATTGGTAGACTTGGCCCGACAAGATCGACCCCTTTCGGCTCCGCTTCCGTCGGTGCTATTGAACAATATTTATTTAAGTATGTGAAGCTTACTTCTTTCTAAAGGCTCTACTTGAGCATGGTACTTTCTTCGATGAAATTCAAGATCCCTGGTCAGGGCGAATGATTTGCCACATGCTTCACATCGTAATCTATGAAAATTCATTCCCGTTTTTATGCACTTACTCTTTCGGCTTATGAACTTTTTGATAGTGCTGCTTCAGCAGATTCATTTTCTTGAAGCTAATCGCCGTCTTTTGGCAGACAGGGGCTGGGCAAAAGTATCTTTTGAGTGTACCTTCAAGCTATTAATATTATAGTCTTTTTGGCTTACTGGAATGACTAGCAGAAGTGCAGGGTTCTGCTTGCAGAATTCGATGTGTTTTGCTAACATGAAATTTCATGGCCTGTGGATTTTGGATTCTAAAAATATCGTAAATTTTCTAGAAATCAAACCTCTTCTCGCAATAATCACATTGTTGTGGCCATACCCTAAATATTTCAGCGACGGTTGGGTAGATTTTTTCCATGTCACGGGCTGAGATTTGTTTAATATATTTTATAGCGGCTCCAAACGTTTGGAGCCGGCTGGCTATTGCATTACGCCACGAATTAGGCGGCGCGCAAACAAGCAACCATCGCGGGGGGGGGGGGGAGGGGGAATATATTTTTATTTAAAAATTTTTAAAAAATTATTTTTAAAAAAATTTTTATTATTTTATTTTTTTTTTTTTTATTAATTTTTTATTATATTTATTTAAAAAAATTTATTTAATTTTTTTTTATATTTTTTTTTTTTTTTTTTTTTTTTTTTTTTTTTTATTTTTTAATTTAAAATTTATTATTTTTTTTTTTTTTTTTTTTTTAAATTTTTTTTTTATTTAATTTTTTTTTTTTTTTTTTTTTAAAATAATTTATTTATTTTTTTTTTTTAAAATTTTTTTTTTTTCAAAGTAACAAAAACTGGGCTTGGGAGTATAGCCGAATTTAAGAATTTTAAATCTTGTAGCAAAGGGTATCTTCCTACATTTGAAAAGCATTACAGAAAACCCGTTTATTCTGTGAGTGAAATGTACATACACATATACTAGGCACTAAAAGGGGACACGTAGTGATGACAAGGGGAGAAAATTATGGCAAAAATAGCACACTGGGTCGCAACGGCAAGAGGTTTTTCCGTATCTGGAGGTTAGCCGTAGGGCGAAAAACGGAGCGGCACCTATGCATGGTATCGGAATTGCAAAAAAAAAAATTTTAGACACGGTCATAGCAGACGCAATAAGTAGCTAGGAAGTAGTTTTTGTCGATGATGCAGTGCGGGCGATCGCCAAATCTGAAGCCACAATTGGGCCGGTAGCAAAAAAACCTACGCGTTAGGATGGCTGATGGATTGTAGATCCACGAAGAGCTTATCGGAAGATACCTCGTGGCGGAGCGTAACCTAAAAGCATATGTATGGTACGTAATTAAAATTACCTCGTATTCAGCGTCACCGGGTGTCGTGCGGAGCTTGAGCTGATAGAAGAGAAGATCGGCTTTTGTCGTTCCGGACAGATCGGGCACAAATCCGTCAGCATCCTTCACTGCTTTGTACTTGAGCATCGCCTCGTTCGGCACCATTCGCCGTGCGTACATGAGATTTTTTAAACGTAGCGGAGCGCAGAGTTTCCTTTCCGGTTCCGTTTGCGCGTTGATCACGTCAACGACGGCGACAGCCATTTGTTGGGTGAGCTCTTTCTAAAAATGAAAGTGTAGGGATAAAGTACCAATCAAAATCCTTAGCACTAAATAAATACATCCGAAAAACATGCTTACATCTTTAGTAGTTGTTGTCGCATCTTCCCAATTCAAACAGGTGCACCAATGATTGTCGACACCAGCCTAGGGAAAGGTGATGAAATGAGGTCCAAGAATACCTGTGCGCAACTCCTTCCAATTGGTAGTGGTCTGAAGAGTGAGAGAGATCGTTGTGACGCGTCTTGCACTGTTGTTAGTTCGGACTCGGAAGGCATGTGCAACACGTCCATAAGCGTCGCGTGGATATCAAAAGGCGTCGAGAGAATATCCTAAAAAAGGTATCAATAGAACGACGGAAAGATGCATAACTTACCTTATTATTGACCAGATTCTCCCAAGCCTTCTTCATCTTTCCTTCACGATAACTCTTCGGCATGGCAAACGAAAAGAAGGGCAGGCGCTAATAACAAAACCATTATAAATCAAAAGCAACTAGTCACCTCTTCCAGCTGACCCTGATGTGTACCCCTGAGCTCGGCAAAACGATGTCCATGATCGGCCATCATAATTATCAAAGCCCTAAATGACGCTTGAGCTAATCGGTTGACCGAAAAGAACCTGTCGAAAAGGCCATTCTCATGCATTTCCTTCAGATGCCCCTCGATAAGAGTGTCTAACGTTCCAACCTAAAACGGCGGGTTTGCATTTTTTGCCACACTACCTGGTTGATATCATCATGGGAATACATCGAGAGATGCATCAGCGAAAAGCGGGGCAGATCTTTGTAGGTCTTCATAAACTCTTCTGAGTATCGATACCAGCTCTAGAAAAGTAAGTTCAAAATATACTGTAAAACGGTTACGGTGGCTATCGGGGACGACCCAGCACAAGTTGTCACTCCATAGAACTTCTCATGCTCCTGAAAAACTTTGTTATCGAATAATCAGTATAAAAACCTGGAAATAGGTGCGCGTCAGATGATCGGTTGGCTGATCTTTGAAGCCCTTTAGTCGATACGTAAAAGTGCCAATATTCGCCGCATCTTCTCCGTACAATGTCACATAACCAGCATCAGAAAAATTTCGCCAAATAAACGGATAGGCTTCATCTACATACTTGGCCTTGTTGCCGAAACGTTTCCTAAATAGCGTTGAAAAGTTTTTAAAAATCCTTGCCTCGTCAAAGGCAGCTCCTCTTCAGTCTGTGCGGTGAGGATTGGGATGAAGGCCTGTGGGGTGCCGTCGCCGACGATATTGTACGCTAAAATTCCTTATTTTTAAGGCCGATAAAATACAGTACCATCCAGGACGACACCTCCGAGAATCTTCTCAAAGTAAGCCACAGTTTTCGGCAATTTCCGCCGGAAGGTCATTTGGGATACCGAATCGAGGCTGACGAAGTAGACATCAAGCCCGGACCAATCATCCGGTTGGCTTCGTTCCTAAGATGAAAAGTATTACATGATGAGATTCTTTTGTTACCTTGGCGCGCTGAACAGCCTCTTCATTCCTAACAACAGACATCAATAGACCTTCCCTAAAATATCAATTTCAACATTTTTTTGTGAAAATATAATTTTGACGCAATTTAATTTTGGTCAAAATTTCAATTTTCGAAATGTTTGCGATAAATAATCGATGCGAAAAGGCAGCAAAATTTCGACAAATTGAAATTGCGAGAAAATGAACATAAGCCCTTAAAACCTGAAAATTTAGCTAAAAGCCTCATTACCAAGCATCATTGCCCAAGGTACACTTGGCCTTCACGAAATCTGTAGGCAAGGTGTCGCCGGAGCGGATGTCGCGCCATTCATCATATCTCAGCTTGTCGTCATTAACCCGGTAGAACGGTTGTATTTTACACTCGGCACCGGCTCTGAAACAAGACAAAGTTAGCGTAAGTTATTGCATTATCGGGGGGGGGGGAGATTTTTCTTTATAAGTCTATAAATGCCTAGCAGCTTAATAGGAAGTATTTTAATAATGTTTTTAGTAAAAAAAAACCATATTTCAACTAGAACAACTAGAGGTAGGAAAACTAGGTCGAGAATTCTATATTATCAGGATTTTGTAATCAAAATTCGTAAAGTTTTTACGTTTAGTACAAGTAAAAAGCAGTTTAGAAAATTCCGCTATTTGTATTTTAAAAAACCTATCCTAAGAAAAATTTTCGCCCTCCCCCCCGCTAATGCTAAAGAACTTTCTATGAGAGGATCTCACCTCGAAGAAACCAGGGAAAATCGCCCTGCCTTGTTGATGAAAGCCCAGTTTTTCGGCTTTCCGGTGCATCTCAACGAGCCGGATGGGTGGAAGAAATGGCGAACCTCAGCGCCATTGATATCAAGCTTTGGCACATTGCACACCTAGAAATTTCACAATAGAAAGCGGCGATAAATTACCTTTTTATCGGAAGCGATTGAGGCTTGCCCCGCAGGCGCTTTATATTCTTTGGTGCGACTGTCCCGGTCGCCATCCGCCCCAGTGACCACGACTTGAAATGTGGCCTTTCCTGGCGAGACGTACTGAAAAAAGGCAATATAGCTATCGAAAAAGATTTCCGCTTACCGTTTCAAGGGGCTGGTTGGCTCGGATCTCGTCGGACTGCTCCCAGATGACGGTGATTAAAAAGAAAAAGGCGCAGATGACCGATGAAATGCCTAAATAGACAGAGTACTGTAAGTTTTCGTAAACTTACCAATGATCTGGACACATTTCCGCCTGCCCGAGCGGATCATGGCCCCCGTAGAGCTTGGCGCTAAAGAAATATACAGTATTAGGTAGAAAGAAAACGGTCGCAAAAACGGTACTGGGCTGTTAGCAGGGGGAAAATTTTGTTTTTTTTTCCGCCTATACCTAGATGTTAAAACTAAATAGCGTATTTATGGAATGCTTTTCCGTTTTTGATTGCCAAAAACAAAAACTATTTTTAAAATTTTTGGAAATACGAAAGTTCGCACGTTTTTGATCATTTTTCATAAATTTTTGGACTAAAAAGCCGAGCATTGTAATGAGTTTTTATGTATCTATGAAACCGGTGTAGATTGCTATAAAAACGGTCTATATTTTGTGATAGGACCTTCTGGATTACTGGAAAAAATTAGCTTTCCCCAGCTGCTAACAGACCAGACCGGAAAAAACGAGTTTCTATCGAAAGATAGGTCGGTCGTATACATTGTGCAAGGAAAAACGTTGGACATTGGCAGGGAAGAGGGCGGGGGGCTAGCGATTTTGCTATTCGATTCGCCCCGGGAGAGATGTGGAGGGGGACTGTGTGACAAAGACGAGCAATACAGAAAAAGGGCCGAGCGGAAGGAGCCAGTCACGGGCGCGCACTCGCCGCCATCGACGGTCGCTAACCCTAAAAACGGGTGGAAAAGTTCATTGTCTCGAGGGTTACTTATGCGGTTTTCAAGGGGGGTTGGCTAGGGGAAAATCGGAGGTGTGAAGGCGATGGCTTGAACAAGGGAATGTACAGTTTCTCAACTAATCGAGGACATCTGGAAAAGACACCCTAGAATTGATCAACCCCCGTTTATCCTATTGAAACGACACCCTAGCATTAATTAAAAATTAAGTTGTTCTAAAAAAAGCTCGATTTGAAGAGTATCGATGATCTACCGGACGCTTTGGTAATGTACTGTTAGCGCGGGGGGGGGGTATAGCAGAGGAACTAATTATTGTTTTTCCGCCTATCCTACCTCTGAATAGTCAGTATTATATTGCATGAAGTTTTAGTAGTTTTTGTTTGCTATAAAGTTACAAAAAATATTTTAAACAGTTCTGAAAATTCGGGAATTATGACTTTTTTGGTCATTTTTCCGCATTCTTTATATCTAAAAAACTATGTCAAATGCTATACGAGTGGCTTATATTGTGTTATAGGACCCTACAGGATTACTGGGAAAAATTAGTTTCCCCCCGCTAGCAGTCTAGTACCGGTGCTTTCTCGGCTGTCCCCAATCGCATCGCTATAAAATCTATCAAATTTTTTCGTGACGCTCCTAGGCTAAAAACAAAAAATGCTAGGAGCGATATTCCAGATTCCCTCTGCGAAATTGAGTAATCCGAATACTGCAAGAAAAATATAACCAGAGAAGCGCTTCGACAAACTAAGCGTAGATCAATCCGCGAATCAATCATCAAATTACCAAACGAGGCCCAAATAAATAAAAAGCGCGCAAGGCCAGTGTTTATATTCGGGGGGTGGCGAGGGAATTGAGGGTTTGGGGTGAACCGGAGACTCCTCTGGACAGCCTAAGGGCCCTAGCCGAGGGAAAAGGAGAAAGAGAGAGAAGCTTTGACCCCTCTCTTGGCCCTGGGCCATAGCACGAAGAAAGACGGGTAGCCGGGGAGGGCCCAGCTGCTGGTGCTGCGCTGGAAAAGTTGTGGGTGACCTTGACCAGCCGATGCGCGCGCAAGTGACACCATGCCGGTCTACGCGCTGTGCCTTTCGATTTTTGTGCTATGCCCGGATGTTCTTTGCCATTATCGGGGGGGGGGGGGACAACCGAATTTTTGGTAGTGGTTAACAATTGCCTAGTAACGTAATATTACCTATGCAAGGGTGGGCTTAACGAAATTTAGGAAAAACCTGAAAAAATTCAGGTAGAAAAAATAACTTCAAAACTTTTAAACATTTAGGGTGCGAAATTTTGGTTTCATTATGCGTACTCCAATTACCAAAATAGAGTCTGAAGAATGTGGAAATCGTTGACTGACAGTTCCGCTTGCCCACGCGGAAAATGACTGTCGAGCCGGCCGCTGAAAAAAAAAGGTGAGACGTGAGAACGTTTTTAGAAAAGTGGAAAATAAAAAACCTAGACGCGCAGAATGTTAGGAGTTTTTGTATTTTTCATTGCAGCCTTTTGTCATTTTTTATCGTCGCGGGCCGAAATTTCTAAAGCTATTATGGATTTTAGCAAAAAGACTGCCGCGCCCGCAACACGCATCGAAAAGTCCTTGCGCTGCTGCATATTTTCTCTGCCTCATTAAACATTGCCTGCGATGTACAACTGAAGGCCTTGATAAAATTGGAGAAAAAGCCGGACAATGCGTACGTAAACCGGCTATTGTACGCAGGCGTAGCCATGTTTTTTTGGGTGAAGCCGAAATTCCTCATTTTTTTTAAAAAACACGATTATGGAATTTTCCGACAATGTTTTTGCCGCGACACGCGACATGCCTACTTCGTGGTTGATTGCGTCGCGGTGGTATCCCGGAGCTTGGTGTATCGAGCGTGTTGTGATCCAATTCGTATTGTTTTACCGTAATCTCTCTCTTTTTGTAAAAATTGCAGTCTTACATGTTGCTGCCCCACACTTTGCGCTGCGTTATTTGCTGTCGTGCATATTCGCAATTTTTACAACAATATGTTTATTATAACGCTTGGCAAATGTTCTCTTGCTTTCAAATGGACATTTGTCGGGTGCGGGGGGCAACAAGTAGGTGGTGGGTGTACTGGAAGGGGTGTAAAATTTGGAATACAAGTTGATGGATTGTCAGTAGCAGCAGCGAAGCAGCACGATTTTCGGCTCAACCGATTCGGGGATTTGCGCAGGGCGGGAAGAGCCTAGCCCGCTCCCGCCGACGATTTATACATGTGATCAAAATTCTCCGGATCAAGCACACACAAGCACAGAAGATACGCGGGGGCGGCGAATATAATCTACACGGTCAACAAAGCTTGGGGCGGGGGAAGGGGGATTTGTCAAAATTAAAAAAAAACACATCTACACTTATAAAGCGGAGCTGGGCGGGCTAGGCGTACGCGTTGCACCCATGTGCACCTAGCGATATATGTATTTGTAAAAAACGAAACAACGCAAAGAAAACAAGCGGTAAAGAGAATAGGTGGTTGTGCACATTTGTTGCGGGCGGGTCTCACAAAGAACAGCAAGCGTATGGCCGATTGACTAACTGTCGATGATCGTTGATCGGAGAGTTCGGGGGGATTTGTTTCTTTCTTCGCGATAATCATAAAAATTCGGGGTAAAATTTGCAAAATGAGAATCGCAAATCAATAACATACTATATATTTATAGCAAGACACCTATATTGCGCGCGCGGTAGGGGGGGGGGGAAGATTGGTTTATTTGTGAGTGTGTGAGGGACAAGATTGATGGAAAGTGTATATAAGTATACAAATCACGCTAACCACAAAGAAAATCAATGGATTTGTGCTGAAAAGACATTCGGGGGTTTGCTATTTGGAGAGAGGTATCAAAGGGTGGGGTTCAATTTGTGGGTAGGCCCGCCAGGGGCCCAACGGAGGAATGATCGAAATTTGGGGCGGCGAATTGTGGAAAGTAAGTAGGTACATGGTAGGCGGTGCGGGTGGGTAGTTTTAGGTTTTTTTCGGAAAAGTTCCAAATAATACCGACCCGCACCAGCCGCTGAAATGCGCCCCAGGGCTAGAAATGCTAGGCAAAAAGTTAAAACAAGATGGGGAAACTGTTAAAGTAGATGGATATGAAGAAGTATAGCTTTTCTGTCGTCAGGAGGGCGCAGCACTTTTTTGGAGGGGCATTTACACAGTGGGCACGGGCCAACGTAGCGATACAATTGACACGTGGGGGTAACAAAAAACACACAAACTTGCAAAATTACACACACAAAAAGGCATGAATGTTGTGGTGGGGAAATGCATGGTGGGGGTGTAGAGTTCACAGAAGAAAAACGGGGGGCTTGGGGGGACACCGGGTCTGTTCGATTGAGACGAGAGAGAACTATGCACTACGAAACGGGGGGCGCGCCGTTGGCTGGAGACATCTTTAGAGGGAGGCTCGCACGGCGGGCCGCGTGTCTTGACGGTAGATGATTTGCATGACGTCTTCTATTTGGACGCACATCTCGTGGGATCGGTTTTTCTGAAAATGAGGATTTTGATGTCATCTTGTCTTTCTTTGCTTGTTGTTTTTTTAGCTAAAATGCCGAAATTTCTTGCTGTCAAAATTCCGTAATGGCGAAATTTACGCTCAACATATCTCTAAATTCCCGAAAGTCAATACCGAAAATTTCGACATAGCTACAAATTATAAAATACTTAAAAAAATAGTTTTAATAGTGCAAATTAAGCCGGCCGTCCTTTGCAAAAAAACCAACCGTCAAGAGGCTGATGTCGGCTACGTCTTGCAGGTAGAGCTCAAAGTCCTTGGCCGACATTTCGCTCTGGAATGAAATGGTTATTATCATATACTTAAAATTTATGACTCTGAAAGCCGAAAACCCACTAAATCGACTCACCAAGTCCCTCATCCCATCCAGATGCTTGTCGATGCCCATCAGACTCGCCGGGATGTCATCTATCGGGTTCGGTTGTGCGGTAGACGATTGTCCGGCGTCATTCGGTGCCGTCGACATGCCAGGCATCGGTTGCCCGTGGCCATTCTGCCCGTTCGGCTGCGCATTCGCCGAGCCGACCGACGCCGGGGTGTACGGAGCCGAGCCTGAAAGGTTGTCTGAATGGAGGTGGGGTTTTACGATAGGGAAGGAGTGGGGAAACGACGAGGACAAGCGCAACGAGTTGCTAACAAGGATTCGTTTTTAGGTGAAATGGAATTTCTCGATGCGACCGTTCGGATAGCTTGAAATTATGGAAAAGTCCGATCTTTCGAAAAACAGTTCTGTTTAGACGGATGCCAAAAATGGGAAAAATCGAGGTTTTTTAGGCCTGATTTTCTCGCAAACCGCTATCTTTGTGCAATTTTTGTAATAGGCGACTTGTCCAGAAGTTCAAGCTAGATCGAATGAGCTACGTCAGTCACATCACAAAAATCCGTTCTCTCCTAGATACGACACCCGGCACGAAAAATGTAAAAAAGCTCACCAGCGCAGCTGGGGGCTTCGACGCTGCCGTGATTCTGGCTGGGCACCATGTTCGGGCTTGTTGAAGTGGTGGCGTGGCCCGGGGTGTGCGGCGTTGACGGGCTGGGGCCGGTCATTGGTTTGAAGGGGCTGAAATAGGCTTTAGAATAACACGGAAATTCGAACTACACAGCAATCTATTTAGAACATTTCTGAATCAATTTCGAGACGAAAAACCACTTTCCAAACAGGGATCAACGAATGTAAGACAAGCTTGTATAGGCTACGAAAATAGGCTAGGCGGGCGGTCTGTATTCTGAATTTGTCCCCTAGCAACCCGGCCCAAAGTTGTCATCACACAAAAGCTTACCTCTGATTGGCCTGGTAGGGCGACATAAGCTGCTTGGCCGTCTCGGGGCCCGGGATCGAGTGTTGGTGCTGATGGTAGGGGCTCATCAGATCGGGCTTCTGCTCGGGCACCGACGTCGGGTGGGTCATGAAGTGGCCCATGCCGGGCAGCGATTGCGGCTGGGTGGACGACGGACAAGGCACGGAGGATGGGGCCATGCCGAGGGGCGACTGTTGCGTCAACGGTGCCTCGAGCGAGCTCTCGGTCTTGAAGCGCTTCATCTGGCTGGCTCGGGTGCCGCCGGTCTCGCCGCGTTTGCGACTGTTGGTGGGTGCTGGGGCGACGGGGGCTTGTTGCACCGCGCGCCAATGGCCGTCGGGCCCGTGGATCACCTCGCGCACGTGGTCGGGCGTGTTCTGGACGAGTTCGAGGAGGTAGAGGTCGACTTCGAGCTCCCGGGTTGCGAACGATTGGCTGAAAATGGGGATTAGAAATTGCTTACAAGACTAAAAATTCACTTTGTTAACCAAAAAAATCAAAACCCGCCATGTTTTCGCAATAAATTTTGATATATACTCACTTGCACCAGTGGCAAATGAAGAACGAGGCATCCGGATTCGCCCAGAACAGCATCCGCAGGTCTAGCGCCTGTGGATGTTGGCAGGTACGACCACGGACCGGCAGGGTGAAGCGTTGCTTACACCGGAGGTCGCCCAACGGAATCCGGTGAACACCGCAGTTCATCGCCTTCTGATGCACTGAAAAACGACCTTTGTAAAGATAAACTTCCGGAAAACTCACGATGCTGCATGGCGAGCTGGGCGGTGGTGATGCGTCGTGTTTGGTTGTACATCATCGACCAGTGCTGTTGGAAGGAGTAGATTTGGACGACGCTCAGCGTGAAGCGGTACGCCTGGAAATCGGGCACCTACGGGCGGGTCAGTCTGTACCCCGAGGGGTTTCTAGTGTGTACGTGCAGTGCTCGGGTGCGGAACTTACGCAAACGCATCCGGATGCCGAGATTTCAAGGGTATTTTGGCCGGGTTTCGAGTAGTTCTTGACGAGGAGGGCGGCGCGTGGGTGCATTAGCGGGACCTCGGTGTCGTTGACTTTGACCTGTAAAAAATAGACTTATACAGGAAGCCGCAAAATCACGTCAAATGTCGCTTCTTTTTAGACACACCTTGAGCTGATATTGATTTTGCGGGTCGATGGGCCACCGGGATGTCATCTGTTGGTCCTCCTTGTTGAAGCATTTGAGCTGCAGCTCATGGTCGGGCCTGAAACGGGCGAAATAGGTCAATTCGGCTCGAGAAAAAGCTACTTTCGGACGATTTCCAAAAAGTGCTTACATCGACAACTGCTGGTAATCCTCGGCGCTGAGGTTGAACGGGAACTGCGAGACGTCTTTGCCGTGCTCCAATTGGAAGATTTGGAGGACGGTCTGAAACAGATAATATAGATTGTCAAGTATATTGCCTATGAATCAAACTAATCAAGAAAACTCACACTCTTGAGCATGCAGATCTGGGAGTTGTCGGGGAAGTGGGCGGCCAGGTCGACTAGCTGATGGCCAGGGTTGGGCATCTGGGAGACTTGTTGCTGCCCGTTGGCCTGCACCATTTGCCCGTAGGGGACCGGGGGCCCGGCGCGGATCACTTGGTGGCCCATCTGGGGGTAGCCGGCCGGGTAGGCGCCGGGCGGGAATCCTTGCGGCGGCATCATGTAGCCGTTCGGCGGCATTTGCCGAACTTGGCCGGGAAGCCTGCAACATAAGACATGAATTGTGTCAAATTCAAGTAATTTCGCTAAATCTAAGATTATGGATATGTGATTTCCGCCAATTGCTTCTTGCCGAACCTTTTTATGAAAGCTAATTGGTTTATCGTGAAGTCACCACTTTTTTAGATAGGGCTTTTTTAAAACAGCTGATTCGAACGCCGGCCCAGTGAAAAGGGCCGGCGTTCAAAATTAAAAAAAAACCTTGAATGTTGCGAGTCGGCAAAATCAAGGTTCCGATGCATAAAATACCACATTAAAAACCGCATAAAACGAACCGATTCGTGGCGACGGGCGGCATGCCGTGGGGGAATTGGCTGGGGTCATAGGCGCCGGGGTGACCCATCGGATGGCTCATCATTTGGGGCTGAAATTGAAGGTTATTTTAGAGCAAAGCACAAAAAAAATTCTCAAGTAAAAATAACAAAATAAGCGGAAAAACAAACGCACCTGCATCATGCCAGGGTGCATCATCGGGGCTCCATGATGTCCACCCGGTCCGGCGTACATCATTCGCGGGTCCATCTGGGCCGACGGATCCATCCCAAATGGGCGCATCATGCCGCCTGAAAGAGAGAAAATAAGTATGTTTTGATAGTTTGTAGCGTCAGTTTAATTTTCCGATTTTGAAGCAAGCTTAGACATTAAGAAAATCATAATAGTGAAAAACCACCAACCATATCCTTGCGGATAGCCGGGGAATGAAGGTGAGGCCATTGGCTGCTGGGTGGCCATCCCGTCCCACATGGGCTGCTGGGCTGCTACTGCGACGGTGGGGGTGACGGCGGACGGGGGCGGCAGCTGCGCGTCCACCACGACGTACGGCTGCTGCTGCTGTTCTTGGCTGAAAATAGGAGATTATCACTGATCGTCAATGGATTAGGCGTGGCAAGTCAGTTGAAATTTTGGGCGACGCCTTCAAAAAAAGAGCAAAAAGTGCGAAGTCTGAAGGAAAAATAAGGGCATGGAAAGAAAGAGAAGCAAGGAATAAAAGAACCAGGTTTTTGAAAGTTTTCAAAGAGCAAAACACCTGGAATTAACTTGTTCGTATAATTTTCGACCATGAGAAAAACGAAATTTAGGATTTTAGATAGTAAAATGGAGATCAAATGATCCTAATTAAAAGTTACGAAAGTTTTTTTTACAATGTTTGCAAAAACACTCGCGAAATTAGCACAGGGGCTTTCCAGGGCGTAACGGATTATCTACCGGAAATGGTCCCAGTGTTCAAAATGCTAGATTTATAATCAAGAAGCCTCCAAAAGCGCCGCCAAAAGCAGTGATAGTTCGAAGTCCCGGCGGTTGATCGACCGGAATAAGCGTGCGCCCCACAACGACAAACACATTAATAGCCGTAGCGCCGCGCGCACGCCCCCGGTGACAATCGATGCCGAAAACAAGCGCGCATACACACACAACGGCCACACTGGTCGTCTGTATGTCTGCGCGTGGGTGTCTGTATGTCTGTCTGTGTGGTATGGTGGTGGTGGTGGGCGCGCCCAGGGGGTAAATTGGGCTATGTGCCAGGGTAGGGGTGAGAGAGCGGGGAATTGGGGGAGGGGACAGCCGAAACGGGGTGGTCCGCTTGGGGAATGGGGTGTCTCATGGTCCACCCTTTTGGGCTGGCTATGGGGGTGAGAGAGGGTGGGGGATATAGAGGGGGCAGACGGCTTCACCCTATGTTGTGAGAGACCGGGGGGCTGGGGGAGGGGGTAGAGGGACTGTTCGCCCGGAGGGCAAAACCTGCGGAGGGGCATGGTACGCGCGGCCGGGGCGAGAGAGCGGGTAGGGGGAGAGAGTCCGGGACCTCGGGGAGAGAGAGCGCGGAACGGGGCCCCGCAGAAAAACGGTGGTTAGAGTAGCAGGGTGTAGGGAGCGGGCTGATGCGCGAGGGGGAAGAGCCGGGCATCTGGGGGGCGAGATAGCGCGTCGAAGCGCGAGGATCAGAGCCACGGTGCCCTTGAGCTTCCACTCCTCTTCCTCCGGGTGGTGGTGTGTGTGTGTGCCCCAATAAGGAGGAGGTGGAAGAAGCGGTATGTGTGGTTGGGGGAGCCCCCCCACAATTGATTCCGGCACCCTCTCCGCGCCCATCCCTACATACACCGGCTGGTCCTGTGGTTGAGGGAGGGGAGGAGGGAGGGCTTGTGGTGATAGAGAGTACGGGGCAGAATGAGAGGACACGGAGACAGCATGGCCACACGAATCACATCCCTCCTCGCCCCACCCGAAAACCCCCCGGGCGGCCACACCGGCCGGGCCCTCGCCCCGGGGGCGAAGAGCAGCACACCCACCCGATGCGCTTCACCCCCCTAATTGTGATGTCATCCAGTGAGATGGGGGACTTTGTGGAATACGATAGTCGTGATGAAAATTCAAGTAGCGTAGTAGTAGCGCCATCGGTGTCATACGGTAACTTTGAAAAAGAGAATCGAGAAAATTTTGGTCAGCTTCTTGTTGTTTTGTTTTCTTACAGATTGGCGGTGATCACAAAAGAAGCTCGTGCCAACGGTATGGATATCTTCAGTAAATCTGCCGCAGTAATGAAGCATTGGTACTAATTAATGAAATAATCAATTCGTTGTTTTTCGAAAAGTTAGAAGCCTTTAAAAAATTTGGAAATCCTACTCTATATAAAAAAATAGTGTTTGTGTGTGTGTGGTGTGTGTGTGCCACTTTGCATCCACTCCCGTGTGGCTGTCCGGAGGATATCTCAAGAAGGGAACGGTATTAGGCTACGTATGATACGTCATTGGGTGCGTAATGGTCTAGGGATGACTGCACACATATCAGATTTTGAAAAATTAGCCATTTTCGCTATTAAATTTAGGTTTTTGTAAAAAACTCTGTTAGGAATAATTCGCATAGACCGGAAGTGGACGGTCATCTATATAAAGAGGCAGACGGGGTTGTTTTTCATTTTTTTTGCCTTCTCAATGAAGGACAATTATGCAAAGGGCGGAATAGTATGGGGTCCAGGGCGGGTCCAGGGTTGAAAAGTCGCGAAGCGGCTTTTCAACCCTGGTTCATTTATTCATTCATTAACTTTTAAAATTCATGAAAACTACTCAAAACTAAAATAGGTATGAAAACTACCCAAAACTTTTGACTTGAAAAAAGGAGCAGCCAAGTTGCATGAAAATTCGTAAATTTCTGATATCAAAAGTAATTCCTCGCAACCTAGTGATCAAAAAAAGCAAAAATCCACCAAAATGTTAAAAATTTGACCTAATCCCGCGAAAGCGAAGCCGAAAATGGCGCGCCGGGGCCTGAAATGGATGCGATCCATGTTCGGGAGGGGGCACGCGTTTCGGGTCAAGTTTTGAGGCTATGTGTGGGGGGTGAGACGCGCCCCAGCGCGAGCTCCCGCGCGCGCTCGACTCGCCGGATTTCGGGGCGAAGGCGGCAAAAAACGGCTGTGCCCGCCACCGGTTTCCACCGAGCAACGACGCCTCGACGGCTGCTAGAGCCCCCCTACCAGCCAGCAACCACCTTCTTCCACAGCGCACACCATCACCCCCGAGACGCAGCTACAGGGGATTTGCACCGGGGGAGCGCGAACTTTTGGATTCGAATGAACTGGGCGGGTCAGGAGGTTTTGCTCAAACGAAAATTACGGTATATCATTTGGGAATTTAGAAAATTCCAATAAGTGATGTCGCACGGTTTGCACTGTAGCATTTTCTGACTAAATTTTGTACAAGATTAAACATTAAGCTAAATTGTACAAAATGTATCTTAATTGGGGGCTAAACTCCAGATTAAACCTTCAGCCGACCCCCACCTACCGTATCTCGGCTCCCTGTTCATCTACAGGTGTGTAAAGTATACCAAAATGTTCGTCTTGCTGTGGCGAGTATTTTGGTATACTTTACACACCTGTAGATGAACAGGGAGCCGAGATACAAAAGTTGGGTGCCGGCTGGGGGGGGGTTATCTGGAGTCTTACCTAATTGGGGCGTTAAATCATGTTGATTGTTGCTGTTAAAATAAGAAAAAGCTTAAAACTACTCCAAATCTTTAAAAATGAAACTGCCGCAAAGAATCAACTTGCACGGAGCAGCCCCGTCGAGTCAAAAAGCCGAAAACGCAGCGCTCCACTGCACCATCACAGGCTAAGCATTGAACTTGTCGATTTTTCCAAAGTCAAAAGTAAAAAAGTAAAATGCCATGGCATAAAAACTCACAAATACCCCAAAATAACCTGCTATCCCCACAGCGAGACCCATATCCGCTCTCCTTTGCCGCACCCCAAAAATTCCCACAATTAGGCGCCGGCGGGCCCGGGCTGGGCAAAAGCCCAGCCGTGGGGCCCACAGCGAACTTTTTTGGGCCCCCTGGGCCCCACGGCAAATTTGACGTCATTTGGGGGCGCTGGCGCGTTCACCCGGTCGGGTTATGAGCCGGCCGCACGGAAGCGGCTGATGTAAGCACCTAATAGGGGCGGTCATTGTTTTTGGCCAGGCGAGAATCGAAAAATTCGTTTTGTGAATGAATGTGGGGAGGGTTTGAAAGTTGGGCCTTCTACCGTAGCCGATAATTAGGTGGGACCCGGGGGTGGTGCGAGGGGGAAGGTAAACTGGGGAAAGTTGGGGCCAAATCCTGGCGCGGCGACAAGAAAAAAAGGTCGGCTGCCCGGTAACGGGGTTCGAGAAACGGTGGGCATGGCGGCGCCGTTGTGGGGATGGTATGTAGTTGTCGAAGGAGCCTTTTTGGGGTTATAAAAGTTTTATTAAAACTAAATGCGTAAACTTTCATTGTAAAGAGATTCCGGTAAATTTTGTCACATTCCAAGTTCGCCCGGCGCCTGCTACCATCGAGGAATGCCGCGTCATTGTTTTTTCCCAACGCCCCGGACAAGGGTTCTCCGCCGGAATTGGAGTCGAGAATTGTCATTTTGCGCTGGGGCGGTGGTGTACGGTGGAAGGGGCGTGTTTTATTGGACCGAGAAAAGACCGAAAAATTTGATAAAATTGGTCTAAAAAGCGGAAACGCCTGCAAAGGCATATATTTTTCCATTTAAATACTCCAAGAAAACCTCTAGGCGTACTTTTTAGTCTCTAAACTAGAGTCTAAACCCAAAAATCAATCCAACCCCCAACTTTCCAGGCGATAATTCGAGCATCTCCTGGAAAACGACCCGCGCCGCGCGCACCCGTTGCTTCCAGGCTGAACAAACAGCTCGCCAATGTGATAACGAGAAAGCGAGTGAGAGAGGGAGCGAGAGATAGAGAGTGGGGAAAAGCCCGGGAGGAACTGGGCGGGAGTTGGAGCGGTGTGCACGAACGGGCAAAGGGAACGGCAAACAGCGGTGTCGGCGGCCGCCCCGGGAGATCAGCTGGGCGCGGGTGTGTTGCGCTTGCAACTAGAAACATGTCAAAAGCGGTGCGGCGACCCGGGGAATTTTGTCGAGTTTAGGGAGTAGAACCGCGATTTTAAAAAGATGGAGGTATAGCGCAAGATTCCCTACTAAAACACGTAGATATGGGTGGTTTAGTTTCAAAGAATTATCTAGGAAAAGCGTCAAAGAAATAACTAAGTGAATTTGGAAAAAACTCATTTGAAGTACCCTAGACTACAAAGTACGTGCGCCCTTGGGTGCCGCCGTTCGCGGTTACCCGGAAAGGGCGGTGGCAGTGGCGTGCCGATGCCCTATGCGTCCACATGATCTACCATCGTCCCCCACACAAAATAGCGGGGGGAGGCATCTAGCCAAAAAC